ACATTTCCGTATTAATGTTTTCACAGATATGCAATAACACACTTTATCATATACTATTGTCTAAATAGCCAGACCATCTGTCCCCTCAGATGTCAGTCTGCATGGCTGGGTGAATTGCATGACAGGAAAACCACACGACAAGAAACGTCTCACAGTATGATCTGTAGAGACATGCATTTGTCTCCTAAGAGGACACAACTGGCAGACCACATCACAGTCACAACTGACGTTCGCCAATATGTGAACACTTATATAGATGGAAGACCACAGTATACTTTAAAGAGGCACTTAGTAATGTTTTGCTAATAAAATACATATGAAACAATCTGAGCTGCAACTGAAAAAAGCTGTTTGACAAGTTATAATTTTGAATTCATTTAATGCCATTTAATTTAATATGTTGGATTTAATCTACAAATCTGATTTTTTTCTATATTGTTAGTATTCAACAAAAATGATAAATGATAAGAAACTAAACAAAACTAAAAGAAAAATCAGCTGTTAAATAAACTTCATGCATCTGTATGAGACTGTGTTAGCATTTTCATGCCTGCAAACTAAGAGCACATTTTTTAAAACGATCAAGCTCTTCAGTTTAGCGAATTCAGGTCAGTGATTTGGTATGAATTCAGGCCACTGATATTTTGGGTCAGAGACTATTTTTGGGGATTTATTTGAAGCACAGAAATTGTACCCTTTTCTGAAAAAGTACCGAAAACTTTCTCCTGAGGTGATAAGACACTCACAGTGGAGGTGTATCTGTCTAACACACACAATCACGTCATACAGTATGTAGTCTCATTGCTCTGGCCGTTGCTTTTCCCTGAAACGTGAGTTGTAATCTCACAATTGCTGGAGAGGCTTAGAGTAACGACACACCCGTTTTAAGGCGGCATGACATCAACAAATACTTATTTTACTTATTAAGAGCTATTTCCTCTTGCATAACCTCTCAAAGACAAAAAGTGACACATTTATAGAAAGTCCAACTCTCAGAAAAAAAGGTACAAAAGCGGTCACTGGGGTGGTACCTTTTCAAAAGTAAACTTTTGTACCTAAAGGGTGCATATTGGTACCTTAAAGGTGCAAATATGTACCTAAAGGGTGCATATTGGTACCTTAATGGTACCATTAAGGTACCAATATGCACCCTTTAGGTACAAAAGTTTACTTTTTGAAAAGGTACTGCCCCAGTGACAGCTTTTGTACCTTTTTTTTCTGAGAGGAATGGCCAACACCTTAAGGTGTTGTCCATTCCTTGGGCCTGGCATGCAGGGAATTGCAACCAAAGAGGAAATTCACCTTCATGGGGCATTCCCAATTGAAGCAATTACTCACTCTGCATCTAGCCTAACTTACTTAAGTCACGGCGTGCTCCTTTACTGTTGTGGGAAGGGAATGCATCTAAACATGGATAGCAGATGTGATTATGTAATTATTGTCAATGAGGGAGAAGAGGTCATATCCTCTAAACTCTTTAGACAGGAATTTGTCTAGTGCTCAGGGGCCATCCGACACAGCACGTCCTACTTCAGCAAAAAGATGCTATAAACTGTTATCAGCGAAAATATGTGAGCTGATGCTCAGGAGGCACATACATCCGCTCAGAAAAAAAGTCCAATGTCATAATTTTCCCCTTAATTATTTCCCATGTGGTGTTCTCTTTGCTCTTCCATTCTTATTTTGGGGATATGTATCTCGCAAGGTATTTTCTAACTGAAAGGGAACTTATCTCACAGACCTAATAAGTAATAACAGAACATTATCGCTCACCAGCCCTTCTCCGTATACATTTGAATCATGGTGATGATTTTAATGCTGTTTTATTGGTTCTCTTATATCTTGTAATCTCAGTCCACCTTAACGTAAGCACATGCCACCAAAATTAATATCCAACCATTTGTGCTACGGACATGAATGAAACATGTTTGTGAAGCTTATTGAGGGTTAGGCCGCCATAGCAATGCCCTAACAACCACCCAAACATGGTGATGAGGTTTGCAGGGAAGCACCACTCACATTTACTTCAGAAAATATATGGTTTGTACAGGATAATGGTTTATTTTTCAGACATTGGACGCAATGCCACAGAAGTTAAACCTTAGTGTTGCAAAAAGGCCAGATTTTGTCTTTGTGTGAAAGTTGTGCTAGCCTCTGTGTTTGTCACCAGGGGGCTAGTCAACGCCCTCAATGTTGACACATAAGGAAAAACCGCAAGCTCAGCTTTGGAGGCAACATTAATATTTAGGGAAACCAAATACTCAATCACATAGCTGCTATCATCCATACTGCATTAATGCCAGAAGAAACAAAGACAAAAAAGCAAAGTAAGTAAAACCTGAAACAGGGTAGCGACTGTGCTGAGCCTCTTTCCACAGATGCTCCCCGGCAGGAATGAATCGTTTAAAAGAAAGAGAGGAATGGAAAATCACTCACCCTGCAGAGCACATTTGCATTTACGACACGATGGATCTAGAATGTATAATAACAGTCATTCTCACAGTCTCCCATCTCATCTGAAATTAGACTCAAGTAGTTTCAATCTCCTGTATACACTCTAAAAAATGCTGGGTTGTTTTAACCCAATTTTGGGTCAAATATGGACAAACCCGAAATGTTGGGTTAAAAATGTAATGTAAAAATTTAACCCAACGGCTGGGTTAGTCCATATTTGACCCAAAGTTGGGTTAAAACAACCCAGCATTTTTTAGAGTGTACCCTGCCTACAACAACCACAGTTTTTAGCTGATTTCAAGACTCCAGGGGAGCATGAATGTCTCAATGAAGACATTTGAGTATGTAGCACTTAAATTTCTTATAATCAATCTTTCAACACAATGGAAAACAAAAAGTTGAAGTCTTTACAACTGGGACAAGGCAGCTTGAGGTTATGCTATTGTCGTGTCTGGGGTTACTCTGACATGCACGACATCACTGCCATATTAAAACACAATGATCTACAAGGTAGATATTTCTGAAAGCACATTAAATAGTAATTTTATTTATATTTGATTCAGAAGATTGTTAGATTTAACTAAGAGGTCAAAGTTTGTCTGTTTAGCATGACCCATACTAGGCTAGTAGCTACAAAAAGCATATAGTGTTTGTAGAGCAGAGAATGAAAATGTGCATTATAAGAGGTTAAAAATCATTTCACTTCAATGCACTGAAAGTATGAAACCTTTACAGTATAAGTTGCAGAATGTAGTCAGGTGGCATTACACAACAATGAATGTAATCGCTGTCTAGAAACATTTAGACAGCAAAAGCATATAGTTGGAATGAAGTATTTCACGACTGTTCCTTTGTAAAGTAGGTCTGCAATGCAAAAGACGTTGAGAAAACATGAGCCATACCTGTTGTAACATAAAAGAGAAACAAACATACTTGAGAAACATACCATAAACTGGTTTCCCAGAACTGGTGTGAGAAAAATGATGTAATGTTGTCTAAGGAATTTTTATGTCAGATCGTAAAATATTCTTTTATCACTATCAATAGATGTGAGAGAAAGAAAGGTAACACGCGATTCGGTGAGATGAACAGTTTCAGTACTATAGATTTAAAGTAGTTACAAAAAAAAAAAAAATGTTGAAAGTGAGACCATTTTCAAGACGATCTGGTCTAGATTCGGTGAGTGACACATTGAACTGGTGTGTATTTCAAATCCCAGATCTATGTGTGAAAGCCTATTAATTGAGCTCTCAATCAAATTGTTATGATGATAATATGATTTGTAATGAATAATGCAAAAAAAAATCATTTTCATTAGTGGTTTCAGAATTTTGGACTTCATTTGGGTGAAGTAATAATGAATCCATGATAAACCCATGGAAAGGGTGAAACAGCTTTCTGTCATAAAAGAAAGAAAGAAAAGTTGACATTTGAGAGAAATAACATGACTGAGATACCAAGAATGGCATGAAATATGTCATCGCTCATGTATCATCATCAAGGTGTCTGCGACTGACTCAGCTTTTATTATTTTATTATTTATATAGAGACACTTTAAAAAAAATAAGCAGGCTATATGTCAAGTTGCTTTTATTAAGTAAATCCTCTAAATGTATGTAAGATAGAATACTTAATGAAGTAAGTATACTAATATCAATGCAATAGTAGTACTTGTAAGTGTACTATTTCAATACTACTTGGGACTCAATTGGCCCACTATTAGTGTATAAAAAGTACCATTGCAAAATGTGTGTGTATAAAATATGCAGGAGCATAGAATTTAGTAGGGACGTGTCCGTACCAATGTCCAGTGACAATGATATATCCCTGGCAATAATTTCAATCAAAACTTAAAATATATTTATATATTGATGTCCCCGTCCCCATCAATTTCAAAATCAAACATACGCCACTGAAAATACTGTATGCATAAAACTACAAGTAGTATTTCACTTGCAAATGTAATATCTGATATGGCATTACTGTGGGCTATTTCAGAAGAATTAACAGAAACTCAAACATAACAGAAGGACAGAACGATATTTTATTCTCTAAAATATATAGGCTATAAGAGAGGGATTAGAAGGTCATCATCATTTCACATCGTTTTATGGTTTTTGACTGATTCAATAATCTTGTTTTTAACGACACAAACATTTTTTCTCTGTTTGTGAATTTTTCTCTGGTGTATTCTTGATGCTTCTTCATGAATGGTGATGCATACACTGTAAAATAAAAAATATTGTTTCAACTTAAAGTACTCATGCTGCCTTAAATTGTTTAAGTTTAGTTAACTTTTATTATACTAAGTGACAACTTGAATTTTTGAGGTGACTAAACTTAAAATTTACAATTTTAACAAATACTTCCTTTATTAAGTTAAAACAACAATAAAACAATATATACAGTGGAAATGGTGGAAGTTTATTGACCTAGAGACACACAAACATGCATCAACAACAGCGGTTTGCACTAGGAGAGAGGCAGGAAGTGGATGTTCCTTGTGCTGAGGCAAGGAAGGAAAATAAGGAGTTCTTTTTGGCTGCTTATAGTGGAGGACAGTTCCCACAACACACTTCTCAAGCTCTTTCCACACACACATTCGTGGAGTGGATGTCCCGAATTCCGAAACGTCTCAGGGGTACGAGGTCATGACTTTAATGGTAATGGATGACGTGGACACTCCTTCCCACAGACCAAACTCACTGAAAGAACACACAAAAACTCACAAATATACACAAAGTATGAAGTATGTCAATGTGATGGTGACCGCTGGGTCAAGTGGTTAACCAATGAGAAAACCTTTGACCTTGTACAGTGGGTCGTAAATTCCTGGTCAGATTGTGTAAATACAAGTAAGGAACAAATAACAAAACTTGAGTTGATTGTTTGGGGCTAGCATGACCAAACCACAAAAGAGAGCATTGTCTAGGATTTCAGTGGAAGGTTTTTATTTATTTATTTCTGACTCTGTCATTCTATTCTCAAAGTCTTGGTGTTTTCCATTACTGTTGGATGTAAAACTGTCAGAAGGGCTGAAAACCTACTTGGCATTGAGCAGATGTATTTTATAACATTTCTAATTGCTTTGCTCAAGGGTATAGAGATAAAACAATGCATAATTCACAGTTCATGTCCTTAGGATTGAACCTGCGACCTTTGTATTATCAGGCTAAATCCTAAAGCACCACCTCTCATCTACAAATATTCTGTATATTTTTTATACATTTGCTTTAATACACACAGGGGACTCCAAAAGTCTGAGACAGACGTTTTTATGATAAAAAAAAAAAATAAAAATAAAAATAAAAAAATAAAAAAAACACTATGAAAGTAACAAAAATACTTGAAGAAAACTCTCATCAGATTCATCATTTACAAAAGTCATTCAAGTAAAAGGGAGACTAATCAAAAAAGATAGTTGATCAAAAAAGTTAATCAAAAAAGAAATTGCTGTTTTTTTCAACTTAACTTTTCATTTTTAGAGTTTATAAACTGAACTGAAATGAATTGAGTAGTTCAGTCCATTTAAAAAAAATCACATAAACATTCATCATTCATTCATCATATGGTAAACGGAAGCTCAAGCAGGATTGCTTGACGTGCGAGAACCAATGAGGTTTGAATGTGATGTTTCAATGATGGTGATTAAAAGCCTTGTGTTTTGAAGATGAATGAAAGTCTTGCGGGTTTGGAATGACATGTGGGTGAGTAATTACTGACAGAATTTTCATTTTTGGGTGTTACAACTAACTGCAACCCTATAAACTGCATCCTGAAAATAATTTTAATAGGAAAACAAAACAAGTTTTCTTCTGTTGTACATAGAAAAAAAGTTGTAAAAAAGGGGCCGTACCCTAAAAAGGACATCTTTGTACCTTTTTTACTCCTAAGAGGTGCATATTACTACCTTAAGAGTACGAAACCTTAATGAACCTTTTTGTGGTGAAAAGGGGTACAAGATGTCATTTTAAGGGTACTGCCCCAGTGAAAAAAACGTACAATTTTTAAGACATTTTTTTTTCTACTTTCAGTTTTTATGTCGACATGTACTTGTCACAACACAAAAACACCTGGTCAGGACAAAATTATTCTATCTTCTGTGGTCTCACTGATGACTTTACCAAAGAAACCCACACTTGCCCTGTGCTGACAAACGCTGGAAAAATGCAGCACTGGACGATTTCCAAGCACACACACACACACACACACACACACACACACACCTCCTCTGCTTTGTCAGCAAGGGTATACTCCTGTTAGTTGGGTTTGCTAAATGGAGGCCCCTGCTTCAGTGCATTGCTGATGAATTTTTCATCCCCTTGCTCTTTTTTACTTTCAGTCCATCCCATCATCCCTAAACTCAGGAAATCAGCACTATATCACAACACACTGTCAAATGCAGTACACCACCGGTATTGCTCTGAGTCTATGTGTTCATCTGATCTCTCACAGTTCCAGGTGTAAAAACAAGTGTGAGATGTTATCCAACAAGTGGCAAACGACCCAGAGATATCTGCATACCTGATCATTGCAGCATCCCTCATAGTCTGTAGTAGGTACTGTACACATGTAGGCTACTCAGAAAGAAAAACACATTATTCAGGGCCTACACATGACAATTGCTAAATGGAAGCAAAATGTTTTGTTTCACTCTATGGTTTATGAAGCAGATGTTTTCTGTTGGAAAGCATCTGACAAGGCAGTTATTATGAGTTGCAAGAGCATTATCAAAATAACTGTTGTCTTTTGTGCCATCGTATCATGTCTCAGAATTTCTGTTTTAATCAGACAACATGCCAGGATGTGAACTATACTATCATGCTTTTCTGGATGAGTGGTTGTCACATGAGCACAAACTTGTTAAAATTTGAATTTTTGTCTGCTTGATAGGATTCTATGAAAAAATAAAATACATACAGTGCATGCCCTTATTTGCCCCAGCAGGCCCACACTAATGCACTATAGACAATATCACTGCTTCACATCACTGTGGTGATTTCGCTATTGTTTTGTGCTGTAATCTGCAGCTGATTGCCTTCTGAAAACTTTTCTTATCTGTCCCGAGCACAGCGGGACAGCTGCCAATCTGATCTCAGACATACTGAGAGAACACTGCAAAATGGCAGGAAATTCCACTTTGAACAACTCCCAGCAGCACAGAAGATGCTTTTAAAACCAGGCCTGTTACATAAGGGAACAGAGACTTCAATAAAAGGTCTATATTTCTCTCGGGACAAGAAAAGGAGAGCAAGTTGCGATTTAAATAGAATATGCCAGCGGCAGAATTTGTCTGACCAGGACTGGATTAGACTTTATTCGTAATAAACGTGTGGAAACCCTACATTATAGGGACAAAATGTCCCCACATGACAAAAAGAAAAAAAAAATGCTTTATAATGGCATGGGCCTGGCATACTTTTTTTATATAGGCCTACCTGTAGGCTACAGCTCTTTGTAACTTTGTGGCTCTTGTTGGATTGGCATGTTTTGTTCTCATCTCAGAGACATGAACTCAAAAATAAAGTGATTACTCCACTTAGTGGACATAATGGGCAATGACCTGAGAAATTATGAGAGTTATATGAGAATATTTATAATTTTTTAGATATTTTTTGTATCCAAAGTTGTTCACAGTAGACTTATAGTCAATATTGTGCAAGGTGGGGTTAAAGGGTTCGTTCACCCAAAAATGAAAATTCTGTATTTACTCACCCTCATGTTGTTCAAACCCCGCAAGACCTTCGTTCATCTTTGGAAGACAAATTAAGATTTTTTTTTTAATTTAATCTGAGAGCTGGATCACTCCTCCATACTAGTCCATAGGCTTCTTGGGGGATTGAAACTTGCTGGACAAAAAAAGTTATTAAAAACAACAAAAATAACGACTTTATTTCAAGCTTCTACTATTGTACGTCACACGCTGGTCACACGCATCACACACATGACCAGCGTTGGTCAATAGTGAGCCTACGTGTGACGTAGCTCTACGCAATCACACTACGGTAACTGACTAGAGGCTCATAGAGAAGGAACTGAATAGTTGAAAAAGTCTTTATTTTTGTTTGTTTTTGCGCACAAAAAGTATTCTCGTCGCTTGATAAAGTCAAGATTGAGTCACTGTAGTCACTTGGACTATTTTAACGATGTCTTTGATAACTTTGAGGCCAGCAAGTTTCAATCCCTCAGGAAGCCTATGGACTAGTATGCAGGAGTGATACAGCTCTCAGATTTCATCAAAAATATCTTCATTTGTGAAGATGAACAACCCGATCTCACGACCAAGTCGTACGAATTCGACGAATGATTAAAAAGTGGCTAATTCGTAACAATTCATACGACCTCACTCGTACGAATTAATACGATTTTGCTAAATCGTACATATTTTACGAATTGGCCAATTCGTATGAATTCGTACGAATGACCTACCCCTGACCCCGCCCCTAAACCTAACCATCACGTGGGTTTAGACAAATCGTACAAATTAGTACGAGTGAGGTCGTACGAATTGGACACTTTTTAATCATGTGTCGAATTCGTACGAATTGGTCGTGAGATAGTGTTGAGATGAACGAAGCTCTTATTATGGGGTTGGAACAACATGAGGGTGAATAAATACTGACAGAATTTCCATTTTTGGGTGAACTAACCCTTTAAGTTCCTAATGGACATACCATTATTTTTACCTTTTACATGTGCACTTTACTTATAACTATCTAATCACTTGGTCTTACATTAAACAACAGCACCAAAAAAAACAGAACATTCATCTTTTTTGTTTTTGAGCATTATATTTTTGAGCCTAAAATATGGGTATATTATTAATAACCAGTGCATATTGCTAGACATTTTATGTTTCAAAGACAGGCACACAAATGAAAAAACCTCACCAAACATTTGTTGTGGTTAAAAATGCTTTATTTCATAATGCAATATAACAGAATCACAAAAGCCACTTGAATTGTGTGTGGTTGAGTGTATTACAAAACCTTCAGAGCCAATGTGCTTTTAGCATATTAAGATTTTCAATGATTGTGCTTAGTTGCAGTAGTACATATTTGATTATTTAAGCTAGAGCGCTATTGGTATGCTATGTACATTTTCTGGCCTTTGTTGCCCTCGTTGAGATTTTTGTTGATAAAGCTGACCCCAGCTTTCTGATACACACCACAGGAATCACAGTTGATCAGAAGAACCATGGCTTTGATCTGCGATTCACATCCTTCGTTCAGGTGCCATGCGTAGACATCTTTTCCAGTGGTTCCGGCATTGAGATTAACACTGAGCTTTTTGAAGCCTTCATTCTGGAACCTCACATTCTCCTGGAACTCAGTGGATACATTAAGAGCAGTGAGAGCTTTGCTCTTATCGGTTGTGCGCCGATACCAGAGGTAGACATAGTTTCCACCAGCACCACGATTGGTGTCTTCATCCACGCGAGTGAAGCCCAGATCAAACTTTTGCTTGTCAGAAGTGAATTCAGAAGTTGCTGTGATCTCACTGATGTAGCTCGGCTTCACTCTCTTCACCCACAGGTAGATGAGGTTCTTGGTTTTCTCCGCACCGCGGTTCAGTTCACATCCCAGTCTCTCCCAGCCATCTTGCAGAAGAGCAGTCTCTTCTTTGGCATCTTTGCTCACCTCGAGGTCCATGATAGGGATGTCAAATTCAGTGTTGCCGTAGAAGTACCACAGGTAAATGGGCTTTCCACCAGCTACTGCATTCAGATTCTTGTCGATCTTTTCATACCCTGCGCTATCAAGACCTTTGCTCATTTCATCTACGAATGAAAACTGGATCCTGGTCACGGGTCTCATGCCACACTCTTTTTTGTACCAAAGAAAGACCCGTTTGTCATGATTATCTTCACCTTCACTGAGGTCAACATTGATGAGCTGATAACCTTGAGCGCCAAGTATTTCCTCATCGTTCTTCGAGGTGGAAACACCGAGCTTTGTTATGAGTTGTTCATTGGCCATCTTAGTTTCTTCAGAATTTATCGGCACTGAGGAAGTAGGTTAGGCTAGGTAAGTAGGCTACAAAAAAGAAAGGAAAATGTAATTATTTATTGCTTTAAGCAGCAATAATAAATCTATTTCTGTATTTATGATTGAATTAATAAAGTCTGACATGCATAATATTTCTTATGAATATAAAGAAAACAAAATCTTTTATGTTACAAGAACTTCAGAAGTTTCAATGCAATAACAATATTTACTCTTAAATTGTTTACTTTACAATTCACATATAAAGAGTTCAGATGCAAAAGCCTCTAAATGCCATTTGAAATTTTCTTCTTTAATGATGATTTTTATCAAACTTGTATATTTAAGTTCAGTAATTTCACTTAAATGACAATTAATAGGTAATCATCATTGCCATTTAAGTGAAATCACTGAACTTAAATATACAAGCTTGATAAAAATGATCATTCTAGAAGAAAATTTCAAATGGCACTTAGAGGCTTTTGCATCTGAACTCTTCATATATTAATATATTTGCCTCAAAGTAAAATTTTTGTTTGTAATAAAAATGTTCAGATCAAGTAAAGTCACAATTATTTACAGTATATAGCGCCTCAGCTTCAGATTAATAAACAGCAAAGAAACCGTGTTAATGTTGCAAAAATTATAAATTATAAAATTACTTCAATTTACTATACAGAAGAAAACAGTGTCAATATTCGGTTCAGTTTAGTTCAATTCAGTACCATAACAATGTCAATGTAAAAAAAAAATATATATATATATATTCAGCTGCAGCTCTACAGAAGACAATAGTGCCATTATTCATCTCAAATCTAGTTTCAATTAAGAGAAAATACATTACCACCCTACCAGTAAAGGAGCTGGATCTTGTGTGTTGTAGAAGACAGATGAAAGATCTCTTATTTATATATCCTAACTCGCTTCTCCTACACTCCCTTGTTATATCGTCATTTATCAACCCAGCCAGCACATGACTGACCAACATTTCCACAACAATGTTGAAAGGTAAGAAACATTTGAGTGACATTTTCCAAGGCCGAAAGTGATTTGAAAGGGAAAAAAAAAATATTCTCTATAACTACAGTAGTATTTTTTTCCTATTTATTGTGCTTTTTTATTTGTCTGTTCTGCCAGTTAACAAGAATTCTGCATAAAATTAAGGAGTATTTTTATGAATTCTGGGAAATGATTATAACTTTTTTTACTAGGCCTTATAACACATTAACACATTCAAGAGTAATATATTATACATAGCGATAAGGCATTCTGTTAAAAACTATTACTTTTCTTAATTGGATAAAAAGGATAGGATAGGATTCTTTTAGGATAATTCTTTTAGGATAAGTGGGGAAGAGGCTAAAGTCCAGAAAAATAGAGCAAACCTTTACAGTATATATATTTTACCGTTTAAAATAACATACAGGCAAGGCAAGTTCATTTATATAGCACATTTAATGCACAATTGTAATTCAAAGTGCTTTATATACAAAAAGGAATTAAAATCATCATAAAATTAAAGTCTCATTTACATTCGTAATTTGTAAACAGATGACACAGCATTATCATTTTGATGGAAAGTCCTGAACAATACAGTAAATTGTCACCTGATCCATCAACCACACACCACTGGAATTTTTATGTCAAGCACAGCATGTTTTATATAAAAAAAACATGACCCGTTCAGTTTATAGACTCAAATAATTTCACTTCCTAAAAGACAATTTAATACAAATTAATAGCAGTTCAATCATTTAATACGTATGAAGGCAAATGCATACTGGCTCCTGTAACAAATTTATAAAACAATTGTGAGAATCACTTAAGCATGTCAGTAAAGCAGAAACATATAAAATCATTTTTGAACGTGGAATTTCCCTGAATTCCATTAAGAGTAAATAATCTAAGGGTTATTAGTCTCACAAAAATATCTAATCTACTGTATGTAGAACATGATGAGTTTTTAAAGAGACCTTCTTTAAAGCCACAATATGTAATTTTTCTGCTTTAAAAATAGCAAAAATAACTGTATCTATGTTATATATTTATATTAGATGTGTACTTACATTATCCCGACAGTTTCCACCAACTTTAAAATACAGAGAAATTTATAGTTTAAGTCGAAGACACGGGACGTTTCTCTATTTCCGTTTCGTCGCCCGTCTATGGCGTCATATAACCTTTGACTCCTCTATTTTCCGTAACTTCCTTGCGGAAACCCGGCGAAACCGCCAAACACAAAGGGGAACACTGGACTACCGCCAATAAAGCAAAGAAAATGACGAAGAAAAAAAAGTTGTACGTATTTTTAGCGCTCACTCTTAACAGACAGACTGTCCCCGGTGCTGAGACGACCTGCACCAGGTCGTCTCATTCAAATCAGCCAGCTGTTGCCGTTTAGTTAGCGAGCCGCGCACATTGAATACTCATATGAGTCAGGCTGCGAATGTACGTGCCCGCTTCAGCGCGCTCATGCTTACTAAATAAACGCCTCGCCTCACATCCGGCGCCGCGTACTCACTACATTCCCTTTAGCCTTAGCACATAGTGGATGCATAACGCAAACCCAGTCAAACGTTTGACTGCAGTATCTTATGTGCCTTATAATCTGGTGCGCCCTATATACAGTATGAAAAATGTTCTAAATAGGTCATTCATTGAAGGGGCGTAATATAAATATATTCGTCTGTATTATAGTTATGGACCACGATTACGCTTTGCCTGCACGTTCTGCTGCTACAGCCAGCTCAGTAAAGCTCAAACGTACCCGAGAAGGGTTTGGGACAGAAGAAGCATGACACAGGTAAATATTGGGGTTGCAATTTAAAGCTTCTTGACAAGCTAAATCTACATTTGCATGGTAAAAAACAGATGAACAAATTAAACAAAGCTGCAGAACTAATTTATCTCGTTTCATATTGAGTTTTTGAACCCCCAAAGCGACATTTCTCACGTAGCAGTGAAAATGTATTTTGCATTCAAAATGTGTATGCCACCAGAATCAGGGATTGCTGAAAATATTTTACACGATTTGTTAACTGATGATGGAGAAATTGCTCTTGGTGATGAGTCTTGATATATTTTGTTTGTAAGGTGTTGTAATTGTGCCACATTATGTGTGCATTGGGGTTATTTATGCAAAAAATGTCCCTTTTCTTTTATATCTATGTTTTCTATTTTGATTAATTTGTTGTAAGCAACCTATTTTATTCTATTGTATTCGCAAATTTCTTATGTGCCTGATTCTTTTTTATTACATGTATAAGTGTAAAATTACGGAAGCCCTGAATCACAAAAAAAAAAAAAAAAGTCTAGCATTTCGAGATTGAAGTCAAAACGTTTCGACTTTAATCTGGAAATGCTAGTCAGTCTGTGTTGCAGGACATCTTCAGCCAAACATTGTCAGATGACACATTTAAAAACAAGCAATAATAGCCACACTGTCACCAAGTCATGCGCAATAAATGTCAAAAAGAGCATCTGATCTGCCACAGACCACCAAAACCCATGCTGAGTACAGCTTGTTTCAGATGTTACAAAATAATTAGGAATTTATGGCTGATTAACAGAAATCACATTTTCCTTTTGACATTTAGAGGAAGGATAGGCAATTTTTTTTATCAACACATTTGTTTTAGGCTACTGGATGAATCTCTCTTGACAACCAGGGCCCGTATCCCTAAAGATTCTGAGAATCCTCTCAGAGAGCTCCTAACTTAATCTAAAAATTCCTTGCCAGGAGTTTTAGCTTAGAAGTGATTCCAGAACATTTTCAATGAACTCTGAGCAAGGAATGGAGAATCCTATCTTAGTGTGGTTGACCCCGTTGCTAGGTATGAGTCATCATTTCAAAAGCCGTGATTGGTTGATCCTACAAGTTTGATGAAAAATAACTTTTGGTGATAATGAGTACCCTCAAATCAATAAACATAATTATTATACACTCTAATCTTATGCAGACAGTAATTGTAAATAATATTTCACATTCAAGAAAATATCTGGAAAATGAATAGTAAGCTGTAGGGGTATAGCCTAACATTAGAATCTAAAATATATGAAAACTTAAGCTCATTACACCCTGTTCAAATAATGATTCGTGTCTTATTTGCTCATATTAATATCCAAGCTGGCATATTTTGTACTTTCACTCCCATATGGACCCCATTGAAAACAAGATGGCCTATCTCAAGGGGCTGTCCTTAATGAACTAGAAATTGCAACGTTACAACTCAGTGTGGTCTTAACGAGGGTAACACGGCTCAGCTTCTATCGATGTCTGTGATTTCTGGCTGGTCTATTTATGAAGGCTTGTTAACAAATATACAAACACAGAAAATGGAGAATGGCCATTTTGTGCAGCTGCGGGGAACTTCTGAGCCACTAAAAGTCCTCTTCCCTGCTCTTAGCAGATCTCGCCTTAGGAGCCCTTTTAAGCACTAGGAATCTTGAGGAATTATATTAACTTGGATTTTCGTGTCACTTTTAGGGGAAATTCTAAGAAAACGTCATGACTCTGAGAATTTTCTTAGAATTTGGCCGTTAGGAGCCACTTTTTGCACAAAAATTCTTGATACGGGCCCAGATGGCAATCAATAATATGAGTGACAAAAAATATTAAAATGTGTCTTAGTCATGAGCGTCCTGCAATATTCGATGTTTCCTGTGTGAAACAATTTGCCCTTCTATATGTCGATGTAGACCTTATTTGTGTTGATTACTTAGAAATATGCTTCCGCAATCATCCCAAAGCGCCATATAGGACTCTTTTGCAAAAGCGTAAATATCCAACGCACATGGCACCCTTTAACGTGAAATGAGACGCAGATATATTTGGGCAGAAGGCGCCCCCTAGTGGTCTAACCCTTACCCTACACCATACCTAAACTTAAGCGTCTCATTAGACGTTAAAGCAGTACAGATGTTAAAAGGCATAGAGTGATTCTATTGCACTGGATTAATGTTAATCATTATTTATGAGCATATAGTATTCTTGTTTTTATTATTTATCAGTTATTATTACCATTATTTATTTTTCTTTGTCTCTGTTTAGACCACATAATACACTCAAGTTCTATACGAACTTGTATATTGGCATCCTGAGCTTGGAAATAAAGATGATAAAAGATTCTCTGGCTCCAGAATCTTCTGCCTGAAAGATCTTTCTGTATTGCCATCCTAAAAAGAACCACTTGTCCATTCTTTACATACACTATAGTGTACCAAAAAAATATAATCCAATAAAATATAAACCTACCTTACAAACAGCAATTGAAACAGATAAGTAATCCTTGGTGTGTAGGTTCGTTTTCTTCTGATTTTGGTTCGAACTCTCTCGTTGCCATTTACAGCATTGGAAGTTTTCAAAACAATTTCACATGTAATGGCCATGGCAGGTATTTTGAAATACCCAATCAGTTGGTGTTGCGTCACACCAATCAAAACGTGTGTTTTCAAAGGAAAAGCCCAAAAATAGGATACAAAATATAGCCTATTTGTTACGAAACCTCTCTGAGACACAACAGTTGAGGATCCAAACGCAGTTTATTTGAGTAATCCAGAATCATAATCAAACTGAGGCAAAGGGTAAAGCACAGGAAGGCAGTCAAACAGGTAGGGGTCAGAAGCAAAAATCCAAGAACCAACAGACAATGAAACCAGGGAGAATGCTCAGAAATGCATGGTTTAGGCAGAGACTGACAAGGTAATGAGACACAGGTGGATGCAATCAGGGATGGTGAGTCTGGGCTGTGAGTTATGGGAAATATAGTTTGTAAGGGAATGACAATAGTCTGATGTAGAGTGCCCTCTGGTGGCTCCCAAGGGCATTCCAGCTGGCGACCGACACACTATTACTTCAAAATTAGGATCGTTTTTGTGTAAAATTCTTGCTAACATTATAAGCGGACCTCAAAGAACATTATAAAAAAAAAATAGCAGCAGCAAATTTAATACAGCATTGATTCATATGAATTGAAATTCACAACACTGGGCACTTGAGCACTTGCTGTCAATAATTGATAATACAATTGTGAAACACTAAAGCAGCCGATTAGCAAAGCAGAGAGATATGAAACCATTCAGAAAGACTGAAAAGTAGAACACAGAATTTCTTGAATTAAACATCTTCAGAGTACAGCTACTGGGTCTAAAAATCATGACGACCTTGATAAACATATTCAAACATTATTATTGCTATCAGATGCCACTGATGGGGAGCAGGTGCTGGTCCATCATGCCTAGAAGGCCCGAACAACAATAATAAAAGATGACAGTGCTGTACATATGAAGACTGAAAAGCTCTTCCATCTGTATTTAATTCTGAGTGCAAATGTGGCAGTTATTAGGTATAATCTGAATCCAACTCTCGCTACTTGTTAGACATTTTATATGAGTAATACAATTTATAGGAGCCTATTGTCTGCATAATTTTGCAACCTAAGCCCAGATCAGTATTTCTATTTCATTACAGTATCAGTATTTATATTTCAATAGATACAGTATGATATACGTAGGCCTACTGCACATAATCTTATTGTTTTTGGAGTCTCACAAAACCTGTGTCCAAAACATGTGTGTCCCATTTTGAAAGACACACCTTAGGAACCCTATTTTAATATATAAATAAATAAAAAAGCTTTTGATCCGGGCAGTAACATATTTTCAATTGGTCTTGTATCCCAAAGAAATGGTTACTAAGTCTCAATATATCAAGTCCACATTTGTTTTTAATGTATATTTCTATAAATAATGATAATCACTTTTTCCTTTACAATTTTTATTACACAATATTATGGCACTTTAAATCAACTGCTTTCTATTTGACTTTATATAAAAAAATTGTTCCTGTGATGTCAAAGCTGTATTTTCAGCATCATTACTCCAGTCTTCAGTGTCACATGATCCTCCAGAAATCAGTTTTATTTTTTTATCATCAATGTTGAAAGCAGTTTTTGGGGAAACTGTGAGACTTCTTTCTGAATACATTTCTTTGATGAATATTAAATTCAAAAGAATACCATTTATATAGAAATATTATTCTATATTAAATACAATACATATTTTTATAGAAATCTTTTGTAACATCACATAAGTCTTTACTCTCACTTTCTCTATATATTTGGTTGTTTTTTATTTGTGCTTTTATACAGAGACATCAATAAAATCAATAGAAAAATAAAAAAATGTTGATATGCAATATTAACCCTGTTATTCATAATTGTGTTACAGCCTGGTGTTAAGTGAATCTTCAGATCTGCCCTGCCTGTTGGGCAGAGACTTGAGATACTCGAGGTGGCGAAATGCCTCTTCTTGGTTGTGCCTTACATAGTAAACTAAATAGGATATAACCATTGTAAACCAGCCAAACATTGTTATCAGCATAGCCACATCAATGGTCCTCTGGATTGCTGTGCAGAAGTCAAGATCAGTCGCCACCAGAATGAAGGGCATTCCTTGAGCCCCCAGCGCTTCAGGTTCAGAGGTGTTGCACACCACCTCAGTGAGGGAGGAGGGATCCAAAAGCAGCTGTGGCATAGCCAGCTGCAGACGACAGTCACACAGCCAAGGGTTATGAGAGAGGTTAGTCTGGGCTCTAAGGTCGCCAAACGCCTTGGGGTCCAGGGTCTCCAGCTGGTTAGAAGAAAGATCCAGGCTGCTCAATGAGTCTGCAAGGTCTTGAAAGGCTCCAGGCTCCAGGTAAGCCAACCTGTTGTGGGAAAGATCTAATTTGAACAGTAGTGGGAGTCCTATAAAGGCGTCGGCTGGTATGGTAAGCAGCAGGTTGTTGTCTAGGTATAGATGCTGTGTAGTGTTCGGAAGGTCACGTGGAACTGCAATCAAGTGCATGTCACTACAACGGACCATCAGTCCGCCGTCGACACTCTCTGAGCAGAAACAGCTCTCTGGGCATCCGTTTTCTGCTTGGTGGCACAGACACACATCCAAAACGTGGAGCAGGAGGGTGAAAGTGAGAGAAAGGCAGCTGGCCACAGCATGACCGCCCATAGACATACTGACAGTCCTGAACAACAAGAGGAGGAAGAGCACACCAGCTCAAAACAAACAGGAACAAAATAATAATAGTCATTATTACAACTGACACCCTGCTATCATTATGCTTGCTGATTGTGGAGTTATTTTGAGGATAAATGGGCACTTGTTAGGTTAATTGCCATCAAGAAACTGCTATTTTTTTAGGGCATAAACTATATAATAAGAGAAAACGGTTAATACAGATATAATTTATGCCAAGCCAATTTTTTTTTAAACATAGCCAACAGCTCATGAATGTTCACTAATATTGCTCCTCAATCCCGTATAACTTACCAATAACAACCAGAAATTCAAATGGTTTGAATTAGCTTGGGAACTTACAAAAACGTGTAAAATTTAACTTACCTGAGAGAAGATGTGAATTCGTAACTCGCGTTACGAATGTTGTTGTCTTTAGCGAATAAACACGGTGTTTCCCGTTTTGGGCTTATTTCTTCAAAATTTTCATTCATAATTTGCCTGTCCGGCTAATTTTGACTTTCCCTCAGAATGTGAACGTCTCTTCATCACCAAAACAACGCATGTGATGATTCCATCGGCATTATTCACAAGACAAACGGATACGAGTTCATTCCTGTCTTGAAGATCAACTTGATCGTAGAGAAGCCTCTCAGTTCCCATCTCTCTCCGAGAGTGTGTGTGTGTGTGTGTGTGTGTGTGTGTGTGTGTGTGTGTGTGGTTTTGGAATCCCGAAGCTTTCCTCACACATAAAGCAAGATAACCGACAGATGGCGCTATAAGTGAACGAGGATCATCTGTCGATTATGTTTGATCTTACTTGACGCAGCACAAAATACAGTACATAGGGTCAAATTTCTACAGTTCACTTTACTCCAGTTATTTATTAATACTATTGAAATCATGAAATCATTTTTAGCCTAATAAGATCCTAAATGTTCAGTTTAGATATCTTCATACAGACTGTTCTGCTTATATTTTGCAATTTCTATTATATAAACTATTTTAACAATTAGCAATAACAGCTGGATTAAAAATAAAATCTAGTATGTCTCGTTATTGCTTTAATTTTTCTTTAAAAGTGGTCTCAGATCCGATTGAATGCCACAAAAGTAAGTTATAAAACACAAAAGTATTCCTTGAGATCTACATGCCAATTGATATTTTCATTACATATTAAAAAAAAAACAGTTTTACATTTGTCTTTTGCCAGCAACTAGACCACAAAGGTTTCATGTATCAGTCAAAAAATCTGTGACACTGTGACATAACCTCTTTTATTTTCTGTTTAATGATAAAATTATCTCTGCTCTAGAAATAGCATCATTTCAATGTGGGGCATGATCCCAGCATAAATATTTGTGTTGTTGGACAAAATAAAACTTGATTTAAATACAGTTAAATTTAAATAAATCAGTTCATATCAGTGCAGAGTCTGTTGTGAGGAGTTTACTACAAGGAAGTCTCACTCTCGTAGACTGTAATATTTCAGATATTTAGTGATATAAGTCATGTCCACACACATTAGGTATGGATTTACTGCGAAACAGACACGGGTTTTTCAAATAGGTCCCATTTTATACCATAATCAACCCTTTTCAGTGATGATGATGATACACAAAGTTCACAGCAGTTTTATGATTTCTTCCACTTGTGGATATCATCAGCATCCTCCTCCAGCATTGCCTTCACATCACCCAGTGCAATCATCAGCTGTGCCAGGTAGTATGTTGTCATAATAATGTGCCTTTCGTATTCTATATCAAAGACATTGAACTTTGTTAGTGCAATTGTGAGGTCAGAAGCCATGAAGACCAGGCTCCCCAGCAGGACAAGCGGCCGCCGCGTACGAACAGCTAGTGTAGCCATGATGACAATGAGCAGCATGTAACCCCCTATGGCTGGGACGAGGACGTCAGCTTCTGGATCAAGCCGTAGGAAGGGCACCAGGTACACGTAAAGTCCACCGCCGATCAACCACAGGAGGAGGTAGAGGAAATAGAATGAGAAAGACGAAGATGTTGCAGAATATCGTGATGACAGGAAGGAGAAAGAGTAAAGCAAGTGGGCCAGAGCAAAACAGCCCATTCCTGAAAAAGAAAACAGAAAGAGATTGGACTGTAAGGCTGGGTTATTGTAATTATCCAAAACAATAAATAAATATAACTATGAAGTAAAATAAATGTCAATCAAAATAAAATAAAATGTTTTCGTATATTTTTAAATAGTTAACGAGTAGGGTACTTAAATAATTAAAAATGAAATAAAAATGAATAAAAGATATAGACTTTATATATATACTGTATATATATATATATATATATATATATATATATATATAAAGAGACAAAATCAAACAACTAAAAACCGATGTTAAAATAACACAGCAGTGGAGAATTGTGATTAATTTTATATTTAAATGGAAATAAATTTAAAGTAATTAAAAAAAATTGTATTAAAACAAATGAATGGTAATTCTCATTGTATTCTCATTACTGTGATACAGTACTTATAAAGTACATACTAACGGTGTATATATCAAGTTAAAATAAAATTGTGCCTACCTGCCATGAAAATAATATCCCTAACATTTTAATGTATATGTGTGTGTGTGTGTGTGTGTGTATACCCAAGTTGCCTAAAAAGAGGAATAAAAAATCATCTTTTGGAAATTGATCTTAATGCCTTAATTTAAAAAATGAGAAAAATCCAACCTTTAAGGACACCAATTTTCTTTGTGAATGAAATAAATAAAATTTCATAAATAAATGTTCTTCCTTAAAATACAGGTGGCATAAGTCAAGTAAGTTAAATTCCCATACAGGCAGGCAGATTTTTTTATTTTTAAAGGCCAGTTATGGATCCAGGATAATATGCATCCTGATTAAGTTCCCTTGGCCGTTGGAATTAAAACATCCCCACATCATCACACTACCTTCACCGTATCTAGCGATTGGCATGGGCTACTTTCCATAAGATCATCTCTGAATGTAAATAAAACCAGCTATTAGGCTAACTGAAATAAAACCAAGTCAATCATGGGTGTGATGATGTGGGGATATTTTAATTCCAAAGGCAAAGGCAACTTTATCTGGATACATATTATCCTGGATCCATAACTGGGCTTTAAAAATCTGCCTGACTCTATGGGAATTTAACATAGGGGTGTCCTGACTTATGCACCCTGTATTTTAAGTAAGAACATTTATTTAATTGCGATGCATTATTCATACACAAAGAAAATTGGTGTCCTTAAAGGTTGGATTTTTCAGGGTGAAATATGGCCTGGATATGTTCTTATTAAATTTTGTGTCATTAACCCTGATAGTCTTAAGTTAAGATATGGAACTAAAAGAAAAAACTTTTACCATGAACAAAAAGTTCTGGCCAAATAAGGCAATAGTCTCCGCCCGCTGAGAGCAGCAACCCTCCGGCCACACCCAGTAGACTCCGCCCCCCATTATAACTGAACACCAGAAGGACCAACGAGAGGATGGGAGCAGCCTTTATTCCAGCAGCCAGAAGAGAGGGGGCGGAGTCTGGGATCCACAAATAGAAGTATATTGTGCAGGATGCAAAAAAAGGGAGGAGATAGAGAAACAGTACACAGCACTGGAAAAGAATGAAAGCAGTACAGGCATCAGTTATTAAAACACACAGTCTGCACATTCTGCTCTAAAGAGAATTTCAAACAGTCTCACAATTTTTTTTTTATAAAACATTAAATTTAAATATCTTTGTTATGAGGAAATTAAAACATGACATGAGTGTAAAGCCATAGAAAAATAATTGTGACTAAATGTGGATCTAAATATTTAAACTGGATGTTTGAGAATCCCACAAAAGCAGAACGCAGGTGTCTGTATTTTTGTGCAGGTGTGTGTGTGTCTGTATGGTGCTGTGATTACCGTGTTTCTGCGTTGTCTGCGGTCAAAGGCACTGGTCTCCAGGATGTCCATCTCTCTCTTCTGGCCTAAACAGTCATACACTCAGATCTCAGATGTGGGCCACGTACTCCACAACTGGGAGATTTGCAATGTCTCTGTGAACTATGAATACCAGTGTGTTTCATTGGCTGGGGTAGGTATGGACTTTGGACCATTATGAGGGATGTGTAATCTGTCAGATTGTTCGGTCATAAAGTACACCCCCCTCTCTCTCCTTCTTTCTGTGCCTGTCTCTCCCTCTTCTCTGCATTATGGCCTATTACCCTGTGACATCATCAATAAGAGCAAAGGTTTGATGATTGAGACACGAGTTCAGGAAGATCTTTAAAAAAAAGTAGTATTAATTAAAATTATCTTTAGCACATTGATTTCTGTCTTTTCAGCTTATTTTATTTATTTGATCAGATTTTCTGTTGTGGTTGTAGATGTCAGAGTAAGGAGAAGCTTAAGAAACGTTTTATTTACATTTTTTATCCAAAATATTGTAATTATTATAATAATCATTGTAATCCTAATTCTTTTTCATTATTATTAATTATTAGCTTCTCTGATGGTAGTTTTAACTGCATAATTATAATCAAAATATTATTATTATTATTATATATAGCCGGAGATATACATGTTTCAAGATGATCACCCATATGAGGGAGCCATATGGCCAGTGTTATGATGCAGCAAATAATAATAATATATATATATATATATATATATATATATATATATATATATACAAAGTAGGCTATATATATATATATATATATATTCTAATATAACAGTCTATAACAATTTTGTCTTACACTTATTAAAAAGGTGTGACCCGATAATAGCTATAAATGGCATGGCAACTTCAGGTGCAGGATCCCCGTTTCTACCATAAATAATATTACAGTGCTCCTTTAAAATACCCAAACACCAATGGATTCACACAGAATTTAGTCTAATAATTAACATGAACTTTAACCCGCTCTATCCAACAATCTCTCAAACAGCGAAAGAGATCGACGAACATCGAGAAGAAAGAGAGAGTGAAAATAGAGAAAAGGTAAGGATAAAGCAGGTAAGTGAAAGTTGAGAGAAGCGAGATCAGTGTGTTAGAGATAAAGGGTGACATTGGGGAAAATGAAAAGGGGGAGGGGCCAAAGTTTTAATCAATAGCATGTGTGGGGAATACATGCCATATAAGCAAATCTTCTTGGAGTTTCCTGTTTCAGAAGTTACAAAAATAGACTACACTGTTGTTATATAGTTGTAGGTAACAATTAGCTCCCTTAATCTACGTTTAACAGACAAACCCTGGAGATTAGACATTCTATAGACATGCTATTGGTTCTTTTGAATCTCTTTTCTCACTTTGCAGATATGGCTGATAGACCCTTAAAGGTTGGAATTGTAGGATATGGACATTTAGGTGAGTTTCACTGAGTTCTCCAGTGAAAACTTTTGTTTCAGCTTTCCCTAACACATTCATTTATTTAATTTGCTCTTAAAAATATTGCATATTACCTTTGACAAAATAAAAAAAAAATGTATACTTCCTGATTTTAAAATATATATCTCAGTTATTCAGCATATATATATATATATATATATATATATATATATATATATATATATATATATATATATATATATATATATATATATATATATATATATATAATATTTTGTCATTGAAAGGTATCTGGGACATTTGATTCATTAGTGAATCTGTCCATAACTCAAATCACTAAAATATCATGAAAATTTTTTGGTCAAGAAGTGTGGAAGAGCTGGGATTAGGCTACTCATCTTCAGTATAAATTTGTTCTGTCAAACCATGAAGCTTGTATTACATCTTTGGCCTCTACATTCAGGACAGTTTCTTGTTGAGAAGATCCAAAGGGAAGGGCCTAAAGTGGGGCTGCAAATAGCATTCGTTTGGAACCGAAATCTAGACAAACTTAAAGATTCATTGCCCGAAGAGCTCATTCTACATGACCTCTCAGATTTCACACGCAGGTAAACATTGCTAATAAGTTTGTATGCAAGAGCATGTTGCATGGGGCTCTTTTCCACAGTCATATCAATGGCAAAAAGTGTCCCAATCAACCTGAATTCACCCTATTTGTTTAACAGGAGAAACGAGAGAGACAGAGCACTTATAAGTGTTTTTGTGTGTGTTTGGTGTGTTTCAGAGTAACTGATGTAATAGTGGAGGTGTGTCATCCACAGATAGTTAAAGAGTTTGGGTGCAGATTTCTGTCGCACGCTCATTTCCTGGTAACTTTACTGTTTACCTCTATATTATTACCAGAAATCTTGCTTTCCATATTATTTACATTTATTTCATAATGATGACAAGCTGTGTCGGTTATGTAGTTGTTATAGAACCATCCCTGATCAAGTTTTTCCCTTTTCCCTCAGGTGGGCAGCCCTTCGGCTCTCTCCGACACCCAGCTTGAGCACGACCTCCGCACTGCTGCAAAGCAACATGGAAAAACACTTTATGTGCCCAGTGGTGCATTATGGGGTGGCCAAGATATTCAAAAAATGAACGACAGCGGAACATTGCGGGTGAGACCATTTTATTATAATTATTTAGTGAGCACATTTTTATTTGATTGCTCATAAAAAATATTTATATTCAACAGGTGGTCAGCAAAGTTAAGTTTTATTGTCCCTCTCGCATTAAAAAAATATATTAAGTAATTTTCAAATGTCTCTCGTAGGCTCTATCAATCCGAATGTCAAAACATCCCTCTTGCTTTCGACTGACTGGTGGCTTGCTCTCTGATTGGACGGAGGGAGAGGGGAGGCGGGTCTTGTACCACGGCTCAGTAGCAGAGCTCTGCCCCATAGCCCCCAACAATGTGAACACGATGGCAGCTGCGGCCATAGCCGCATCAAAGTTGGGCTTTCATGGGGTTACTGGAGAAATCGTTTCAGACACTGCGTGAGTTGCCAACTGGTCCTCAATGTTTTATTCCTCATAAAACACAATAAAACTGACTCCATCCCTAGACTTTTCAGCATGTTGCCAAGTAGTTATTCACTGACAAAAGTAATAAAAAACACTATACTTAAGGTTTTGTTCAAATCCCTAACCTTGTATGAGGATCTCTTCTTGCCCCTCTCTCCAGATTAGCAGACTACCATATTGTGGAGGTTGAGGTAATAGGTCCAGATGGGTTCTCTGTGAAAACGGTAAGACAGAACCCCGCCAAACTGGGAGCTGTAACAGGAAATGCCACATACAATTCCTTCTGGAGCAGCTTACTGGGTATGTTTGCATAAGACAGATGGAGCGCATATAGCCAAAAACCACAGTATGTGCTGAACATCCTAAGCCAAATGTGGTTTTGCACAGATAATATAGCTATAGAAAACAATTCCATCATAAACCTTTGCATTCTTTTGTAGCCATCATCTTTTCTTTCTGTCCAGCTAAAGTTTGAAAGTGAAGTAAAAAGTCCAAAATGATACATATTGTCTCTTATCTCATATCTTATTATCTCAGTCTTGTTATATATTACATTAAATCTGAATTATGTTGTCTTTTTTTTCCAGTCTGCAAGGGTCATGGAGGAAGGGTGTATCTGTGTTGACAACATTGGATTTCTGCAGAAAGTGTACAAGTTAACCGAAGTATTACAGTTGCACGATGAAATAATAAAAAAAAATTGATGTCATGTCAATAATGTTGTAGACTTTAATCTCTGTTGTACAGCCTTGACAGACATGACAAATTTAAACAGTGCTCGTGTGTATTACAGTATCAATGATCATCCAGTGCATTCATTTGGCAGGTTAGTTTTTGCAACATTGCTTGTGATTCTTTAAAGGTGCTATAAGCAAATTCAGGCCTTTTTAGGCTAAAACATTTTTTGTCACATACAGAACACATCTCCACACTATCCGCTATCTGCCTGTCCCCTGAACCCACTGTTAAAACTCTCTGTAGACAGCCCAGGCTTCACAAACGGCCACAAAAACACGAAAGACAGCCATACACATCGATTTACAGAGGAAGACTAACCGACTTGTGTAGTATGCGTTGGCTGTCTGCCAGAAGCTAGTTATTTTAGTCGATAAAAGTTTTAAATATGGATTTTTTTTTTTACATAAACACGTAGCTTCACTTCATAAGGCCTTTATTAACCCCCGCAGAGCCGCGTGGAGCACTTTTATCATGGATGGATGCTTTTTTATGGACTTCGAAACATAAACGACCATTATAAAGCTAAGAAGAGCCGGGACATTTTTTATTATAACTCTTGTGTTCGTCTGGAAGAAGAATGTCATATACACCTAGGATAACTTGAGTGTGAGTAAATCATGGGCTAATTTTCATTTTTTAAATAGACCTATCCCTTTAAGACCAGCATCACAGACAGACAGCTGGAGGTCAGTTTGGTATAAATCTGAATCTGAATAACACTAGCTAAAACTAAATCCTTTGCTCTTAGTTGTTTTTGTAATAGGCCTTGTATGAAAGACACCAGTGAAATCTTCACAAACTATGGCTTGCCATTTACTTAAACATCTTATTTATTTCTCTTCAGAACACCAACATGCAAACACACTGTTTGCAGGCATTACTTTCACTTTTACAGGAGTGTTTTTGTGTTTAAAGTGTGTGTATATATATGTATATATATATATATATAAATGCCTCACAGTATAAGCTACAGTTTGTGTATGTGTGCATGTATGGCTGTGTTTTAGTTTTTCTCAGGGAGACCGACTGTATGATTCTTGTTTCGGCTCGGTACAATAATCGGTTGGCGGATATTGAGCCGGTCTTTCTCTGCTTCCAGATCTTCATCATACGGTTCATCCTCGTCCTCACCCTCACTTTGATGAGGAGACGAGTGAAGCGAGTGGGCGGGAGAAGGGGGCACAGAGGCAGGTCGTGGGTAATGGAAGCCTGTGGCCTGGATTACGTGAATAAAAGAATAAACGTCAACAAATATTTACGTCTTGGCTCATAGACATTAACCAGATCTGTCTAGAGCAGTCAGTGGTTTTCAACCTTTTTGACTCCAAGGCCCTCCCATTGTCCACAACAGTATTCAAAATCCCCATGACTTGTCTAGTTGTTTGTAAATAACTTGGAAAAGCATTGTAAAATATATTTTGTTACACTCAATTGCAACCAAAGTCCCCCCTTGGACGTCTGCTGAGGTTGAGAAATCCGGGTTGAGAGTTCAGGTTGAGAACCACTAGTCTAGATAATTAAATTTAAGACTTGTAAACTTAAGTCATCATTTTAGCTTACTGAAGTGGGTTCTTGAGGCTCATAGAAGTATGTGTCCGGGAAAGCTTTCGCTAAAGCCATATGACGGGCAGAAATGTAATACTAAGAAATAAAAACATGTTATATTAGTTCAAGAACAACAACCTGTAAGCCTTATTGTTTTGATGCATATACAGTTATTTGGACACATCTTGTGGTGTATCCAGCTGACAGTCCTAGGTGGTATGAACTTGGGCAAAGCAATTCATTGAGTGTGTGTGTGTGTGTTGTCTTACCCTGCCCAGATATCTCCAGTCTAGCAGGTCACTGAGGCGCTCAGTTCGGTTCCTTTGAATGATCCTCTGCCTGCGGCTCTGCTGACAGAACTGAAACAGGAAAGACGTCAGCTGATTACAGGACTCATCCACCCCACGATGCCGCCGATCCAGAATATAGATACCTGAGAGAGAGGGGGAATTAGGAACCAATTAAACCTTAATCAAACAAAAATGAGACTTGGGAAAAAAATATTTAAATCTTGTAGCTACTGTTTATCTTTTCCATCCTAAATGTACAGCTCTCACCATAAGATGATGGGTCAGCAATGTGCTCCTCCATAAAACAGCCAAACCCTGACAGGTTAGTGGAGATCGATGGGATACCCATCACTGTACACTCAGCTGGAAGAGAGAGGTGTTCATTGTGTTGAGTGGTAGTTATTCATACACAGTTAATTAGTTCATACACTACCATTAAAATGTTTGGGGTCAGTAAGATTTTTTTAATGTTTTAAAAGAAGTCTCTTTTCCTTACCCGGCTACATTGATTTGGTCAAAAATATGCTATATTTAATAATGCTGTATAATGCTGATCTGCTGCTCAAGAAGAATTTCTTTACCATTTTTTTTAAAGTAACACTTTTTCAGGATGAATAGAAAGGTCAAAAGAACAGCATTTATTTGAAATAAAATTCTAAAAAAATGTCATAATTTCTTTGAAAAAAATGTAATGTTGACATTAATATACATATAGGAGTGTGTGTAGTTATACCTGGTGTGTATCCCCAGGGCTCATAGTAAGATGGAAATACTCCAAGGTGGCAGCCTCTCACAAACTCCTCGTAGTCCATCGGCAGGAGAGGAGAAGTTGAGGAGAGAAACTCTGGATGGAAAATCACCTGGCAGAAGAATAGAAGTCTTTAAAAGTATATTCAGTATTTTTCCCACAGAAAAACTAATCAATTACTGAGCCTTTAATTATATACAGCGTGTCTGTGTACCTTGACTCGGTCCTGAGAGGTGTTGAAGAGGCCAATGCGGCGGATGCAGTTGAGGATGGGGTCACTGCTGTCCTCCAGCATGTTGTGAGTGCAGACGGGGGGCAGACACTGTCGTTGGGTGGCGAAGATGGCACGCTTCATTATGGTGAAGTCCTCTTTATCTAACATCTTAGACACATCAGGCAACTGCCCTCTGAGAACAAAAAAGAGAGCAATGTCACTCCAAAGAAGAGATTCACACACTTTTTTGATGCAGTCGAAAAGGCGACTCACACTAAAAGTGATTCGTAGAGTTTCTTCCCAAAACGCTCCTTCACAGTCTGTGCAGTGTCCCTGACAATACAACAAAGATGCAATATCACAACAAAATCCATTCACAACAGACCCTGGGTCCCTGAAAATAAGGGTGCTTTCACACTAACACCTTTGGTGCGCACCCGTGTTCGATTGACGTCAGAGTTCAGTTCGTTTTGACGATGTGAACAGTGTTTTCCGAACTCGGGTGCGCACTCGCGAACTGAGGTTGGTCGGTGGTACACAATCATACTAAATTGTAGAAGTGAACCGCTATTGATGACGCATGACCCTATGAAACTATTTGTGTGGGTTTCACTCACCTTCCTGGCAAGCTGATGCACTGCAAGCAGAGAAAATGTACATTTTATTCTGCAGTAATGGACTCCCGCCTTCTTTAGAACATTTGCGGCAAGTGTTATGTGCTGATGCTTTGAAAATGTAATCAAGTTACAAAAAAACTAAATAAAAACAAAATATAAAAGTGAGGTGAACAACAGTATGCATTTTGTGGCTATCTCCTGTGTTGTAGGGGTAAACAGCTGCTGCTATTATTATATCACAAACGCATTGCGGTTCAGACAAAAATAATATAATTATTTGTATAAGCAGGGGAAGGGTGAGAGAACCAGGCTATCGAACCAAGTGTGAAAGCACCCTAAGATATCAAGAGAGAGAAAAAATGTTTTTGAGCAAAATGATAACGAGTAAATAATTATATTTATGTAACATAATTAATAAATAACTATACTTTTGACTATTCCTTTCGATTAGGTGACATTATGACAACTGTTTATTTTAATAATAACTAAATACAATTTTTTCTACATTCTTCACTGCAGAATGGAAGCTGTGTTGGGACACTCGAGACCAGTATTGCTATTGTTAACTAAAACAATAATTAATTGAAGGTCCCCTCCCCTGGGTTATTTTAGTATTTTATAGTGTTTCCTGGGTTGCCCTTATTATGTTAGTATGTTTTTTAGATCAAAAATAGTCATAATTTAGAAATAAAAGGCATTTTTCCTATCCTGATTTTAGCCTCTGATTTGAATGCTCTGTTAAAAGGGGCATCTCTGCTGTGGGATTCAATGTAACTGGCCTCTGCTGTGATTGGCTGACATACTTGCATATGAAATAGCTACATATTACATGTGAAACTCTCTCGAATACTTTTACTACAGCTATTATACATTTTTAGTATTATAGATATCGAGATTACCGAATCATGAGAAGTTTTTGAAGTATTTAAAAATATTTTATCATATTAATGTTAGAAAAAATAAGAAAATAAAAATTTCATGTCAGGGGACCTTTAAGCTGAATATGTATATTAGATGAAAAATGTAAACAAAGGAAAATTTTAAATGTTGCATTAGCAACTTACTGAAGAAAAAGTTTGTTAAAGTATTAAAACGGCTCAAACTAAAACTGAAATAAAAATAAACTATAGATAAAGAGTTAAAAAAACAAATGTATAAAAAAAACATAAAATTAATAAAACTAAAATATTGAAAACAAAAACGAATTCAAAATACAGTGTAAATAATATTACATCAGCACTGCTTTCAAGAAATGTGGTGGAATTCTAGGCGATCTTGGGAGTTTCTATGAAGTAAGTAGGTTGAGCTACACAGTGTCATTCACAATATTAGTCCTCACAGTGCAGCTGTCATGGTTACCAGAGCTGTTTCCGCACGGCTTGGCCCTTCAGGGTCTCCACGTTGAAGTTGTTGGTGCGAGCAGGCATGATGAAGAATGCTATTACAGTCACCTCGCTGTGATTCACCTAGAACCACAAGAATAATGTTTAAAATCAAGGTCACATTTAAAACTTTCTCCATCAAAAGATTCTCCATCTTTAACATTTTGTGTGTTTGTACTGTGAAGTAGCAAATGCACAGTGTACACTAATGATACACGGATCGCGCTTCTATCCGCGGGTGAGGCGGGCCAAGTAATACAAAATAACATTCCAATTAATTGTGGGTGAATGAAATAAATCATCATATTGTGTTGATTTTATTAAAGACACAGAACTTTTCACGGTAAAACTCAATGAACGCGCACCACTTTTGTTTTCAACAAAGTACATTTCTTCAGCGAAAAGCAATCAAGGAAAAAAATGCGCCTAGAGCACCTTTTAGTGGTCATTATTTAAAACACAATGGAAAAAACCTACATGAGATATCACTTAATAACTTTAACTAATATACACAAGCTTAAAATGTGTGGTATAAAAAGGTGCCCCTTTTTACTATATGTAAAATAAGTCTCTGTTGTATCCAGAGTGTGTATGTTAAGTTTTAGCTCAAAATACCCCACAGATAATGTAATTTTGTGTGTCCGTTTAAATTAAAATGCTGCTACTCCAGTCACAGAGGGTGTACTTCAGTGTTATATGTTACCATAACATCACGCTTAACACTGAGAATTAAAATAGGCTAACTGTAATGTGATGATCGCACACAGGTCAGGTGATAATATCTGAATCAGAGAAATTCATAGCTTTGGGTGGGTGGCGGGTGAATTATTTTTGACAGCAGATTCAGGTGACGTTAGAGTTTATCCACACATCTCTAGTGTACACCTTAAAACACAAATACTTGCCCTCAGAAGGTAATTAAGTCTGGCCAACGCTTCAAGAAAGATATCAGCTCCTTTATTTGAGAATTCATAGCGTCCAGCAATAAAAAGAAACACTGTCTTGTCAAGGTTAAAATCTAAATGCCTTCAGGGAACACAAAACAACAAGAAAACATATGTATGACAAGAGAGTTATTGTATATGGACATGTCTGTGAATATGATATTATTATATATATTAACCCATAGAAATGGCCTCTGACAAACTCCTGGATGCGCGCTTTACTCTGAGCGTGGAGGTTCTGGAACTCGTGCATGGCTGAGAACTTCTTCACATTCAGACCGTTAGGAGTCACAATATCTGACAGAGAAAAGTGAAAGTTGATATCTTAAGCAAATGGTTAAAAATAGGTTATACAAACAGCAGATTCCTAGACAAAATTCGAATTCTGAACTAAATCAAGAATCAAGAACCTCCAGAGTGAAAATACCAGATCTAATACCAGATCAATCCGGCCATGACGACATTTTAAATGATATCATCTGACAGTGCCATAATACCATTAGAAATGTAGTGCAACATTCTTTTAAAAAAAAAAAGTAAAGTCACCTGGTTTCCGCTTTAGTAAGTGCTCGGCCTCAATGGCGGTGATCTGAGAGACGGTGGTGAAAACGTGTGTACAGCGGGCTGCTGCACGCTCCAGACAGTACCGGTGATAGATCTGCCTGTCACCTGCCTCTTTATCCACATTAAACTACACATGGAGAAATAACAAGACACTTCAGAACACTTTCTTAAAAGGTAAAGTATTTTTTATGTTAAAAACCAGTTTGTTGTTTATTGACTAGTATTAGTATGCTATACATGGGTTTATCTCCCCCAAAAAAGTCAACACACTGACTGAAGCTCCCAGGCACCATCAAAACACAGTCAAAAAATGCACACAGTGCAAGTACATTGGATGGGTACAGTATATTCAAGAAGCTCACGTTTGCTCTAGAAAAAGTGTTAATCTACTCAATTGCTTACTCATGACACATTGCAAGACATCTAAAAGTATTCCTATAATGTTTGATCTTTTACTGAAAGTACGCTATACTTGACCTTTTGAGACATGCCTACAAGCACCCGTAACAACTGTTTGGGTTTGGGGAGGCATGCCACACATAGGGACGTTTGCAAGGTTGTTTGAAAATATGCTTAACTTTTGTAATTCCCCTAAGTGCCACTAGTCTCACAGAAAGTATGCATTTCACCTTTATTAAATTAGGGATACTAGCTGAATTACAGTTGCTGTTTTTGTTTCCAAGAAATATTCTTGGTGTCACACTATTATTTGTTTGAAACAGGGAATGTTTTCTAAAGAAAACCGAATCTATCTGAAGTTAGAACAGTAATAGGGAAGTATCACACATTCTCTTGCACAAACGCACGTCTGCGAGGTTGTTGTAGAAGTCGACGCTTCCGGCACACAGATATCGGCCGAGCAGAGTGGCGTGTGTGGTGAAGATGGTTGCTATGGGTAAATGGCGCTGTCTACATAAGACCAGCCCCAAACCTGCCAGCCACTCGTGAAAATGTGCCACGATGTGAGGAGGGTCGTCACACTGAGCTGCATACTGAAACACACATAACCATAATCATAATAAATGAGAATTAAACATCTTTTATGTACATGTTCCAAATAAACAGATAAGATGATGTATCTTTTAAAAAAAAAATATATATATATATATATATATATATATATATATTCACTGGGTTACCAAAAATAATAGGTTATCTAATATCTAAATCGTTTTTTGAATTTCCTGAACAAAAAATGTTCAAAAAAATGACAAAATTAATATTCACATAGATATTAAAAAAGGAATGGCAAACACCAGTGTAGTTAAAGGTGCTATTTGTAACTTTTCTTCTAAAATGAATCATTTTTTATTGCCTGTGTTTGAAGGGGTTGTAACCACGCATTACAATGATCCACTCGTCAGGTTTTACCATTACCTCTGAAGGCCAGTATTCCTATTTCTATGTGAAGTCTCCGGGTCGGATATCTACGAAATCCATCGGATGTGACGTGCATGTGGGCTAAATGCAGTCAATGTAATGTTATCATGGAGCATTAGTTCAATGTCAAGCTGATAAAAGTTGCCTATTATTGTAACGTTGCAGTGGGAGTTTACATGAGTTTCCAGCATGTTGTGTGATGCTTTCTCCGGTGTGTTGAAAGTCTCAGTGTGGCCGTGTACCACGCGTGCCCACTCTTGTTGTGTTTGACCAAACGCTCATATAATAATAGATTTCAACCTGAAACATCACCGATAGAGGCCGCTAAAAAATACATAAAGCACCTTTAACTAAAACTATTAAAATACAATACAAAGACAAAAGCATCACTGAACACACCTCTCCCAGCAGCCATGCAGTGAGGAAGCCAAAGAGAACAGCATCGTTAGCCTCTCTGTCGAACCAGGGCACACCAATACCACATTTCTCCCACAATTCACTCTTCCAGCGGTCCAAAGACCAGGCCGTGAAGCCCACGTCTAGCAGAATCACGTATGGAGAGCCTTCAATCAGCCATCGACCAAAATATACCTAGAGAAAGAGGCAAAGGAACGAATCGAGTCAAAAACTTTCATGAAAACCAAGATTACCACCACACTTGCTGATATTGTCTTCATACAGTTTTGCCAAATTTATTCAAAGATCACAATCTTTAGTTAATACTTTCTATTAGAAACCTAGATAACAGCAAAGTGACCTGGCAATAATGCTGGCACCAATTCACAAAATGTCTCTCAGTGGAAAATTCTCTCAAAGAACCGAAATAGACCTTAGTCTAGCTGTAGGACACAGATATAGCCTTTTAACCTTTAAAACACACACACACAGAATGAAGGTTTAGGGTTTCATTGAGGATAAGAGCAGATTAAAACGGGCTACGTGATGTGTGTGCACATATTAGTGTGGATAAACAGGAGGTGAACAAACCCAGAGCTAAACAAATTGTGTTTTTTCATATGAATTAAGTCAACTAGCCAGCAAAGATGTGCATGCATTTGTATACCTTGCACCCACTGCTGTTCATTTTATCAATGGTTCTTCTGAGTGCTGCATTACAGGGTTCGATCAGCTCCACTTGCGTCCTGACATTGGACTCCATATACGGGCCAACTAGAAAGTAGTTCTCACCCCATTCCTCGCAGGTCAGACGCGCCTTGGTCTGGATCACCGTGTAAATGCCCCCAACTACCATAAAACGAGAGTGGTTAGTTAACCTTCAACAGATGTTTAGGTCCAGCAAAGGCCACCTAACCCTTTCAACTTGACGTTGTCGACAGCTTTCGCAATGTCTCCTTGACCTTTATCTAATCTAGCTGTCAAGAATATATAATATTCACAGAGTGCAGCAAATACCAACACTAGAGTCACATGATGGTATGTGGATGGATACAGTGTCTGAACGCTTGGCGCTGGAGTCATGTGGCATATAGGTTTTTGTGGTGTGACAAACAAAAGTATCTGGTTTCTCCTTTTCAAGTAGACAACCTAATAACTCTCTTTAAAACAATTGGTTATTGGTTAATTCACTGTATTGTATTGCATCAAAACCCTCTTTGTGTTTACCAAATATATTGACACTTTCTATGAAAAATGCAATAGGCTATGGAAAGTACAGTATGGTTTGTTTACCAGTCCAGCTCAGTTTATCTTTCATCGCATGAAAGGTTACACTCAAATATTACAAACCTAAAACTATGTTATGTTAGTCTATTCATGACATGTCAGTGTAAAAACAGCCTTAATTGTACTAAATTTACTAATGTTCAGAAGTTTGGGATATTTTTTTTTAAGTAATTTATCATTTTATTCAGGATGCGTGACATTTTTTAAAAGTGACAGTAAAGACATATCATATTATAATGTTACAAAATATTATTTTCTTATAAGAAACATACAAAATACAAAAAGCAGCACAACGATTTTCCACATTGGTAATAATAATCAGAAGAGTTTGTTTCTTGAGCACCAAATCATCATATTAGAATGACTTCTGAAGGATCATGTGACACAAGTTAGGTGTAACGATGCTGCAATATTTCACAATATTACTGTTTTACTGTATTTTATTTTTGATTACAAAATGCAGCCTTGGTGAGACTTCTTTCAAAAGCATTTTAATCTTACTGACCCCAAACTTAAATGGTAGTGTAGCTTTTTGAGGATATGATTTGAAATGTCTATGATGATACATTAGCAATGAAAATCGTAACCAAGAAAAGAAACACACACACCTTTATTAGAGACCTCCCATGCGATCTCGAAGAGGACTGCATCCTCCCGATCAAACTCTTCGTCCCAGTCCTCCAGGCCAGACAGGGAGGTGACCGACAAACTGCGTGCCAGTGGCATGCTGGGTAATGGTAAACAATGATAATATCAATCAATTTATCCATGTTAGTCTCATCTACATTGAACTCCTGACATTTAAACGAATATGTCACTTATATCCATCATAAAATGACGAATGTAGCTTTATGTGACACACAAGAGCTGTCAACACCAGTATGACCTTCCAGCATGCACACAGACACTTCCTCACTTTCCCCAAATGACAACAATTTATATCCACAGCATTTCATTATAACGACTCATCTTCCAGCATGGCTCACTGGCTCTTCCTCTCAGATTTGCACATGGAAACACATTTTTAAAAAGCAACGAGCAAGAACTATGAGCAAGTGCATGTTCAGATCAGGTGAGAGGCCTACAAATACATTGTGACATTATGCCTTCATCTCAAGTCTAGGCATGATCTTTCATGCATCACTTTTTTTTTTACCATCTATGATCACAACACTATGTAATACCGGGACTGTCAATCACACCATCACTTACACACCCTCCAATTACAACATACATTGAGCAACATGAGGCCTGTTTACGAGAAGGATTGAAAGTAACGTTAATTGAGAGAAGAGGCTTATAGACGGTCTAGTCCCTATAGACCCAGCCAGGATTCATTAAATAATTAAAGGTCCTCCATACATTATAAACATGTACAAAGAAGAAAGATGAACACCAATTTGGATGTATGGGATGTGCGCACCATTTTTGTATTTTTTGACCCTCCATTATAAACACACCTTCACGCAATGGTTACTTGGATTATGAAACCCCAATGTAGAATTAAAGTGTTGGTGATGTGTCATTTATGACTGGTGGGCATTTTACCACCGAGTCTCTCAAGGACGCAAACAGTATGCGTGCGCAAGCGCGCACCCTGAAATGGTACGTGCGCTTTGACCACACAGGAACAGTCCAACGTAAAACAAAATTTGTTTGTCACCATAAAAAAGACATGTATATAAAGTGTTTCGTGGGTATAAAATTGAAAGTGCATACAATAAACAGATGGACACTATCAAAAAAGGCACAAGTTGCGGAATGTCGTCTTGCACGCTTGAGGAAGGACAGACTGGCCAGGCAAGAGCAAGCTGCAAAAGTGGGTTAGACACGGGTAAACGAAGAGCACTGCGCGTGACAGTAATCACGCACGGGCTTTGCAGCTTGAAGATAATTTCCCTCTCCGGGTTTTAAAACACACAGATATATAATTTCAAACTGACAACACACAAAAACTGTTATTCACTCACCCTGCGGTTGCGTCTTTTCCTCGCTCAGCGGCGCAAGCTTCGCATCTGCTAAAATCAATCACCAGAAGGATGATTTGAAAGGTTTGCGGAGTCTCCTGCGCAGATTCTGCCTGTTGGACAATTTGGCTGTCCGTCAGAGTGAAAGCCCGCATGCGACCAGACACGTCATATAAATGTAGGCGTGTCTTACCTTACGCCGTCTCCGCCTTCTCCTTGATCTCAAGAGCAGCGTCTACGGTCACTCACAACCCTATGGTCGCAACACCAACACCACTTTAACAGAGAACTAGGCGTTTACTTGAATGATCACTTTAATTGGCTGAACAATTTCCTTAGACAACTCACACGGCTTTTTATGCTTTTTGTACGCATTTTCAGCTTCACGTTCTTAGAAGTACTGCCTTGATCACTATAATCAATGACCCAAATATAATCATTTATCTATCTATCTCAAAACTGTTTATAATAACTTTTCTTAATCACGACCCTCTCAACATGGCACCTATCGTCGCCCATGAAGGCGAATCACTTCCTTCTTTTTGACCAATTGCAGTCCTCCGTGGACCCAACGCAATTTTACCGGGAAAACGCGGATGTTGCTCATGTCCGGTGGAAACTGACATCCAACACTGTGAAGTGGCGGGAGATTTATCTAGTGCATATGGAGAAATAGAGCTCGAGCTGGAATAAAAGGTAAAAGATTATGTATTTATTCCGTTGTTAGAGTTCACCTTGATATCTGATGCAGCTTGTTTTTGCGATGTTAAATGAATTTGCTGACTCTTTATTGTTTGTATATATTGCTAACATCTTTTGCTAACGTTTCTTGTTTGTCCAGTTCGCCTAGTAACGTTATATTATTTAAAACGCAATATAATAAGCAACGTGAAAATAAACAGCATTCTTTTGATTGCTGAATTACCAGTTACGATTAATTACATGGGTACAATAATATAATACGCGTGTGAAAAAGTTATACAACAGGCCTATAGATTATGTACAATGCTTGGGAAACGAAATATGAATGTATTATGCACATTGATATTTAGTATGTTGACTCAACCTAAAGACCCTCAGATCATCAGAAATTGCTTCGTAATGTTTAGTAACGTCAACATGCCTGTATAACAAACGTTTGTTTCATTAGCCCCGCCCCTTTTATGTAAATGACGCAGTCAGACACTCCATTTTAATGTTATTGTTCTAAGTTTGATGTTATTCTTTAGCTTTGAGACGTTGGGCTAAGACGTTTATGATGTAGCGTGTCGTGCACCATATCTTTATTATATTTCTTTATACTCTGTAAATAATTTGTTACATATTCTGAATTCCATACATATTCAGTTGACAATATAGAAGTGATCTTTTGTGAGTGTTTTGTTGTTGTTGCTTTTTTTGGTTTCAACTAACTTAGTTGAAAACATTTTACAGAGTTATCCCAGCACGTTTGTAAGTGTTTTTGAGTGTTTCATCAAGAGTTGAAATTGTTTTTGCAAGGCTTCTTCAGAATGGACTTTAAAAGACGCAATGGAGGCCCTTCAATGGGCGGGGCTTCGCAGCCCAAGAAGGGGAAAATTAGCACAGAATGGGAGGATAGTCCCTCCCAGTTTGAAGAGGAACTTGCTCTATTTGATGAAATGGATATGGAGGTGGAGTCAGGGGAGGGCCAAGCCGGCCATGATGTCATTCCAGTGGGTAAGTATGTTTTGTCTGTTTTTAAAATTAATTAATTATCATTATTAATTATTCACCAAAAATCTACAAAATATTCAAAGCAACATAGCATCTGATGCATACAATTACAGTACAAGCAAAAAAAAAAAAAAGCCAATTCCATAATCCTAATCTTAGAACATAAAATGCATGAACCAAATTATATATACATTTGAGGTGTTATGATGCCCTCATGTCACGATTTAATTCATATCTTGATACTGAAGTCACGATACAGTATTATTGCGATACTCTAAGACATATGGTAAAAGCCAGGTTAACAAAAATGTACTGTTGATTAAAATGCTAAATTTCATATTATATTGGGAGTGGAAATGAATAGGCTTGGACTTGGTGCTGTTTCTAAAGCTGAAAATACAGAATTATTTTAGACTAATATGCTTGCATGCTGTCACTGACTACATATATTTAAAATAATGTTGGGCATTTGGCACTATCAGGACCCACAAATATTCCCCCATTGCATTATTATACATTATATTCAACATTATACATAGTAATTTAATGTACAGCTGTACTGACACTAAAACTCAGTAAACTTACAGTTTTTCCTCAAAGTAATTTTCATTTTGGGTGAACTATCCACATATATATATATATATATATAAACTAATTGACAAAACAAAAATATTTTATTAATTTTCACACAAGGTTCCCATCTCGTTAAAAGCTTCTATTCCTAGTATTGCACCTTAGATCATATGGTTAGATTGTAACGTTAAATTCCTTATATTTCCAGTTTTTTATTTATTTATTTATTTACTTAGTTTTGTATATGCAAGGAAAAACATTGCTCTAACTTTGTGACCCTTGACCTCGCATGATGTACCCTCTTTTGCTCAGGTGAGTTATTCTCTGCTGATCTTAATCCACGTTGGAAACGACCTCATGCACCGCCTCTTCAACCAAAGTCAGACACACTCATTTTTCAGCAGATAGACCTGGATTATTACCTGGGTGAGACACACATGCTCTCTAACAGATGCACACACACACAAACAAATTCATGATTTCATCCAGACCTCTTCCTCAATGTGCTGTCGTTTGGTGTTTAGGACCTGCGGTAGCAGGTATGCCTGGACAGGTACAGGGCAAAGTACCCATTGTACGCATGTTTGGTGTGACGGACAGTGGAAATAGCGTGTGCTGCCACATTCATGGATTTGCCCCGTATTTCTATGTTCCTGCCCCCAACGGTGAGCCGCCAGTTACAGGATGGTGCTCAGTGTCATTGCGATGTAGTAAACGCAACGTTCATGATTTTTCTCTGTGTCTCTCTCAGGGTTTACAAATGCACACTTGGCTGAGTTTCAGAGAGAGCTGAATTCTGCTGTATTGAAGGACATGCGCTCCAATAAAGACAACATAGCGGTCACTGTGCTGGCATTGGACATTACCAGGAAAGAAAGTAAGTCGTGTGTTTTTTTTTTTAAAGATTTTTAAAAATATTTTTCAGAGAAGTCTTTTCTGCTCACCAATGCTGCATTTATTTGATCAAAAATACAATAACACTAGTATTTTAAAATATTATGTCAGTTTAAAGAACAGTCACTGTTTTCTATTATATATGTATTTTCAAAGTGTAATTTATCCCTGTGATGGTAAAGAGTTTTCAGCATCATTACTCCAGTCTTCAGTGTCACGTGATCTTTCGGAAATCATTCTAACATGATGATTTGCTGCTCAGAAAACAATTTCTTATAATTATTATTGTTATATGTTGTGAAAGTAATATTTTTGTGCCAACCACGGTTTACATTTTGTCATTCTTTACTGTCACTTTTTATCAATTTAACGTGTCGTTTTTTAGTTTTTATGTTTTCAAAATGAGAAGTCCCAAACATTTAAAGCTTGTGTAAATGGAAAATGGAACTGTTTGTATGACTTGTTTGTAGCTGACTGACTTTTCCATATTTGCACTAAGGTATGTATCATTACCATGGAAACCAAGCTCATGACTTTCTGCGCATTACCATGGCGATGCCACGTCTGGTTGCCCCAGCGAAGCGTATCCTGGAACAGGGCTTTAAATTTGCCAATTTCGCCACCCAGAGCTACCAGGCTTTTGAAGCCAACATCGACTTTGAGATCAGGTGAATGTTTGTGTGTACTTGAACGTTTCTGAAACTGGTGATTAGATCTGCACGATATATCTATGTCAAAAGATCGCAATCTCGATTCAAACACCCTTGCGATCTTATTCCTTAATGACAACAATTCGGCCTATGACAAGTGCGATCACAGAAAACATTGAAATCTGCGTTGGCGCACCCGTTGACCCAGAAGGAATAGGCACGTTCAAGCTCAAACCAGTGTGCGAAACGGTGTGCAACAGGGTTTGAGATGATTGGGTGGGCGCAATCAGCAGCAACATGTATTAAAGAGACCTCTTGCACAATGGGTCCAAGTAAAGTCGTTTACAAATGTGTCCACTGCAGCTCGGTATACTCAACAATAAGCTATTAGAAGACATGTTTGTTGATTTATCCTAAAATGCGTTTCTTTTTATTATTTTGTTCTTTTATTCTGGACGGCAAGGGCAGAATTGTGAATCTCTATTTTAAACAAAATAATTGTGATTCAATTTATCCAGAATTGTGTGGCTCTACTGGTAATGTGTGGTAGACTACTGGTAGTGTGTGTTTGCTTGACTTGATAAAGTAAGGTCTGCATAATGTGCATGTGATGGCAGGTTCATGGTGGACTGTGATGTTGTTGGTTGCTGCTGGATTGAGCTTCCAAAAGGGAAGTACAGGGTGAGGGAAGAGAGAAGGGAAGGACAGACCGATTCAAAATATCCAGGAAAGGTAAAAAGAAAAACAACAACTACAGTCACTTAAGTTATTAGAGTGATCCACTGAATTGTCTTTAATCGATTTCTCTCTCAGGTTTCCCTGTGTCAGTATGAGGTGGATGTTGCATGGAATGATCTGATCAGTCATCCAGCTGAAGGAGAATGGCAGAGGATCGCTCCACTCAGAGTCCTGAGCTTTGATATTGAGTGTGCTGGCAGAAAAGGTGTTTGTTTAGGCATTATACCCTCTGTTTAAGCTTAGCTTATTCTAATTTTGCTGAATTGGATTGTTTGACTTCCATAAAACCATTTGATAGAAAGTTGTGGAATTTGCCACACTGACATCTCATATTTTCTTTTGGAAATTTTGGGATCAATCAAACTCTTTAGCGCCCCCACAATTTAAACTTTTCATTGTTTTAGTTAAAAAAAAATTATGTATATATATATATATATATATATATATATATATATGAAGAGTTCAGATGCAAAAGCCTCTAAGTGCCATTTGAAATGTTCTTCTAGAATGATCATTTTTACCAAGCTTGTATATTTAAGTTCAGTAATTTCACTTAAATGGCAATTCATAGGTAATCTTCATTGCCATTTAAGTGAAATTACTGAACTTAAATATATAAGCTTGATAAAAATGATCATTTTAGAAGAAAATTTCATATATATATATATATATATATACAAGATGCTTGTTGTGTCATTGCCACCATGTGCAAGTAGTGTGCTTGTTGTTGGCCTTGTAATTGCCTGCAAATAAATTATAAAGTTATTATATCTTGCTGTGTAACTAACTGAACTGTTTGTGTGTGTGTTACAGGTGTGTTTCCAGAGCCGGAGATCGACCCTGTGATTCAGATCGCCTCTATGGTGCAGCGTCAGGGAGAGAAGGAGCCGTTTATCCGGACAGTCTTCACCTTACAGAGCTGTGCCAGTATAGTGGGCTCCCAGATTCTCTGCTTTACTCAGGAGAGGCAGCTACTGCAGGTACGTGCTCCCAGATTCTCCAGCTACACTTGAATGGAAATGTTTACACATGTATTTTCTCTAAAAATGAAAATGTACATGGTGCCACTTCAGGGCTGCCCCCAAAAAGTCGACAAACTTTTAATCAGTTAGTTGCAGAAAATAAAAACTGGTCCTTCAAAACAGAAAATTCAAAGTGTGGGAACATTTGGAGATGGACCACAAAAAGGTGACATGCGATCTTAAACATGACAAAACGTACATGTTAGCCACTTTACATTATATTTTAAATGGCCGCTCACTCTATTGTTAATATTATTGTGCTATAATTTAAGGCACATATCCAAGTTTGGTAGCTAAATTAGTGCCGCACTACATGTTTAACTTAACTTCCACGAAGACCAGCTTCATTGTGAGCAAAACGGAGCTCATACAATTTTCCCATAAATCATTGACAAACTCGTATTTGACCTTTTTCTTAAAATGCAAAGAAATTACAACTTAGAGTCTCAGGTATAGTCTAATTGTCCACATTGTTGTAGCGATTCAGTTATGCGTTTTATGTAATGCCTATTATGTTTGTGTTCGGACGTCTGAGTTTTCATTCAATGTTAAAGCTGCTTGTGCTTCGACCTGATTATGTTTGGACTCTTAAGTGTTTTGGTTTTTGTATATTTATTTACTTGGTTAGAATTATGTCCTACGTTTATGTATAAAAAAAATCTATCTATCTACACCCACATATACATAAAAATACATAAAAATACTTACAAATATGTAAATAAATGCATATGTGTGATTATATCAGAGTTGGGGTGAGTTTATGAGGACAGTGGATCCTGACATCATCACTGGCTACAATATCCAGAACTTTGACCTTCCGTACCTCCTCAACAGGGCTGCCACCTTAAAGGTAAAGTGTTGTTGTATGTTTTAACACAAATATATCTTTTTGGTGGAAAGTGAACAAACCCAGTGATTGCACATGTCAGAAAGGTTTTATATTATAATTCAGGCAGGGGATGGTGATTTCAGTCGCTTGTCTTTCTGTGTCCTTAGGTGAATATGTTCCCATATCTGGGTCGTGTGTGGGGCATCAAATCAGTTCTGAAAGACTCCAGCTTCCAGAGCAAACAGATGGGTCGCAGAGAGAACAAAACTGTGAATATGGAAGGACGTGTGCAGTTTGACCTATTACAGGTGTGCACACTCTCACTTTGTTCCATCAGATTGATTCATGATCCGCATGATGCTGTGACTCACCAAGTTTTTTCCTCTGTTGTAGGTGTTGCTGAGAGATTATAAACTGCGCTCTTACACACTAAACGCTGTCAGTTTCCATTTCCTGCAAGAGCAGAAGGAGGATGTACAGCATTCTATCATCACAGATCTACAGGTACGGCCAATCAGGTCTCTGTTCTACACATCTATAGCCAATCAGATCCCTCAACTCCATCCAAGACATCTGGAGTCCAGTAAACCCTCAGAAAACGTGTCTTTCCTCTCTCCTTATTTTTGATTAGAATGGGAATGAACAGACCCGCAGGCGTTTGGCTGTATACTGTCTGAAGGATGCGTATCTGCCGCTGCGCTTGCTGCAGAAGTTGATGTGCGTCATTAATTACATGGAAATGGCCAGAGTAACTGGAGTGCCCCTGACTTACCTGCTCTCTCGCGGACAGCAGATTAAAGTGGTTTCACAGCTCCTGAGACAGGTCAGCGTATGTCTATCTGTAACATTTGTTCATGTAACAAACCTAGCCAACATTTAATGTGTTGACTTTATGATTGTTTTATTGTGTAGGCTATGAAGCAGGACCTGGTGATGCCAGTGGTGAGGGCAGAGGGAGGGGAGGACTATACTGGAGCCACTGTCATAGAACCAGAGAAAGGGTTTGTACCCACTTTTGTGACCAAATTCTCATCCTCAAATCAGAGTATAAGTAAATTGCATATCTTGAGTTCTATTAAAAAAAGCAATCTTCAGAAACACGCTTCTGTTCACAAGTTTGGGGTTTTGTTGAGAAATTAACTTTTGTTCAGCGAGGATGTATTAAATAGATCAAACATTTCAGACAAAAAAATAAATTTGTACTGTTACAAAAGATTTCCATTTGAATAAATGCTGCTCTTTTAAATGTTCTATTTTTCAAAGTATCCTGAACATTTTTATTATGTTTCCACAAACATTGAGCAACAAAACTGTTTTCAACGTTGATAATGGTGAGAAATGTTTCTGGAGCATCAAACCTTCATATTAGACTGATTTTCGTAGGATCATGTGACAATTAAGACTGGAGTAATGATTCTGAAAATTCAGCTTTGCCATCACAGGAATAAATTACAAATAAATATTAAAACCATTATATTCACTTGTACACAACTTCAAATTATTACCTATTTACTGTAATTTGTATCAAATAAATTTAGCCTTGGTGAACATAAGAGACTCCTTTTAAAAACATTTTAAAAAATCGTACATATTCCAGACTTTTTAACAGTAGTGTAAATAAATAAATAAACGTACTTGAAGAGATTTATTTCTAGTGAATGACAACAGATTCTTACCATTTTTGCTTCCTTTTACAGTACAGTACTTGCGTGTATTTACAGTGTACTTACCTAGACAGTAATATTAAGGTAATTACATGGGTTAGGGGTAGGTTGAGGGTTAGTATCTAGTTATTACCCAATAATTGTAAGTACATAGTATGTACATGGGAAACAGGACTGTAAAAGTAAGCGTTACCCCATTTTTTTTTTCTTCTTCTGATAGTTAAAAACAAAATTTACATGTAATGTTGTTAAATTGAAGTAACATTTAAGTTTTGTAGATGATTCACAAATGCAAACGCTGTATGTGTTTACAGGTATTACAGTGTTCCTATAGCAACTCTGGATTTCTCCTCACTGTATCCCTCCATCATGATGGCTCACAATTTATGTTACACTACTCTCCTGCAGAAGGGCCAGGTGGACAAACTGGGGTGAGAGGAGTGTGTTTATTGTGATGTTTAGTTTTTTTCTTTGATTTGCGTGAATTTTAATTGTGGTGTTCTCCATTTTGTGACTAATTGAAGCGGTACTACTTTTTTGTGTGCATACATTTTAGTCTGGCTCCAGAGGATTTCATCAAGACCCCCACTGGTGATCTGTTTGTGAAGAGCTCTGTGAGGAAGGGCCTTCTCCCGGAGATCCTGGAAAACCTGCTGGGCGCCAGGAAAAGGTGATCAATTCAACAACAACAGATGATGATTAATAAACGTCTTATATTCGATACCAAATAGTTCCGTGTAATTAGTGCTTAAAGTCGATTAAAAAAATTAACTAATTAATTGCACATTTTTATGTAATTAAGTCTGATTAACTTAACATTAAAGCTTTTATCTATATTCTTTTATTGTAATAATTTCAAATGCCTATATTTTAAATATTTGTTTTAATGGCATCTTTTTATAAAAGAAGGCCAGTATCACTGATACCAATACTACTTGTCATGTCTCTATGAAATATTTTTTACTCAATTTTAGCCGTAATAGCCATTCAGCATTACAGTAAAATCAATTCTAGCATTTAAAAAATATATAACATTTAATTTAAGTGGACTTAAAACAACCTTCACGTAAACCCATTGTAATAAATGTCACATTTACCAATGTCCTTCAATATATCAGGACTCAATTTTTCCTCTTGGCCAAGTCAGACCAGTTCAGAATTTTACTTCCCCTGTCAAAAGGTTTCTTACCCATGTAACCTTGTAAACAGTGCTTTAAGATTTTCAGGTAGATATAGTATTTATACAGAAATTAAATAAAGTAATCAAACACTTCAGTCTTCACTGCATAAATTACAAATTAAATATAGATAAATCCTTATTAAAGCTGCAAAAGTTATTCAGTCAAGAGTAGTGAGTGAGTGATTTTCTTTTTTATTTAGTTTTTTTTAATTAACATTAGTCATTAAACACTCTACACCAGGTTTATTAGGCTGCTGTCACTTTAAGACCTGCCGCACCAGACGCATCGTATCGTCTCGTTAAAATCACATAAAATATTTTTAATGCGTTAAACTGAAAAAATGACTGCCCTATTAAAAGCTATTGTTGTACCCATTATGCCTGTTGTGCCTCTAGGGCGAAGGCAGAGCTGAAGAAAGAGACGGACCCCTTTAAAAAACAGGTTCTGGATGGAAGGCAGTTGGCTTTGAAGATCAGTGCGAACTCAGTGTACGGGTTCACTGGGGCTCAGGTGGGCAAACTGCCCTGTTTGGAAATCTCACAGGTCAGTTTCAGCACTCACACATGAGTAAATACTGTCGGCTTTAGACAGAGATGCTTAAAGTTCCTCTCTTTCATCTGTAGAGCGTCACAGGCTTTGGTAGGCAGATGATTGAACAGACCAAACAGCTTGTGGAATCAAGATACACAATCTCTAATGGTTACCAGGCAGATGCAAAGGTATTTAATGGCATAAATATTTTGTTTTTGTTTTTTGCCTTTCAATGCAATGAAAATATTTCATCAAATACGTTTCAGGTTGTCTACGGAGACACAGACTCTGTGATGGTGAAACTAGGTGTGGCCACAGTGCAGGAAGCAATGAATCTGGGAAAGGAGGCAGCTGAATGGGTCTCCTCCCACTTCGTTCCACCAATCAAATTAGAGTTTGAAAAGGTACAGGAAGCAGGCCAAGATTTCGTTACAGATGGCATCTAATGTTATTATGGTAACACTTTATAATAAGGTTCCATTTGTTAACTACGTCTGTTAAAGGTGGGCTAAGCGATATTTCAAAAACGCTGTTGGACATTGTTGATATTTGAAATCAATCCAAACACACCCCTCTTTCTGCAGTCTTTCTTCAAATCTCCCTCTTGCCCTTTCTCTCTCCTCCGCCGTCATACGCCCCCTAATGCTGATTAGCTACACATTTGTGTCGGTCCAACTAACTTCCAAACAGAGTTTTTCAAATATTGCTTACACCCCCTTTGCATGAGCTAACTATGAAAAATGCAATTATTAATCTAGGTAATGTTAATTTCAGCATTTACTAAAACAGAATTGAAATCTAATGTTATCTGTTAATATTATTTAATGGATCTCAGCTAACACGAACGTACAATTATCAGTTGTATTATTATCAACTATTAAATACTGTAACAAATGCATTAACTAATGGTTCCTAATTGTAAAGTTAATTATTCTTAATTCACATTTTTCAGGTTTATTACCCATATCTGTTGATCAATAAAAAGAGGTATGCCGGGCTGTATTTCTCTTCTGATGCTGAACATCATGATAAGATGGATTGCAAAGGAATAGAGACTGTCAGACGAGACAACTGCCCTCTAGTGGCCAACCTTATCAATACATGCCTCCAAAACATCCTCATTGATAGGTACAAACATTGCCACACTCAGAAAACCACCATGCGCTCGTATACGCAACAGTGACGCACATACTAGGATGTGTAATAGTGATGACATGACTCTACAAGCCTTACTAAAAGCCTTTTTTGTTAATGTTCTAAAGGCAACACCATTCATATACCAGCATGCACATTAATTCAGAGGATGTTATGTTTCAGAGACCCTGATGGAGCAGTAGCCCATGCTAAAGAAGTGATCTCTGACCTTCTGTGTAACCGCATTGACATAAGTCAGCTGGTCATAACTAAAGAGCTGACACGTACCGCACAGGAGTATGCCGGCAAACAGGCCCACGTCGAACTAGCTGAGAGGTGTGTGTTGTTATTTTCTTGACCGTTAATTCATATCTGCAATTCATACAAAATTCGCCATTCCGACATTGAAATAGGCTATTCTCATGATACATGCAAATCCGAAAAGTTTGTATTTGGTGTGGGGGAGGGTTAAATGAATGTATATCTGAACGGGACGGTCTTCATCGTGCCTCTTTATGATGCTTTATAAAGTAGTGTTTATAAGCGAAGCACTGTTTAGTGTAGCCACTGTATTTCTGCTTTTACATTTGCCCCACTTACCTTCAGAGAGTGAATTTGCCTTTTCATTTAGCTCAGAACAATTATATATGACATACAGGGGCACGTTCAGATAACCAGACTTTGCAGGCATGGAATTATTGCGCATTTAACCACTTTCCACCAACATGGGTTTTAGGATGCGGAAGCGTGACGCCGGTAGCGCTCCAAACCTCGGAGATCGAGTTCCGTACGTCATCATCAAAGCAACAAAGGGAGTGGCGGCATATATGAAATCAGAGGTCAGTATTGTGTATCGTCTGTTTTGATGTGGCTGATTTTCTGTGCTGTAGTTATAACTGCTGAGTTCTGTATCTCAGGACCCCATCTATGTGCTGGAGAACAACATCCCTATAGACACGCAGTACTACCTGGAGCAACAGCTTTCCAAGCCTTTACTGCGCATCTTTGAGCCCATACTGGGAGAGAGCAAAGCGGAGAGCGTGTTACTGAGTGAGTATCATCTATTAAGCCTAAAAACCCAGGATGTTTAAAGTCGGCTCGAAATGAAAATGATTTGCGAATCTACTGTTGATTTTTAGTGCAATCAGTCATTTCTATTGTTTTATGGAATATAGCCTTTTTATCTCATCACATTCAAATAAAACTGCAGACTGTGGTCAAATATAATTTCTTTCACCGTGCCTTTTTTGCTGTGTGCTGTTCTAGAGGGAGATCACACACGCTGTAAGACGGTCTTGACATCCAGGGTCGGTGGTCTCATGGCTTTCGCTCAGAAACGAAGCACTTGCATTGGCTGCAGAGCTGTGCTCAAAACTGATGGTATGTATCATGTGTGTGTGTTCGGATGAACTGGCGCTTCAGTAGTACCACAAATCACAAAACTCTGCATCTGATGGTTTTCCTCTTCAGCGGCCGTATGCGACTTCTGCAAAAAGAGAGAGTCTGAGCTTTATCAGAAAGAGGTGAGTTTAAAAAAAAAAAAAAATTATATACAAATCCTGGCAAAATTATCTTCGGACGTGGGGTTGCTGAAGATTGTCCGTGTGTGTCTTTTAGATTGCTCATCTGTCATCACTAGAGGAGAAATTCTCTCGCCTGTGGACTCAGTGTCAACGCTGTCAAGGTTCTCTCCATGAAGACGTGCTTTGTACCAGGTGTTTATACATGCTTGTTAATATTCATTATGTATTTGTGAATGATTTTTTTGGTGATAGTTCTCATACCTGTGGTTCTAAATAATAAATTCTCTTTTTTTCAGTCGAGACTGCCCCATTTTTTACATGAGAAAGAAAGTCCAGAAAGATTTAGACGATCAGGAGAAGCTCGTTTCCCGTTTTGGCTGGTGATGGACAGGAATTTTTTCTTGTTGTCTTCAGCCTTCTCAACATTCATTCATCCTCTTACCTCAGTGAAGGAGTCTGTCACTCCAGATTGTAAAGAATCTAAATTTTTTTAGTGGTTGAATAAAGTGCATTTTTGTAAAATTGTTGTTTTCTTTTGTCTGGTTGAACATTACACTTAGATGTAATTTGACAATCAAATTCAGATTTTAAATGCCACTGTTATATAAAAAAAAAAATCATATCACTGCAAGTCATGGACATTTCTATTGTCAATATTCGATCTGAAATATTTCATCCGATAGATTAGTGATCCTTTACCATGAAGCTACAACAGAAAACTACAAACAGAGCAGAGAACAAAATATTAAAATATCATCCCAAGCCAATATTTAATATAGCATTCATGCATGTTTGTGTTTCAGTCATTACAAGTCCAAGATATATTAAGTGTAACACAAGTATTTGAAATATTACACAGATCATACCAGAACAAGAATCTTTCTCAGGCAACCTAGATCATATTCTTTAAATTAGGATTTAAAAAACAATAAATACAGGGCTATTTCTTGCTCACAGTTTAGTCATAGACATATACACTAGACCTCACCATGGGGTTCTAAGCATGCGTCAAAACCGCTGCCATCTTGGAACAGGGGTCTTGTCATAGGAAGTAGCTAGGTAACGCTGCTATCTCTGCCTTTACTTCGAATTCATTGATGGTGGCGGACTTTTGTGCAGCGTATGATGTTCACGGATGAAATCTGAACTAGGAAGAATGTTTAAAAATAATAATAATAATTCTTTCTGGAATCAATGATAAATACATGTCTGACCATTGGAACAAACCAAAAAGACAAGAAAAATCGCATTCATGATGATTTATGGTGATTTTATATCCGTTAGACCTGTGTCCACTACATTGACGCTGATGCATTAAAGTGGAGGGGCTCCCCTGTTTCAAGATGGCGGCTCTATTGACGCATTCGTTCCAATGAACTGCCGTAGCCAAGGTGAGGTCTAGTGTATATGTCTATGACAGTTTAGTTATCTCTTGTTTTACCTAGAGCACTTACTACTGTATGTAGCCATTTACAGCAGATACCTGATCACAATGGCATTGTAAGAATGACATTTCAAAACGACACCCAAAAATCTGATTGCAACAGATTTTCTGAGAATATTCCAAAAAGTTGTTGCAACTGCCCTGGTATGACCGCAATGAATGTAACACGACATACCTGTTGTAACACCTTAAACTAAGTTCTGGTTTCGACTACAATTGGACGTTTGAATATTAAGGAAATCACACTGTCATTTAGCCAAAAGTCTCTTTATTCACAAAACATAACTACAGATGTCAATGTGGCAAAGGGAATGCAATCAATCACAAGTTTTGGTCACATGTTTAATCAACCAAAATTATCACTGTCTACTGTAAAACTAAAGAAATGTGAGAAACAGGGGAGATCAGTTCTCACCTTCCTCAACCAAGCCTCTTCACTGGTGGGAACACCCGTGGCATTTTTACACACCTCATCATAATACATGAAATGGTAATATATCCAATATAATGCCGGTATGTGTAACGAAAAACAAAATTTTTACAAAAATACAGAACTTTACCATCAAATACTGCAGGTAAGAAACAAATTTAAGAAGAGAGCTTGATTTATTTTCATGATTATAGAAGGGCTACATTAAGTGAAAGTTTTAGTCCAAGCCATGACACCAACAGAAACCTGGGGAGAAATGGATTCTGGGAAGGTGATGAATGCATGAAATGTAAATTTTTGTACAAACTCCCCAAAAAGACAAAGCAAAAACTATGGAAATCCCCTTTTGATGATGAAATGACAGCATGTTTAGCAAGTACTGAAATATTTGCTGGATAAATCCCACAATGCGTGAGGTGGAAACACTTTTTAAGGTGTGAAACACCATGCTAGTGGTTTTGAATGAGGCGAACACTTGCTCTAATGTGCTTTCCCACAGGCCACAGAAACTTTAGGGGACTTCTTAGCTTCCTCATTCCCGACCACCGCTAACAGAAGCATGTGGCTTACACAGTTGGAGATAAGACACAAGGCTTACTTAAAAACAGTTACCCATTACCGACTTAAAGTATATCCCTTCACCACCTTATTCTTTTGTTACAAGGGTCAAAGTTCCTTTCTGTCGTGGTTCTAAAGTACGACTGTAAAACTATGACATACGTCATATCTTTTTAGCACAGAAGAGGAAGCAGCAGCGCAAGGTTGTCGAGTCCACTTAAGACTAAATTATCCAGCCGAATATGATAATGCGACTATGCGAGGTCAATATATGTCTTTTCCAAAACAATTCCACAGTTGCATGGTTCTCGTTGAGGTCTCATGCGCACATACATACATACATAAAAACACATACAGCAGCCAATCAGGTTCCTATTCCTCAAAGGCTGGTTGGTGTAAGACACAAGGGGCAGTAAGAAAAGGAAATAGGATGTGTGTGTGTATGTGTGATGCTACAGTAGTGTATGCGTGTATGTGTGACCTTGAGTGCATTCCCATCACGGGGGGCTGTACGCGTGTATCGCTATAAAAGAGTGCAACGTCTCTGTGTGTGCTTTTTGCTCTTCTTATTGCTGCGGTTTGTCTCCTTGTATCTTCTGATCTCCCGCACAAGAGAGTAAAATGCCTCCTCAACTCCCTGTAGACAGAAAACAAGATAGATTTCAAATGAATGCTGATTAATTTCAATCAATCTGAGGAGAAATCATAAAAGAGTTGGTTTTGTCAAAACGTTTGTTGCAGGTTATGAGTACTCGGGTACTCAAGTACTTGGACGTGACAGTGATGATAGATACTGAAAACGATGATCACCATGACTTTAAAAAAACTTACTTCTTTTTTTCTGGTTGGTTATTGCGGCATTATGAGCGGTACCCGAGATCTGATTGGTTAAAGGACAACTCCGGCGCTAAATGAACCTTAAGTCTAATTACACATTGTTACCTAGTCAACCGTTATCTGAGATTTGTTTTCATGATTGCCGAATGTAAATAGTTTTATCTCTAAAAACAGTTTAGCCTATAACGCTAGTATAATGCTAGTATATAGGGCATAGAGTAATGACAAATAAAAATCGCTTGTTATTACCACTAAAAAGGCTCAAAATAGCCCCACAGTAACACGACAGCATAACAAGGGTCCCTACATTCAAACCGAAGCATTGAGAACTTTGTCAGTGTCCATACCGTTTAATAAGCAGATATTTTATACACACAGTCAACTTCGCTAATACAGGAAGAAGCCATCTTGGAAAAATAGTCTCGACCAGTCGATCTACGAACGCCGATCCAAGTGCGCTGAAGAGATGTGAATAAAGGTGATAAGGTGAGCGCGAACAGTAGGCTACGTGTACATATTGAAGAGAAGTAAACGGTTTGTGTTTCTTCTGGAAACAACGGACCATATGAGATTCTGCTCAGTTCAGCGCACTTGGATCGGCGCTCGTAGATCGACTGATAGGGACTATTTTTCAAAGATGGCTTCTTCCTGTATTCGCGAAGTTGACTGTGTCTATAAAATATTTTCTTATTAAACTGTATGGACACTGACAAAGTTCTCAATGCTTCGCTTTGAATGTAGGGACCTGTTGTTATGCTGTCGTGTTGGTGTGGGGCTATTTTGAGCCCTGTTAGTGGTAATAACAAGCGATTTTTATTTGTCATTACTCTATGCCCTATATACTAGCGTTATAGGCTAAACTGTTTTTAGAGATAAAACTATTTACATTCGGCAATCATGAAAACAAATCTCAGATAACGGTTGACTAGGTAGCAATGTGTAATTAGACCAAAGGTTCGTTTTGCGCCGGAGTTGTCCTTTAACGTTAAACAGAATGCCATCCAGACCTAGCAAAATAAAGTGAAACTACGGATTTGAAAGCACGCCACGCAATAATGCTTGGAATCACTTTGATCATCATTAAGTGCAAGATGTGCTGTGCCTGTGCCAGTCTGATACATAACATTATAATGTGAACGTTGTGTATTCCTTGTGCTTTAGTTGCCCATGTTTCAGCACGTTGTTATGGGAAGAGTGCATCCCCAACGGGAATAGTTCTGGCTAGCATGTCACTTATTTCAAGTTCACTTGCTTCCATTTGTGCAGATACAAGCTGTAATGCAACGTTTATATTCTAGGATAGCGGAGTAATCTAACATTGGATGTGTCGTATTATAGAACATGCTTCAGTTTACTGGTGTCCATTTAGCTTCACCTAATGCATCACAGCCATTCCTTTTATGTGGATGTTTCTTGTCCGAAAACACTGATGCATTATTGTTAATCAAGCGGTGTTATTTTTCTAGTCATATTTTCATGTTTAAACTAAGTGTTCATATTTCATCACCACCATGACAGACATTGTGTGACTAAAGGTTTGCTGACATATTTCTGGTGGGTTGGGTTAGCCTTTTAGAACCTATACATTCACCAAACTGCTGTGAATTATTCAGCTTGATTAGTGTGCCATATTTCTCCACCACTAATGTCTAATGCAGCAGCATTCATTCATTCTTAGGGGCCATTCACACAACACATTTTTGCTGTGCACACAACTGTTTTTCTATTATTTAAAAAAAAAAAAAAAAAAAAAAGCACTACACGGATGTGTTTGTATGTTTTGCTCACATCTCAGGTCTTTTGCAGCCGTCTCTCATGAATAGTTTTTTTAAAAATGTGGTACTTTTTTTTTCTAGGTTTTGGTCACGGTGTGAATCCATCATAATATTGCTGTTGTTCTGAATGATATGATGGTGTTCAGATCAACAGCACATTCCGTACACCAGTTCAATAAACAAGAAGTTTATATTGAGTAACTTATAAAGGCACCATATTGGTTCTCATTTTAGCTCTGACATCAAAAATGATCCCAAACACAGTCAAAGCAAAATCAACTGTAAGTGGCCATTCCCACAGAACATGTTCTTCATTTAATAAAACACAAGGCATGTGAAACACAGGGCCCTGAAATGGGAAAAAAAAAACATGCACCACCATAAAAAATGTCTGTCTTGCACATGATTGCATATAAAACAGTGGAAAAGCAGTGCAGTGGAATGCATTTTAAAGTCCCTTGAACTTTAAAATCAGCTTCACCCACCTGTCGCGTCTTTGCCGAGGTTTCAACAAACGGGACCCCGTAACTTCTGGCAAGCTCTTGAGCTTGACGTGACTCTACAGTACGTGAAGCCAGGTCACTTTTGTTCCCCACCAGCACCATCGGGACATTGTCACTGTCTTTGACACGGTTTATTTGCTCCCTGCACAGACAATACAAAACAAGGTTGTTATTTTTTTATTTATTTTTTTTCACACAGCCTGATTTTGGAAATTCAACTAGGCCCTTCTCTAATGCCGCACTTGTTTCTTTACTTGACTTCAAGGGACAAAAAAGTAAGTCAGTACATTAATGCAGTGTAGTGACTTCCAGCTGAATCGACATATATGACCTGTAATTTTCTGCTCAAAAATCAGTCTAGCACCTCTTCCATTTGATCATATTTTAAGTTTTCAGGAAGCAAGAAGCTTAATTGGCAGTTAGATGACACACAGACTGCATGCTTAAGAGGAATTGGTTGGGTCTCAAAGTCCACAAATCTCAAATTTAATATGCAAGTATTAAGTCTGAAAGACTATTTGAGGGTAACCGTCCGATATACTTGATGTTAATTAGTTTGTCCATACGTGTTTGACTATGTACCTGTATAGGTGTACGTCCTCAAAGGACTTGGCGTTGTTGATGGCAAAAACACAGAGAAAGCCCTCTCCTGTCCTCATATACTGATCTCTCATGGCACTGTACTCCTCCTGACCTGCAGTGTCCAGGATGTCCAGCAAACACGTCTCCCCGTCGATCACAACCTGCTTTCTGTATGAATCCTGCATGGAATAGATGTAAAAAAGAAAAATTAGGGCCCAATGAAATCCATTTTATTTTATCCCAAATTACATTTGAATTTTTCTGCACTTTGATTCAGTGGTCAAATTAAATATTAGTAATAGAAAAATTCATGAAACATATTCACTTTAAAATTGTTATAAAAAGGTATATAAACAAAAAAAAAAAGGTTTGTAAAAAAAATAAAATAATGTTAGGGCCCTATGAAATTTTTGTAGGGCTCTATGAATTTTTTTTTAGGACCCGTTTATTTTTTTTTTTAATCAAATTCCATTTTATTTTTTACCAAATTCAATGTTATCTGTTTTCATTTTTCTGGATCTCATTGTAATGGTTTAAATAAATATTAATAATCAAAAAAGGATCTCTAATCAATTGAATTCATAAAACTGTTGACATAAAACAACCAATTTATTTTATTTTTTTACAAAAATAGGACCATCTGAAATGCTTTATTTTATTTCAGAAATTCTGTGCGGTGCATATATATATATATATATATATAAAATGTATATATTAAAAACATCTGGCAATCAAATTAAGGCATAACATATTAACAATTTATTAAATGACTTTATGGGCCATCAAGTGCTAGTCCCTTAGGAAATCTATGCAGGTGTGATCCAGCTCTTAAATTTAATCAAAAATATCTTCATTTGTGTTCCGAAGATGAACGAAGGTCTTATGGGGTTGGTACAGCATGGGGGTGAGTAATTAATGACTTAATTTTCATTTTTGGGTGAACTAACCCTTTAAAGAAGGTGAACTCTTACCTCAATAGTGGGGTCATACTCGTCTACAAAGTGATTCTGAATGAGCTGGATGGTCAGTGCACTTTTCCCAACGCCACCAGCACCGACAACTACCAGCTTATATTCTGTCATTCTGGATGGGAGAGAGAGAAAGTGAATGGGAAGAGAGTTAGAAACAGGGGGTACAAAAATATTCTGAAAATGTATTCAGCAACAACTTGGGAAAAGCATAACCTTAAGTGATACAAGCTAACTACTCTGAGTCTGATTGGTACACTTACATCAAGGCAGAGTTAAAGGGCTGAACACAAAAGATCTGCCACTATTCACTTTCATTGTATGGAAAACAACTGTAGTGCAAGTGAATGGGGACTTTCTTTTCTTTTTGGGGAATTAGGCTGTAATTCTGCCTTTTGTGTTCCACGGAAGAAAAAAAATCATACTGGTTTGGATCAACATTAGGGTGGGTAGTTAAATGATGACATGATTTCATTTTAGGGTGAACTGTCCCTTTAATAACCGGAAAAGAACATACACATTACATAAGATGGTTAACTGAGATTTTAAAGTCGTTGCATTATGTCAACAAATCATATTCAAATATATTTAAGACCGAGGTTGAAGATAACGTTTACTCAGTTCTTATCTAATTTAATTACTTAACCGGCAAGTAACTTAGCAGTAACAACAGCTTTTACCTTTTTCTCAAGTGCTATCAACAGGTAAGAAGTTATTTCTCGGCTTATTTGTGTATTTTACCTCGCGTGTGGTTGTTAGATCAGTTCGGCTCGCCCAAACGAAGCGCTTCGAGGTGAATTAGTATTGAATGAAGTCCAAGGATTAGCCCCTGAGCCTCATTACGATCGACCAGACAAACTAAACTCTCCCGAGAGTCGAAGACAGGGCGGAATTATTCGGGCTGATGGATCTTCAACCGTGAAAAAAAAAACTAAGAAGCTTCGTATTTGAACTATGTTTCTTCACTCTAATCAAATTTTACGATTACCCAAATAAATCCGCCCGTAGAGTCATTAGCTCCTCTCGGCTAAGACTCTCCCAGATTCATTGAGGGCGAGGAGCGAGGTGGGATCAGCGGAGGAGATGACCAATGAGATTTACCCTGCCCGACGGGTTTTCAAATCCTATTGGGCGAAAAATAAACGGAAGTAAGGATTGGCCAATGTTAGTGCAATGCCTCTTTCCAATTTCTCTATCATGTCCCGCCCCGTAAGTATGGGCCAATCAGGTTCGTTTAACAAATTAAAAGGCCAGAGATGCACGTCAAACCATCAAAGGTCTCAGACAGTTTTCGCTTAGCTCTTATAAGAACACACAATATTTAGTTAGTGGTATTTTTGACTGTCAATGCATTTATAAATAATACATTTCACATATAATAATAATTGTATTATTATTTAGTTGTTACTTAATGCCGTTCCTCAATAGGTTTAAGCACTAAAGGGTAATGACGTAGACAATTTGTAAAATTTAATAAAAAAAATCATTGTGTACACAACAGTCATAAAACAAATTGTTTACTGTTTTTGCCTTTTCATTTCATTGCTATATCATCGATTTTTTTAATGTGTGTAAATGTGTGTATGTCTGATTTTAAAAGCCTTTTTCCAACTTGAATCTGAATCTGATCAAATCTAAAGCTCTCTTATTTATCTTATTTAGAGTTGACTCATTTTAACCACTAGATGTCACTGTCAACACGACACAAATCCCTCTTGTGTTTCCTATTTGAATGACAGATGGATAGATGGATTATCTTGGTGATTTTAGGCAAAGATTAGAGGACAGCAGATGCCCTCTGTGGATGGAGAGGAGCATGAGGGGAGAAAGGAGAGATGAATAAAGGTATAAGCAGAAAACCTGATGAGCGTAATCAAAGTATTCAAAAGTGGTGCCGATAAAAAAAAAAACAAGGAATTTTCATCTTTCACAAAGCAGATTTATACAAACACACTTGCCTAGTCTGCTTTCTAGTGCAGTGTCTTGTATGTTTCTGGATCAGTTATTACTGCAATGAAAAAAATAATACAGTTTATACATTTAATTAGTTTTATTGTACACAGGGAATTTTCACATATACAATTTGTACACATTTTTTTACAATTATATATATTTTTCTAAATTTTTTTCTCTTCATTTTTTAAAATCTTTTTGTTGTTTGATGACAGGTCAAGTAACATTTAGGCAAACAAAATAAGAAAGAAACAAATTAAATGTTTAGGAAAGAAGCGCAAAAACAAAATACAAACACATGAAGTAGAATAACATCCGATATGTGTCAGATTCAGAGAGTCACTAATTTACCATCATCCTCTCGCCGTTCCCTAATGCTGTTCTCTGATTGGTTCTCTAAGCTCATCCTGCACTCTGATTGAATAGCCTCTAAATGGATATACATGATGAGGAAAAATCTGCACATGCTGAGATAACATCTCCATTCATTTCTCACACAGATCTAGAATATCACAATTTCGGCACTTTTACCTCGAAATTCACTTGACGTTTTTGCTCCAAAGTGTAGGCCTAACCTAAATTTTGCGTCTGCTATATGCATAAATATGAATGTAATGTATAAATGACTCTAAATGATCCTGGCAGTACAAGTAAACCTTCAACGTGCAAAAAACAGACTCGCCCACACATTTATTAAAAGTGTGTGTGCATGTAAGCTTGTGAAAATGTGTGAATGTGAGTAATAGTAAGCAAGAGGATAAAATCGCTTGTGCACTGACAATGATGAGGATCTAGGTCGTTTAAACTCGCACACATATTCAGTCATAGTTTAAAGGAACATTATATATATAGTAGGCCTATATATATATATATATATATATATATATAAAAACAACATAAAACATATGACATGTGAAAGAGTAATTAATGACAGAATTCAAATATTTGGGTGACTGTCCCTTTAAGAATATTGTGTATTTGTGCACAAACCAAAGATCAAATAACATCCATAGATTTTCTTGAACCCTTTTACCATATTTAAAGCACTGGATAAAACAAAAGGAAGAGAGCACAGTAAGGAAACACACATACACACTCACCATGAGCACACACACAGAAGCTGATTTACTCTTACACGACAACCATGAACATGTCTAATATCGCTGTGTCATTTTAAGTGCATTACAGTGATTTTGGCAGGAAGCCTAAAATACTGAACATATAATTAACAGAGCACCACTGTATTCTCAATCTGTCTCACAAAAAAAAAAAAAAAAAAAAACTTACATTTATAGAACAATCATCACATAATCTTATTATCAGTTTGGAAACACAATTGTTCTTTTACTCACTTATTCACTCACTCACTCACTCACTCACTCTCTCTCTCTTACACACACACACATACTCACTCACTCTATTTATTTTGTATTGATATTTATTCCATCAACTCTTATATGTTTCTTCCCACTATGTGAGTTCTCTCTCTCCCTCTCCACCATATAAATAACTATTTGTCCCAACCGGTTGCACATATTCTTCTGTTTTATCCCAATCCGATACCCATCCTGCCCCAGCACCACCTCCGCCTCCATTCGGACCACCAGCATGTGGATTGTTAATCGCTCCGTACTGCCCGCCAGTCCTGTACAGCTCTTCCGTTTCATTGGCCAGCTCGTCCTCTCCCAGAATGCCACACTTCTCCTCGCTAGTATTCTCAGCATCCGCCCATGGCTGCTTCTCACCTGATGCAAAGATCCCTGGGAACATGTTCAAATGAAGTATGCATCATTTTATGAAAGATATGACAAAAGTAATTTAGAATGTCAAAAGAGATATAGAGTTGGTTTGATTATGCTACTTTAATTGAACACAACATACCATAAAATATCACACCCCCATAATGCACCAGTGATGCAATGAGGAAGACATATTGCCACTCGTCACGTGTCTACAGGTAAATAAACAAAGAATAAAAAAAATAATAAATTCAACAGTACCAATCATTTTCTGGCATGTGAAGGTTATGTGATATTATGTACCTTATGTTTGGTCATTGCTCCAACTATGAGTGGACACACCATTCCTGACAAAGTTCCCACTCCATTGGAAATTCCCATCAGGATACTGGCGTAACGTGGAGCAATGTCAAGATGATTCACATTAAACCCTGAGAGGGAAAGAATGATATATCTGAATTTATATCTTACAATTGCAACTTGATTTCTCATAATTATGACTTTGTATATACACTTTCAATGTATGTAAATATGTAACTTTCAATTTTGTAAATATGACTTTATATCTCATAATGTGACTTTTATTTATGAGAAATAATAAGAAATGTTTCTTGAGCAGCAAATACGATTTTTTCGATTTCTGAAGGATCACTGAAGACTGGAGTAATGATGCTGAAAATTCAACTTTGTCATAGTAAAATGCACTACAATAGAAAATGTTTTTATTATACATTTCATCGAATAAATGCAGCCTTGGTGAGCATAAGAGACTTCTTTTCACATTTAAAAATCTAAAAAAAAAAAAAAAATCTTCTGAATGGTATTGCTAAATGAATTATTTTGTTTGGTTTGTCTTTGTTCTTTTCTTTTACTAACCTGAAATTGCAAATCCACTGAAGCCAACAGCCAGTACAAGGAAAGAAATGGCAGTTGCTTTGGTATGTGAAAAACCGACAACCAAGAGTAGAGTGGCTTCCATGCCAAACCCTAAAACACACACAGACACACATAACAGTATTGTCTATTGAATAAGGAAGCGTCTCTCTGTCATTTAAAACTACACTGTGTGATTTTTACCCCCATCTAGCGGTGAAAAGGTACTGTATATGACCATCCCGTGAATATTAGTTTCTGTTCCTCTCAATTCCGATTTCATTTTAACTCCTTCGGTGGCCAATGAAGTCCAAGATTAACATGGCTTCCAGTTCGACCTTGCGTCCATGAGTGTTAACTCAAACGTAAACGCGAAAGGCGAAGCTTGAATTAACGGGTATGTCCCTCTTTGGCTAATGTACTTTCAAGATGGAGGGGCAACATGATGACCGACATTAGAACCCCTTACCCGTATGTATTTTCAATGGCATATTATACACTCACGAGAATACTTTATTACTTGAACGAAGTAAATATACATTAATTGGCACATGTATTTTTGAAAGAACTAAGTGTTTTTAGCTAAGAATAAACTAAAAGAGTTACACAGTGTAGCTTTAATCAGAACATACACAGTCTACTGTGGCTCATGGTCTAACGTTACCTGTATACTCTGTGCCGTCTATTTCTTGGATGCTGTTGTGCATCATTCTCTGTGTGGGGTTTGTATGTATGTTGTTTGTGCAGATGATTATATGAGAGCTAGTGTGCATTGATGCCTCAGTGATTATTCGCCCAGCTGCCATTGCTGGACGAGACAAAATAGGCAACTTACACACAAACAATCTACTTTGTGTAGCAAACCTACTTTATATTTTGTCCTTTTATAAAGGGGAAGTTTACCAAAAAATAATAAAATTAAAAATAAAATTAAAATCCTGTTTAATTTGGACTTCTCTGTGCATGCTCTTTGAGGTGGTGACCATAGACCTGCATTATATGACTGATAGAAAAGAACGGTTTGACCTAAAAATATCAAAATAGAAAATACTGCGGAAACAAAGACACCTAGGATGACCTTGAGGTAAGCTGAAACATACCAAAAATTAATTTCAAAGTGAACTATCCCTTTAATTCAGGGTCATATCATGACATGCTGTTGGCTCTAATACTGCTAAAAAGGGACAAAATGAAGTTGAGTAAACAATTAAAATGTTTGAGTGAATTTGAATGTGTTTTTGTTGTTGTTATTATTGTGTTAATCACTTTATCTATATCTTACCTCCACAGTTCATGAGTTTACGGACATTTGTTGTGCTCATTAAATTATGTGTTCTCAGGTAGTCGGCCAGCTGTCCTCCGATTGGCACAATGATGGTCATCACTAAATGAGGAAGTGCAGACACCATCCCCACCTGAGCCACAGAAGGAACAAAAAGAGTAGATATTCAACAAAACATTTGAATCCAGATGCATCAAACTGCATTGTATCTGTGTGTACTTAAAGGGATAGTTCACCCAAAAATGAAAATCCTGACAGTATTTACTCACCCTCACGTTGTTCCAAACCTCTATGTGTTTATTTGTTCTCCTGAAGGAAGATATTTGGAAGAATGTTTTAATCAAACAGATCTCATTCCCCATTGACTACCATAGTAGGAAAAAATACATAGTCAATGGAGAATGAGATCTGTTTGATTAAAACATTCTTCCAAATATCTTCCTTTGTGTTCAACAGAACAAATAAACACATAGAGGTTTGGAACAACATGAGGGTGAGTAAATACTGACAGAATTTTCATTTTTGGGTGAACTAACCCTTTAAATTCCCCCTGTTCTTGAGCAGTGGTTTTATTTGTTTCTTACTTAAACTGTTTAATGTCTATCTAAAGTAAATAAAATTGTTCTTAAAACCCAAATTGTTCTCACTCTTTGTCTCAATGGTCCACTTTAGATATTATGAGTAACTTTGCAATTTAAAGGGTAACTAAACCCCTGGTCAGAGCCTGACTCCACCCACTGGCAATATTTGAAAAATGCCCAGCGGAGATAGAGGGGATGAAATTGATGCCAAAACACTCTATCCTGATCGTTTTCAATACTCGCAATTCCAACTCCTGACTTGCTACAGTGGTTTTGACGGAACAAGCTGGTTTTTATGCTGCCAAGGGAGTAGCTCGTACCCAGAGCGTGGTGAGCTGAAACGTGCGTCACGAAGAACGTGCGTTACGTACGTACGTCACGAAGAACCGCTAACATCCAATAGGAAAATTCAACTGCAGTAGCCACCGTTCAACCTGAAGAGGGCAGCACTAAGACGTTTTTGCACCATATATTGTAGAAATAAAACACTTTATACACAACTGTCAAAAAGGTTACTCGAATCAATGACTGGTATTAATAAAGATCGATTCTTACAGATCATAAACTAAAAAAAGTTGGTTTAGGGTTTAGTTACTCTTTAATGTCAACTTAGAGTATTAGTAGACTATTAGATTAGGGTTAGTCGAATTGTCATTTACTTGCAAAGTTTTTGAGGGCCCATCAAAGTAAAGTGTTACTGTAGTGTTAAGTGTTCTGTAGTTGCAAAGGTCCTTTACTGTTGAAGGACCATTCAAATAGTGTTACCGATCAAACATTGAAATCCATAAATATTACCTGCATGATTCCAACAATATGCTAAATTATCAACACAGAACAAATGCATGGTTGGCAAAAACCATTTCATCCTTTATTTAGTGTAGTCTAGGTGTTTTCTTATGTATTTATTGATTATATTTGGCATTATTTTTTTCCTGTTTTCCGCTAGCCTTTAGAACAGATCTGATTCATTTTGTAGTTGCAACCTGTCAGTCGATTCATTAATTTGAGTGTGTGTGTTTCACCTTGCTGATTTCAAAGCCGAACACCTCCTCGAAGTAAGCAGGCTGGCTGATGAGGAGCAGGTAGAAGGTCCAGCTTCTGCAGAAGTTGGCCACTATGATGGCATACACTGGCATGGAGGTAAAGAAGTGCCGCCAGGGAGTCTTAAATTTCTGCAGGGTAGTGAAAATGCAGAGGTCGAACATGTTTATGCACAGCGGATTTAGAGTGTATGTGTATGAAAGAGGGGGATGAACGAGTGATTAAGAAAAATGTACCTGCAGGGGGTTGACCAGGCCAGAGCTTTCCCCGATGGCATCCTCAATGTACTTCCTCTCCTCTGGTGTGATGGTTGGGTGAGCAGCTGGACTCTCATAGGACACTAAAATCCAGAAGAGATACCAGAATATCCCAACACTTCCTGTGAGACGAAGAGAAATGTGCAAGACGAATTAGTACATATTATGTATATAGGCCTACAGTATTGTTCAAATGTTCGGGTCGGTTTTTGAAAAAGTTTCTGAAAGCCATTATGTTCACCAAGGCGGTATTTGTTTGATCGATAATACAGTAAAAACAGTGATATATGTAGCATCTGGATATATTTATTGGTGTTATATAATTAAAATGACATGTGTATGCTACTTACCATACACATAAAACACTGAGGACCACCCGGTGTACTGGACCAAGACTCCAGCCAAAGGCATTGCAACAACAGCACCAGCATATGAACCTAGAATGTATAGACATTAACATACAGTTCTTATGCTTCTTCTTATTAGCACTATTCATTAAAGGGATAGTTCACTTTGAAATTAATTTTTGGTATGTTTCAGCTTACCTCAAGGGCATCCAAGATGTAGGTGTCTTTGTTTCGGCAGTAAATTCAATTTTAGTATTTTTAATCAGTAATTTAATGGAGGCCTATGGTCACCACCTCAAAGAGCATGCACAGAGAACTCTAAATTATACATGATTTAATGACTCGTAACGTAATTGATTGTATTTATTATTTATACACATTGATGGTGATTAGTATTTGTATTGTTTTTACCTCTTGTTACGACAGCCACAAAGCGCCTGCGCCCTCAGATCACTTGGACGTGGCTGTGGTTACAAGAGGTAAAAACGATATAAATACTGTTCATTTTCTCACACAAATCGCTCATTTCGTGTCTTAGGCCATCAATGTGTACTTACATTTACGAGTCATTAAATCATGTTTAATTTGGACTTCTCTGTGCATGCTCTTTGAGGTGGTGACCATAGACCTCCATTATATGACTGATAGACACGAACGGCCTAAAAATATCAAAATTGAAAATACTGCGGAAACAAAGACACCTACATCTTGGATGACCTTGAGGTAAGCTGAAACATACCAAAAATTAATTTCAAAGTGAACTATCCCTTTAACATTATCATTAATCTCAGCTTTTCACAGTTCTCAATTCAAGGTTCAAATAATCACAAACTAAATTCTACTAATACTATCGAAAGACATATTTCATGGATTCAAATGACTGACATCTCACCACAGAACGCTGTTGTTGCCAATCGACTTCTTTCAAGGGGCGGAGCCCATTTGGCCCAGATCCCGTGACATGCGGGATATGACACGCCCTTACAGTAGAGAAATAAGATGAATTAATGGCTGCATCTGAAAACTTGAAAAGGACGTCAGGCAGCTGACTTGTTCCCTCGCATGCCTTATGGGCAATGACTCTGCAGGCAGCGTTTGCAAGGCACCTCACGAAACTGATTTCGGACAGACTTCAGTGTAATAGTTTAATGATCTACAGCAAAATAGAGAGTAGATTGTTGAGAACCAAACTAATATTTAATTATCGCTATAGGTGACATCAGAAGTTCAAAAATGTACATTTACACACAAACTCACCACCAACCACAACTTACAGATGCCGTCTTTCTTTTTTCTAACTCAACTGACACTGAATGGAATGCACAGGATTGTGGGATATCAAAGGCAGCAAAGGATAGATCTATTTGCTTTCAAAAATCATTCAGATGAAGGTGCCTCGATGTCCTACCTAAAAAATACGTCCTTTTAGTTTTGACAATATTTTAGTTTTCTGATGGAGCCATGTGTAACCATAATGGTAACAAAACCTTACTTAGCATGATGCAATGCTTTTATATAAATAATACATTACAGACACATCAGATTCACATAAATCCACACAGATGGCATACCTCCACAAGGCCCTGGCAGATCCTGACCATGATAACACACCCATAGTGAACTCTAGCTGCTGCTGGGATCAGCATATTCAGTGTCGACGTGGCCACAATGGCGAAGCCAAACACCCTGAGACCAAACACACACGCAACACAATGAATTATCATGATAAAATCTCAATGGACAAGTCATTTGTCATTCCACTGAATATTTTATTTTTTTAAATCAAACTCTGTATATACCATAGGTTAAAATCTTTACTACAAAATAGCTTTTAATAATTAATTTTTCAATTTTAATGAACACAAACTGGTCTTCTGCGATCATTTTTGGGATAAGTTGCCACAAAAGCCAATGTAACAGAAAACCCACAATTGTGTAACTGGACTTTTGACTCAAACCCCTCAAAGAAAATTTTGACAACCTGACTCCTCCCTCCAAAATAGCACAATTTCCATTCATAAAACTCCAGAACGCTTGACAAAAACATGTCAATTCGCTGATCACATTACCGATTAGCAGCAAACTTTTGACAGATGAATCCTCCGGGGATTTGCGTGACAATGTAACCCCAGAAGAACGAGCCGTGAATCATCCCAACTGTCTCTGGGTCCCATGTGAACTGAGCAGCCTGGGAGGAAAAAGATAAAGACAAACTCCTCTCATCCAACGTTCATTAGATAGCATTCTGTGCAAAAAGCTGAGAATATTGCAGTCAAAGTGCACTGCTTGTATATTAGAAAATGATTACACATCATTCTTTAAGGCATCACATAACCTGAACCATCTCTTTTTCTGTGGTACATTTGCAAAAACAAAAGTAGAATGTGAGAAAGGAGAGAAATAAGTAATAAAGTAGTAAAATCAATCGCTAAAAGTAAAAGATAAACTAGCATAATATAATTAAATAAAAATATTTTATAATAATAATAGCTAATAATAATTAATTATTATTATTTCACAGTCAAGGCTTGAGCTAGTCTCAGATGAAAACACAAATTTGAGACGTTTTAACTGAAAGCAACTTGCACTGGAGTATCTTAAAATATGTAGATGCACACCAGTAATGTTTATATATATATATATATATATATATATATATATATAAACTGTATATATATAAAATTAAATGCCCTATTTGAACTAAGGCCTAATCTAAGCCTTATCTGTGAAACCAGGCCTTTATTATTTCTACAAATCTTATTTCGCTGTGCAGTTTCTGAAATAAGTTATCCCTGTGTGGGAGTAAATTGCTTGAATTGCTTTGGTGGGTGAATCCCTGCACTTTCTGATGAAATGGGAATTAAACAGTCGATTCCCTCTTCAAACTGGATCAAGATGCAAAACTTACTGGCTAATGGTGGTAAACTGGGATTTGAGAGGGTCCAATTGATTTGTATTTATTTATGCATGAATGTATTTAGATGTTGGCATTATACTTTCTATTCTAAAAGCTAGAAATCTTTCATCGCATTATCAAACTGGCTGTGGGCTATAATATCTTATAAATCTGTGTTGTAATTATCCATGCTAAATTTGTATGCTAAATAAAACAACAACAAATAATGGCTAAAATATGAACAACGATAAACCCCAAAATGCCCAAGATTTCATCATTTGGATTTCAAATAATGTCTAACTCCTGTCCACTCTTCATATAAATGTTCTTATACTCGAGTGGATGCTCTTTATTTGTTAAGTTGAATTCCAGCACTGATACGGACCACTATGATAGGTTTCTTTCCGGAGTAAATCGTGTGGTCGTTGACCATGCTGACGATGGCTACACCCAGGTTACAGCGGATGCCGAATGAGATGCAGAAGCCCAGGCCTGACAGGATGGCGATGATGTAACGGCGAGGCATCCCAAAACACGTGCAGTCCACGACGGGAAGCTCCTTCTCCTCCACCAGCTCCGGGCGACCTTCTGCTGACAGCTCGATCGTCTCGCCATTCTGCTGACGTTTCTCGAGGATTCTGGATGTGGATACAGAAAGTATAAGGCCAACATAAGTTATATAAAAAGTAAAAGTAAAAGTGTGAAAAGATTTTCTCAATTCATATAAAAACATTAAAAAACACATTCAAATTAGCTGTCTCTGATACTACTTATACCCCTGGATTCACAGACAAGGCTTTAAAGATCTAGTTCACCCAAAAATGGAAATTCTGTCATAATATACTCATGCTCATGTTGTTTCAAACCCGTAAGCCCTTCGTTCATCTTCAGAACACACTTTACACATTACACACTAACTTTTTAACTTTTTAGTTAGTGTGTAATGTTGCTGTTTGAGCATAAACAACATCTGTAAAGTTCAAAGTTCAAGATATAGGTATTTTCTTTGACAGAAAACACTTTTTAAGGACTGGGTTAGTTAGTCGGTTACTTCTTTAACTGAAAGAAACTTTCACTGACATATATCTTAAAATGCCATTACCATTGTTTTGTCTCAAGATGCTCACCACTAATGTATTTTTAAGGCAAGTATTTTATAAAAATACTGTATTTTATAAAAGCTACTTAATCAAAGCCCTGTGAAACCGGGCCTTAGAGGGCCAAAAGTTCAAAAATGCTTTTATCCAAAGCAACTTTCAGGCCACATATTACGAGGAGTCTTGGATTAATCCGAGGTTAAGTGTCTTACTCAAGGACAGAATGATAATAGTTCATGTCTCCTTAAAGGGTCAAACCAGGTTCTGAACTCTACCCACTACAGCTCAAGCCAAAAGATACTGATAGGGAAAATGTCTTTGACTGCAGCTGTTTAAAGGGGTCATCAGATGCCTATTTTCCACAAGTTGGTATGATTCTTTAGGGTCTTCATGTAAAGTGTGTAACATAATTTGCTTAAAATTCCTCAATAGTTGTGAAAAAAACACCCTTTTTACCTCTCAAAAACATCACAGCGACCCCGTGCATGTCTCTTTAAACGAGCAACTGCTCATCCACCCCTCTCTTCTGTGGGGCGTAGACACAAGACAAGTAAAGCCATGGCAGACAGAATACAAATGGCTGAGGGCAGAAATATGCAAATACGGGACAGTCCGTCAGCAGTCGTGGCCGGAGCATGAGCAATATGACGTCATATTGCCCAGAAAATCCAAACGGCTTGATTTTTGAGAGTGTTTAGGCTTTTTGAGGTTTAAATAAAAAGGAGTGAATGGATTTTTTTCATTGTATGGTGGTTGTGTCCACACACTGCAGAGACACATGTAGTATGCAAACACCTCATAAAAGTGAATTTTGCATCGATGACCCCTTAGACACCATATTATTGACTTTTATTGACTATTATTGATCAGAACTGTATGTTTTATTACACTCAAAGTCAACATGAAATCCAAATCAACGATTCTTGTTTTTTATGGAATATAGCAGTTTGCATTTATTCTATTTTTTATTTATTAATTCATGTGCCCTCATAATCTTTAATCAAAATCACTTCAGCAACATCTCTTCTCTGATGAAGAGTTTACTGGCACGAGGGCGGGACAACCTGTTACTTACAACAATAGCAAAAAAAAAAAAACAACCATCCAATCATTTCCCAAATCCCCTGCATTTTTCTTCTTTGAGAAGTTATTTCACCCGGATAATAGGGAATAGGGAATAAAAGACTATTGTAACTTCCATTTCATGCCAACTTTAAAAAACATGAAGCTAGGATATGAAGTCACATACTCTAGGAAACCCTCATAGGTCACAAAACTACATCACATACACACCTAAAACCAGGTGGGGTGCAGAGGGAAGACACAGAGGGAGAGAGGACATGGAACGAATGAAGTGTCTCACTGAATAGCAGTACATGGGTGTCCAGCAGAGACCATCTGCGTATGCAACCTGTCTGCAACGTCTACAGCCAGTAAAAACACGCATAAGCAAACACTTTTACAGACATATGTTCTGAATCTTTCAAAACATTTTACATATAAATGTAATCAATACATATAAGATGAAATGAATGCAAGATTATCTGATGCTCACCAATCATGTCCTAAACACTCAGTGTGGCTGTATTTAATGTGCAAATATGTAATTCTCACAAATCATGCCAAGAAAAATGGTATACTGTACATTTTTATATGTATATGTATAAAAAAATGCTATTTCTATTAAAAATGTATGTATGAGTTTCCAACATAATAAGTAGATGTTTCTTAAGTCACAAATCAGTTATTTCTGAAGGATCATGTGACACTGAAGACTGGAGTAATGAAGCTGAAGTTTCGCATCAGACAGTTGCTGCAGGTTTGTCGGCTGCACATCCATGATGCGAATCTCCATTCCACCACATCACCAAAGATGCTCTATTGGTTGAGATCTGGAGTCTGTGGAGGTCATTTGAGTACAATGATCTCATTGGCATGTTCAAGAAACCAGTTTGAGAGGACTTTGGAACATGGTGTGTTATCCTGCAAGTAGCAATCAGAAGATGTGTGGTCAAACGGATGGACATGATCAGCAACAATACACAGGTGTTGAAACGTTGCTCAATTGGTATCAGGGGCCCAAAGTGTGCCAAGAAATATCCCTCACACATTACACCAGCACCAGCCTGAAAAAGGCAGGATGGATCCATGCTGTCATGTTGTTTATGCCAAAATCTGACACTACCATCTGAATATCGTAGCAGAAATCAAGACTCATCAGACCAGGCAATGTTTTTCCAATTCTCTATTGTCTATTTTTTTTTTTTGGTGAGCCAAATTTTAGCCTCAGTTTCCAATTCTTAGCTGACACAGGAGTGAGTATTCTGCTGTTGTAGTCCTTCTGCTTCAAGGTTCGCTGTGTTGTGCGTTCACAGACGCAGATCTCGGTTATAATGAGTGGTTATTTGAGTTACTGTTGCCTTTCTATCAGCTGGAACCAGTCTGGCCATTCCCCTCTGACTTCTGCCATCAACAAGGCTCACTCACAGTTTTGCCACTGGATATTTTTTCTTTATCAGAGCGTTCTCTGCGAACCCTGATGGTTGCACGTGAAAATCCCATCAGATCAGCAGTTTCTGAAACACTCAAGCCAGCTCAACTGGCACCAACAAGCACTCAACGCTCAAAGTTTGAGCCTCAGCAGATCGTCTTGACCAACGGTGAACAGATGGACCTATAAAGAATAGTTTATACATATATATACTGTATATATATATATATAGTTTTGTCTTTTTCATTTTTAAACCCACAACAGTATAAAATAGAATAGCAACTATTTCTGAGCTCCACAAATCTCATACACGTATCACGATATTAATCTTTCTCTCTCTCTCCCTCATACGTCTTTCTCTCTATTTCGCTCATTCTGTCACTGTTCCTACAAAAGCAGATCCCTTATAATCCCTTCAACCTCAAACAACATACAATCAGAATGTGAAGTGAAATGATTGGGAGATGAGATGATGAGATGTGTTAGGGAGTCGATTCATTTTGCAGCCATAATGTGTTTTAATTTGAAACTTAAAAGGGTCTCATGTTTCAATTATAACTAAAACCTCTCACACCCGTGACTCGTGGACGTCCCTCCCCTTCAATTTCCCCCATCCATCTCTAAGCCACTGATAATCTGTAGCCCCACCCTCAGATTAGGATTACAGAAATTATAGACTTCCGGAGATAAATATGAGCAAGAAAAAAAAAGAGTGACTGAGTGGAACAAGAAAGAGAGATGGAAAAAGAGAAAGAGGGGAGAGTGTTTGTCCGCAATTTAATGCACACACATTCACTCAGGAAGATCTGTAATTAAGGTTAAAGCTAGTTAAAAACAGATTGCTGCCAACAGCGGCACATATGCTACCTACTAATGAGAATGACTGTTGGCTGTAATTAATATTTATTTCACTGGTGTATTTTAGCTCTTTCTCTCTATCTGCATCTTACCATGCGACCATTGCACAGATCATTACAGATCATGCACTTCTGCATCTCGTTCCACGGTTCATGACACACCAGCTGACCTGTATGTGTGTTTGTGTTTGTGTGTGTGCGTGTGTGTTTGGGCCATCTAAGGGACAGGTGTACCGCAGAAGGGGGTGTACAAGGACTTTTCTAAACAGTTTATAAAACACAAACACGCATACAGAATACAGTCCAAAAGAATTTACTGCTATGTCAGCATATTATAAATATCCTACATGGGAGCCAACTAACAAGTTTTATCATAACCTCTAAAACATACACTTTTGCACTATCTCAGCAAATGTTTAATAGTTTTTATTGATCTCATATGCAAATTATACACTTGACCTCTCCACATAAATGACTATATCAAGGTCAGCATGCTCTGATTCTCTGAGTATACACACATCACACATTCACTTTCAGTACTGTCGCTTAACCGTTTTTTTATTTTTGACCATTAATAATATTCTATCCAGAGGTTTTATAATTAATTAAAACCATACAATTGCATTTTACTTGAAATAAACGTTAACCAAAATGAAACTTATTTTATTTCAGCTATTGCAAATTATAGGAGTGGTTCACTTTTGAAAAAACTTTTGCTAATAATTTACGCACCCCCATGTCATCCAAGATATCCACGTCTTTCTTTCTTCAGTCGAAAAGAAATTAAGGATTTTGTTGAAAACATTCCAGCATTTTTCTCCATATAATGGACTTCAATGGGAACCAAACGGTTCAAGGTCCAAAAGACACTTTCAGTACAAACTGCAAACTGTTCAAAGGGCTTTAAACGATTCCAGACGATGAATAAGGGTCTTATCAAGTGAAATGATTGCTCATTTAATAAATAAATAACAAAGTTTGAGTTTTATAAGCTCAAATGGTCGCCATGCTCTGTTCTGTGACACACGTTTGTGACTCTCCTGACTCATTTGGTTCATTCAACGAACGAAATGAACGAATTGACTTGGAAAAGGATTTGTTCATTTTGATGAACGAGTTTGAACAGGAGAGTCAAGAACGTGTGTCACAGAACAGAGCAAGCGAGCATTTGAGCTTATAAAACTTAAACGTTGTTGTTGTTTTGTTTTGTTTTTTTGTTTTTTAAATGAGCGATAGTTTAACTTGATTAGACCCTTATTCATAATCTGGAATCATTTAAAGCCCTTTGAACTGTTTGCAGTTTGCACTGACATGTCTTTTGGACCTTGAACCGTTTGGTTCCCGCACTGAAGAGCATTATATGGAGAAAAATCCTGGAATGTTTTCATCAAAAACCTTAATTTCTTTTCAACTGAAGAAAGAAAGACATGGACATCGTGGATGACATGGGGTTGAGTAAATTATCAGCAAAAGTTTTTTCAAAAGTGAACTACTGCTTTAAGTCAGCATTTCTCATTAACTCAATAACTAAAACTAAAAACTAACAAAATTACTATAGCTAAAATTAAAGTGAAAGTATAAAATATAGAATCTTGGCAAAAGTAGTAGATAATTTTAATAAAAAATTATAGATAAATTAATCTAAAAAATGCTGGGTTGTTTTAACCTAATTTTGGGTAAAATATGGACAAACCCAGCCATTGGGTTACATTTTTAAATTACATTTTTAACCCAATGGCTGGGTTTGTCCATATTTTACCCAACATTACGTTAAAACAACCCAGCATTTTTTAGAGTGTACTTTTGTCGCAGGACAGCAATATCATTATTTACGATTAATGTGATGATGAATCACAGACACACACAAAAAAATCATACTTCTGCATCTCGTATACCATGTTGCAAGTTTACATTCCTTGACACAGTTGCAAATTTGCATTGAAGTTCAGAGGTGAGATGTGTGGATTTCCGCTGACACTAAACGCACACAAACACATCCAACATTGACACACATGCACTTTTCCCATTTAATCTTGCTGTAAGAGGATAAAGGCACAACAGTAAAAAATTACATAATCCTACAATTCTCTAGCACACTCCCTCCCTTTTTCTCTCTTTGACCATCACTATGTTCTGTTCATTCTGTTAACATCTTGGCTCACTATTTTACTGTCATTTCATGTATGGAGAGGTGTTCTGAATCTTGTTGCCTCTCTGAACTTTGGTTAATTTTATGAAAAATTCTGATGATATTGTATGAAAGGTAACAGATTAAAACTGATCCACAAATCCCCCCTCCCACTCTTCACATTTGTTTCTGTCCTACCATCAGTGTTGTTCTCTGATTTTTATGCCAAACTCCTCTGACCCTCCCCTGCGTCTATTGAACAGATTGGGTCTCAGTGGGACTGTGTCACCTGGGGAGATACTTCCCCCCTCCTGACACACACACACACACACACATATACACGCACACATAAAATTATACATCCTAGCAGCCTGACCTTCACATGCTTTCAGATAAGCAGCCTAGTACAAAATACAAACGACGAACAAGAATAAAAATCTGTGAGTGAAAAAAACGTACAGGAGACCATTAGATGAACACGTCATATTTTGTTAAGTTTTATCTGAATGAGCCAAAAATCTGAAGGAAAATATTAACAATGTCCAATATGTACAGTAAATTGGCGGTTGAACATTGCTTATGGGCAAGTAAACAGTGAGAAGTGTGTTTTATTCGAATTTACTTTATAAAAAATACAAATTCCACAGGGCTGAAATAGCATAGTGAGGAATTGAGGTGGAGAGATGGATAGGGATGACAGAGGGAAAACTGCAGGTGTGAGGTGTATTGCTTGCTGGTCTGCGAGGCTGAAACAGTAGGAGAAGTAGATTGCTGAGCTTTAAATGATTAATCAGCTGCTGATGTTCTCTCTAAAATATTATCAGGGACACACGAGTCTCACAACTAAAGTAGTCAGAAATCCAAATCAGCAGTTTACTAACACAAACTTTTGCACTGACACCATGCCTTTAGTTTCACACACTTAAAGGCATGGATTATTTTAAGATAAAAAAGCATGTTGTATTCAAAAAGTTCAATTAAATTCACCTCCAGAGGGCAACTAACTCGCACGTGCAGCATCGCGAAGCTGCCCTTTATTTAATCCCGCGATCTCGCGCACTGAGGATGGACAGAGCTGACTGGTGAGCGCGAGAGACGGCGAAGTGATGTGAGGGGGCGTTCAGGGATTTGTTGGGCCGACATCTGTTGTGTGGCTGTGTATATGTGTGTGTTTCCGATGGGCTATTTCAGAGCTGGATTTTAATATTTAGTTGCTTCCTAAAATCGCATGAAAAGTAGGCCTATGTGTTTTAACACTAAACTAAATATGAAACTTTAACACTTATTTCGCAAGTAAATTACATCGCAAGGAATGTAGGCTAGGCTACAAAATGTGCTCTTTATTTGATAGAATATGAAACCTTTAAAAAAATCATCCAGCAGTTTTTCAGTAGGTTATAAGTAAAGGCTGATGTTAGTGGTTACCAAACATTTTTCCAAGAAGACAAACTTGTTTGAAAGGGATGTACATTGACCTTTGGGAGAGTTCATCCTGTCTGGATTTGGCCAAGACAGATATCGAATTAACAAGATTTAAGGTATTTAAAACGCTCCAACACCAGCAAAATGTGTTTACCACCAAAATACTTCCTGGTCTTAATTAGGTTAAAAATAATACTATAGAACAAATAAATATAGAAATATGTTTTCCCCCCTCTAGCATGCATATTTATGTTTAACACTGTTTAATGTAGGCCTAATGTAATTTAATTTGAAATGACTTAAACATTCAAATTGACCGTAGGCCTACTTCAACATTTTATTTTATTTTACAGTAGGCCTCTGTTCAATTTAAAATTGAATTTTGACAATTTAGTTGAATAATTAAATAACTACCGCTGACAGACAAAGTATCAGTAAAAGATGTATCTGAAAAGTAAATTATTTTATGACTTATATATCCTATGGATATATTAATTGAATGGCATAATATATAAGAAAACTCTATGAATGCTAATTAAATAATTTCACTCAACAAACAAACAACGTTTAAATGAAAGCGAAGATGGAATCTATGAAATCCAATCCCACATCTGAAAAGTCACCTTATCCCGACATACCAGGCTACTGTTCTTTTTTGTATGGAACTTTTGTATCTTTGTATCGCTTCGTAGGCTACTAAGTAGTAGGCCTAGGTACTCATGGCGTATGAAGACCAAATTTGGTCAAAGACTTCCTGATCTCTGAGCGCGGTCCGCTTTATCAACTAGGGCGTGGAATCAGAACGTGTGTGTGTCCCGGGACGCGCGAGCTGTGCAGTGATGCGCGCGGCTACCTGATGCTCAGGTGGACTAATGAATGAACTCGCTCACGCGCACAGATACTAAAGTGAGGGAAAAAGCGACCAACGCCACGCGTCGGACGTCTGTGGCAACGGGTTAGCCGCGAACTAATCCGATCCATCTGGACAACCTTCTCAAACAGAGTGGATGCATTACGTGCAAACCGATTACATAAGAACACATTTGACTCAGATTCAGTCACGACAAGGGTTTGCACCTGACATCTTGAAGAAGGATAGGCTACACACGCAGAGAAGGGAACCACAATCACTTCTTGGCTATAATGAACTTTCCACTTGCAAACTTTAATTCCAATGTTTTTCAACACCTCAGCTTGAGCTTCTACAAAAATCACCTCTGAGCAATAGGCTATTTATTCGGTAACACTTTACAATAAGGTTAATTAGTGAATATTACTTAATGTATTGACTAACATGGACTAAACAAGAGCAATGCATTTGTTACAGTATTTATTCATCTTTGTTAACGTCAGTTGATAAAATACAGCTGTTTGCTCATGTTAGTAGGCTAGGACATGTAAAACAAGTAAAGGAAAAGTCCTTAAAAGTAGGTACAAACGTACGTTGAGGATAATAAGAGGGTCTACCTCACCTGTGTATTTTCCCCAAAGTTTTTCCTGCCTGAGCCTTAAAGCGGTCCGGACGGATCTCCATCCTCGCGACTTCCGAGTCCGACCGGTGTGCTCCTGTCCTGTGTGCCTGCCTGACTCTCTCTCTCTCTCTCTCTCTCTCTCTCTCTCTCTCTCTCTCTCTCTCTCTCTCTCTCTCTCTCTCTCTCTCTCTCTCTCTCTCTCTCTCGTTATCCTTCTAACATCCCCTCCCCGCTCTTTCTTTCTCTCTCTGTCTGTGGTCCTGATGAACAGAATATAAGCGTTCAAATTATGCTGAATTACTTGGTTTTTGTAATAATTTTGATTGTGACTAGAACACAATTCATTTTACACAGCTACACGTTAAAATAAATAAAACAAATCAACACATAAACCCTTTATAAGAAAAGCCAAGAGAAACGGTATAAAGCACATATTTATTAAGAGTCTGGTCTATTGACATATTTATAATCAATAAACGATTTTCATAGCTTAGCCTATAGTATAGTAACTAACTAGTCAGCTGCATTTCATAATTTGTCACCTGTAAATGAAAGTCGTGTTAGCGCACAGTTTCTCAGCATGAGAGCTTATGTGCAGTCTATCGCCACCTTACGTTTACAACGAGACGTTTCAAGTCGAAATCTAATTTTCATAATTACAACATAATAACGCACTGAATCAGCCTTAATGTGATCTGTAAGGTTACACTAACAAACGTAATTCTTGGGATAAAAGTAGGCCTAAGGATTAGGCTATATCAGGTAAAAATAGCTCCCTAAGGTAAGCTGCACGGTTTCACTTTGTACAGGTTGGTTTTATTCCACATATTAAATATTTCACGTTGGCTATTAATTCGTAGGAAAATCTTAGAGCTGTTGAAGTTTACATTTTCCCCTTAACATTGTTTATGTTTGTTCTTATAAACATTGATCTGAGACCAGTTATCTTATATTGTTCCTTTGGATCAATGTTTACTGTGAAAACTGTTGAAATGTATCTTCAATTTTATACTTTATCATTATATGCTGTCAAACTAAATCCATATGAATGAAAAAATAATAATAATGCACTTTCAAATCTATGACCAAAAAACTTTTTATTTGGGATATAGATATACAGTGATTCTTCAGCATGGCACAAAATTGCAATGGTCTCTCTCTCTCTCTCTGTCTCTCTCTCACACACACACACACACACACACACACACGTATCCAAACTGTACTGTATATACTGTCATATCACAACAAAAGTGATCAAACAAAGAGAATACTCACAAAGGAAGTGAACATGCAAACACATCCCCTGCTGTATATATACAGTATACAAATCAAAGTATCAACAGCAACAGTTAAAAAAAAAGCTTTAGTCTAATGACTAAACCTTCTCTTGTGGATCAGTCTAAAATATAGACTAAAATCTTTCTGGTCAGCCTGAAACAGACCAAATGTATTCTGAGCTTTCCCCACCAAACACACACACACACACACAAAACAAAGAAACAAAAAACAATTCCAAGGAACATGAAATGAAGCTGCCTTCTATATTTATGTTCACACTATGATTTAACCTGAGCCTACATGTAACAGTCATTTATTTTTATCTGTTCTACATCTACATCTTCTAATATCACAATACAATTCAATGTTATTGCATATGAATGCAAACCGTGCAGTCATAGTTTGGTATTGTGGAGTCATGGCTAAAATTGCATGTATTGAGTGTTATGTTTTAATTGCAGCATGTGTGGCACTTTAGTGTTTCAGTCAGTTTACCAGCTGGGTAAAAGCTTAAAAAATGAAAACATATATGTAGATATTTGGAGTTTATGCTATGACGTGGCTATACTAATTATATATATATATATATATATATATATATATATATATTATTGTCACCAATCCATGTCAACTCAACTCTATTAACAATATACAATACAATTTTTATTTTGACATTAAAACACTTTTCGGCTAAAACTAACTTATTAATAAGGTTAATGGCTATCAGTTTCATACTCAAAGAAACATTTTTAACCTCTATGTACCATTTCTTTTGGGAAAAAAAAATGTTTAAAAAATATTAGTATTCTAGTAATAGGGATAATACTGATATTTTTAAAATGTCAAACAGTTCAGTTTTACAATGCGGATTCATTTGTTAACATTATGTAACTACATTAGTTAACAATGAACAATACATCTACAGCATTTACTAATCTTAGTTAACTTTAATCTCAACATTTACTAATACATTCTTAAGATCAAATATTTTATCTGTTAACATTAGTTAATGCACTGTGAGATAGCATAAATATAAAGATTTCACTTTTGAAGTGGAACTTCAAGACTGCATCTTGGATTGACGCTATGGGGATGGCATCAGCATAACCTATGTATGACTTGTATTACGACACCCTCTGATGTTCAGTGGCTCTCCACTAAAGATGAAATTTGGTGTGTGTTCACCAGCTATGCTGACAGTGTCCCCATAGCGTCAATCCAAGAAGCAGTGCCTCGTTCCCCTTCTCAGAGAACCATGGTTACAGTCGTAAGCTAAAACATTTTATTAACTAACAGCAACAAAGGATAATAAATGCTGTAAAATATATATTCCTCATTGTAAATGTTACCCGAGGCATTAACTAATGTTAACAAATTGGACCTCATTGTAAAGTGCTACCCAATTTTACTAAAGAAACTAGTGAAAACAAATGTTTTATTCTAGATGATAAGTATAATTGCTGTGCTTTGGAGAAGCTGTATTCATATAATTAAGTATAATTAATTAATATAATTAAGTGTGGATATTCCTTATTTTCAGGCACTTTTGGTACAGGCCACTTCACTTAGGCGAAGTACATGAAGGGATTCAAGAACAAAGCAATTTAATGATTGGTGCACTCGCAAAAAGTATCCCTCTCAAAATAGTGCTGCAGTTGACAAATATTTTTCATTGAATGTTCATTAGCATAATGAGAATAAATGGAGTCGGTCTCCCTCCACTCCATTAAAGAACTCCAACACTGATAAATAAATAGTCTTGCCGCTTTCTATTCAAACACCAATTTATCACCAGTTTTTCCCTTACACCTCAGTGTCTTCTTCTTCCTCTCTATCTTCATGTTGCGAGAGTAGCCTGTAGTGTTCAGCACCCAGTGGAAGTAAGGTGGACCGGGGCCGATTCCTGTCTTCGTCCACTCGGGAGTGATGGTTATTTGGCTCTGGCTCATCAGAATTGCATTTGGAGTATCGCTCTCTTGGAGGCTCAACTTCACCCTCCTCCACTGGTAGGCTCCGCCCCCCTCTAAGGAAGGAGAGCAGGTAGCCAATGGGCACCGGGAGAGATGCTATAATGATCAGCATGGACAGCAAAATCAGAGCCCATCCAGGATACTCGAGGCTAGCTTCAGAACCCTGACAGAGAGAGATACATCTTTTACATTGCACATTACATTGATCAAAAGTGTCAGTAAAGACATTTATAATGCAAACAAGAAATTCGTCTTGAAATAAATGCTGTCCTTTTGAACTTTCTATTCATCAAAGAATCCTGAAAAAGTATCAAGACTTCCACTAAAACATTAAGGTGTTCATCATTAATAAGGATGATCATATTAGAATGATTTCTGAAGGATCATGTGACACTGGAGACTGGAGAAATGTCAGCTGAAAATTCATTTTAGAATATATTCAAATAAAAACATTTTAATAATATTTCACAATATTGTTTCTATTTCTATAATTAATTAAATAAAAGCAGCTTTGATGAACATGTGAGACTTTCAAAAGCATGAAATACATTTTTTAGAATATGTAGTCATAGTCATACAGGTTTTTAGCGAAACAAATAATGACAGAACATATTTTTTTATTTGCATGTTTGTGTCTACTATCGCTTTAAGTTACCTACAGTTATCCTTCTATTTTTACACACAAGTTAGTTCATAGCGTCCAAACGTATTTTGTACTCAGTTTGTATAATACCGTGGTGTGGTTCCAGGCTGTGTAAGTGGGCCGTTTGAAGACCATGCGGAGAAGACTAGCAGCCAGCAGTCCCACCATGGCAAGCAGGCACACGTACTTCCACAAATATCGATAAACCACTGGAGGGCGCCAGTGTAGCATCACCTCCACATCATCCAAGAAACTGCAGAACAAACAGCAAATACAATGAGGATTAAAAATACTATACATCGCTGATCCCACAACTTAATCAGCATATAAATAAATGATTTCACTCTTCATCTCACCGATCAGCACCGTAAACCCAGGCCACGCTGAAAGTTTCAAAGACGACGACGACAATCAATGGCAATGTTGCAGAATAATCGTCAAACATGGTCACAAAATAGTTGCCACTTCTTTGAGTGAAGAGCAGGCCAAAGAGGAAGCCCAGGATACAGCAACACACTGCATGTTATACAATGATACAGCTAAGTTACGTGACAGCTAGTATTAGCATAAATAGTATTAGCACATCTATTTGAGTGTACCCGTCAACATGGTCTTGTGGCGCCCAAGCACTCTGAAGTTGTCTATGAGTGGGGTAAGAATCCCCTGCATTGTGCCAAACATGGTGGAGAGGCCCAAATTCAGCAGCATGAGAAAGAATAAAGTTGACCAAAATGGACTTGCAGGAAACAACGACATCGCTTCTGTAAATGCTATAAATGCCAAACCTGTGCCCTCCACGCCCTGAGAGAAGGAGAAACAGCATAGATGGATGGATGGACTCTCACAACCAGAAATTATTTCACTGACAGTGAGGTACATACAGAATATGCACTGAAGCGCACACATGTTCTACCTTGCTCATTTCTCTTTCCAGGTCACAGTCAGTGATATTTGACCCTAGCAGGCTTCCATAGTGGCTGTACCATTCTCTGTAGTCATGAATAGACACTGATTTGGGGTCAGAAATGTTGAACCATGGCCACCAATGCTGCGATGAACCTGTTGCTGCCATTTCTGCCATCCTGGCCACATTACTGCAAAGTGACATTCATTGAAATACAAATATAAAGAAATTATAAAAATGTTAGTTTGATACAGAATAATTTCTATAACATTTAGTTGGATTTATTATATGCAGTTTTGTTTGAGGGGACAAAAATTATGAAGATAAATAGAAGGATGTATTGTTAAAAAGCTTACACAATTTATAACAATCACTGCTACAGTATATAATTACACTATCGTTCAAAAGTTAGTCAGATTGTTGTTGTTGTTTTTGAAGAAATAAATACTTTTATATTGCAAGGATGTATGAAATGTATCAAAAGTAGCAGAAAACAAATGTATAATGTTACAATATTTTTTTCACTTTTCAAATTTATGTTGTTCTTTATGACTTTTAAGAAAGAACTTCTAGAATAAAATGTATCACAGTTTCGACATAAACATTAAGCAGCACAATTGTTTTCAACATTGATAAAAATAATAAATGTTTCTTAAGCACCAATCATTATATTAGAATGATTTCTGAAGGATCATGTGACACTAAAGACTGGAGTAATGATGCTGAAAATTCAGCTTTGACACCACAGGAATAAATTACATTTCAAAACATATAAAAAAATAATTATTTTAAATTGTAATATTTCACATTTTTACAGAATTTTTTTTTAATCAAAATCGCATTTCAAGCAAAACAAATCTTACTTTTTTTAAAATTCTTACTTAAGAATCTAAAAAGATTCTTACTTACGATGCAACACATTTCAGAGAAATGTTCTTGGCTCTGAAACCAAGGACCACAAAAACAACCAGAGAGGCCAAAACTGAGGTCATGAAGTTGATGCCAGAGACCATGATGGCGTCCCGGTGGCAGTTGTTATGCACAGGGTTGTAGGATGAATAAGCGATCACCGAGCCGTAACCTAGACCCAGTGCAAAAAACACCTGTGTGGCAGCCTGACGCCACACCTGCACTTCCCCCAAAATCTCCAGCTAATCCAAACAGAGAAATACTGTATGATTACAAAATTTTAATATAACATGCTTTGACATGCCTTTAAATTGCACTTTAAGGGAGTCGTGTGAACTCTTGTAGTCACCTTAGGATAAAACATATATCTGATGCCCTCTAAAGCCCCGTCCAACATGAGCCCTCTGATGAGAAAACAGATCAGCACAACGTAAGGGAACACGGACGAGAAATACATCACCTGGGGAAAAGGAATAGACAGATCATAAATTGGAAGAGCTTATTTTTAATTTATTGATTTCACTAAGAACATCTGTTGATTCATTTTTTAAAAAACATTTTGGGAACAATTTTATGTCCCTTCAAGAATTGTAAAACCTCACAAGGATAGTAAAACACACAACATTGTGAGGAAAATGGCTTAATAAACAACAAAAATATGTATTTTTGACTACTGTATGTAGAAATGCTAAAAGGTTTGTTAGAGGATTGAAAATATCATTAGCTTAGTAACAAACATACAGTAGATGTACCAGAAACATCTCTACCATGACTGAAAAACAAACTTGTTTGTATTTTGTACCTTGGCAGAAGACTTGATGCCCTTGATCATTGCGAGACACACTATAGTCCAGGCGGCAAGGAGGCACCCGGTCATGATAGGGTTAAACTCTCCTGACTCATCTATAGAGTCTGAGATATCCAGAGCCTTTCTGAACCAGAAATAGGAGGTAGGAGAGCTTGCGGCACATTCCTTCACTAAGACAGGAAGATGAAATCAAAAACAAATGTACATACATACTGTAAATCTCAAAGACAACGTGTGTAATTATTAGGGATGTGAGTGAGTAACTAACTAGTGGACTGCTCATTCTGAACTAATTATTTTTTTCCTTTCTATTATATTCCTTTCTGCATCTGCGTGACTCAAGCCACACCTAAATGTTCTCTTTCACTGAATCCTTCACCTAACGTTTGAATGTAAAGGGTTTTAATGATGTTTTTTTTTAATATATATATTTTTAAACTTGCACTACCGTTCAAAAGTTTGGGGTCGGTAAGGATTTTTTTTATGTTTTTAAAAGAACCTTTACCAAAGATATATTTATTTGATCAAATTGAAAAATATTAATACTATGAAATATTATTACAATTTAGAATAATTGCTTTTTATTTGAATATATTTTTAAGTAATATAAAAGTGAGGTTAAAGCTGAATTTTCAGCATCATTACACTAATCTTCAGTGATGCTGCTCAAGAAACATTTCTTATTATTATGAATGTTGATGATAGTTGTGATTCATATATTTGTGGAAACCATCATTTTTTCAGGATTCTTGGTGAATAAAAGTATTAATTTCTTTAATAAATTGATTCCAAGGGATTTTGTGTATGTAAACAACATACCTGTCTGGTTTGAGATCATATCTACAGGACACTGTTCCCATGGCAATGGATACTGGAATGAATTCCCCATATAGAACAGAGACCAGGCAATGATCACATTATAGTACAGAGCCACAAAGAAACACACCTGAGAGAGAAAAAGAGTAAAATTGCATCTTATGGATGTATAGGTGTATGATTAAAAACCAAAAAGAGAGAAAGTCTAAAAATACACACTGTCAAGATCTTTGATTGTTCCATTACTGTGTAAAGCAAAAAAATAAATAAATAAATCCTCTCATATTGTGCAAGATGCCAACATATCCTCTCATATTGTGTAAGCCACACCTATTCTGGCGGACTGTGACGCATAGAGGCGTCATTGGGCGTGACGTCACGCGAGGCTCGGTGGTAGGCTGTTGCAGTAGCCGCAGGGCAGCCAATGAGCACGCTAGACAGCCTGCTCTAGGTCTGCTAGCTGCGGCACTGCGTTGACAAACTAAACTGTCATTAATTATTATTTTTTACTATATAAATTACCTTGAAGACTTTCTTCACTAACCCACCCCGGTCGAAAACTTTAATATTTTTTATAACCTGTAATACCTTTTTTTAAGATTCTTTGATTAATACAAAGGTTTTTTTAAAAAAAAAAATATTTATTTAAAATAAAAATCTTTTGAAACAATATACACTACCGTTCAAAAGAATGGGGTCAGTATTTTTTTTTTGGAAAGAGATTAATACTTTTATTCAGCAAGAATGTGTTAAATTGATAAAAGTGATTGTGAAAATATTTCTATTTTGAATAAATGCTGTTCTTTTTAAGTTTTTATTCATCAACGAAACCTAAAGAAAGAATCATAGGTTCCAGCAAAAATATTAAGCAGCATAACAGTTTTCAACATCAGCGAATGATTTCTGAAGGGTCATGTGACACTGGATTAATGATGCTGAAAATACAGCTTTGGATCAAAGAAATAAATTATATTTGAAAGTATATTAAAATAGAAAACCATTATTTTAAATTGCAATAATATTTCACAATATTACAGTTTTATCAAATAAAATAAAGACTTCTTTCAAAAACACAAAAAATAGTAATGTTTCCAAACTTTTGACCGGTACTGTATATGTATATGAACATAATGCAATAGAATAATACTTGTAATTCTCATGAAGAGAGTGTATGTGTGTTTTACCATGCAGCTGGAGTAGCCGATGCCTGCGAGGCGAGGTGAGATGTGTTTCCAGACCCCGATGCTGCCCTGACGGATGCTCTGGCCAGCGGCCAGCTCCATAAAGAACAGAGGAACCCCGATAATGAGCAACAGCATCACGTACAATAACATAAAGGCACCTGAAGAAAGAGAGTGAGTGATTTCATAACCAATCATTCAGTTTCACAAACACACACATATACAATGTTTAGTTTAGTTTTTTATAAAGCACATTTCTACTGCCTCAAGAGCAGCTTAAAGTGCTATACAAAACAATCAAGGAAACTAAACAAAGAGAATACACAACAACATAATGTTGTGAACTTTTTCTTCTAAAGTGTAGGAAACTCAGTTATTATAGTATTACAATAGCATTATAGTGTCATGTGTAGATGGTAATCCAATCAGCCTGATTAGATCACTCAAACCTTAACAATATTAAACAGACAAAGGCCCAGCTGTACTCTGAGAAGTGACAAAAGTTTAATGTCAGCAATCAGTTAGTAAAGCACATTTGTGAGTCTGCTCAAGCTGTCGCATCAGTCTTTCACCTTTATTTCAATACTGTAACACAAAGTGTGTGTTATGACCGTGTCAATTTACTGTGTTATTGTAACACAAAGGCTATAGCATGTCACTGTAGGTATCTTACAACAGTTCCCATATGAGCGATTTTATAGGTTATCAGGACAGAATATGCTAAACAATGACTTGAAGATAGATAACTCCAGGTCATACATTCATCAACTACTCAGAAACGTCCTGTTGCATTCCACATGTTGTCACTTCTTCCACATGTTGTCACTGTCACATGAGTCTACATTTTAAACGTTTTTTAAAACTGTAAATGAATATTAAAAGTACCCACCTCCTCCATTTTGGTGGCAGAGGTAGGGAAACCTCCAGACATTTCCCAGGCCAACGCTAAAGCCCACCTGGGCGAGCACATACTGTAGTTTACTGTCCCACGCTGGCCTGTCGTCCTCCTGCCCAGCAGCACCTGCAGACCCGACTTCATCCTCTGTCGACACCAAAGCCATGTCTGATAGGCTCTCGACCAATACGCTCCCATTCTCATTGGTCAACGGTGGCTTCTCCATCTAGAAAGGGCACAGTATTTGTCCAGTTTTCAGTTTCATTTTAGCTTAAGTTTTAGGAATTTTGACATGTGTGATTTTTTTTTTTTATTCTAGTTTTAGTCATTTGAGCCCTTAACATTTTCAGTTCGTTTTCAAGGCAACATTTCTCATTAATTTTTTTTTAAGTTTAAATCTGACATTTATATTTTATTTCAGATTTAACAAACAATTTGAAAGTCATCAATGGGTAAATGGTGAATCGATTCATTTTTATAACTTTTCTTTACAGGTTCTCAGCAATTATTATGTCAACATAAGATCTAAAACAGACTGTACAAAAGAAAAGTACAGAGTTCAACATGTTTCAAAGTTAACACAACATGCAGTGTGTGAAGACACTTTCTTGGACAAGTACACCCATTTCGCAGAAAACCACGGGGATCCGCTAACCCTTTATCTAGCTCTTCTCTTCCCTGCATTTACTTCTCTCGTTTCCCTCAAACTTTCTCCCTCTTCCCAGGAGAGAAGTGAATAGTTTCATTGTGTTCTTTGTATAAGTTGGAGCTAGTAAAGTCAATAAGTCAAGTCCACCTTGCCATCTCCCTTCATCCTTCCAGCTATCAGTTTTCTTCTCACTTCAAGGTAAACAGAAGATCATGGTGTAGAATGTACAACATAGCAGAAAACCAGAGTGAAGAGAATGTCTTACATTATTACCATGTATAAGTCCACATACTTGTTTTATTCAACATCGAAATGTTACTGTAGGTAAAAAATAAATATCTAAATCTAAATCTGTTTTACTCTACTTAGTCTTTTATTGGTATAAAACAAGTTATTTTAGTTAAGACAAATATTTAACAGCAAACAGAGGGCAACCACAAACACCAGAATCCCATTGGTTCAAAACTAATTTTGGCCAAATAAAATGTCATGTACATTTTTTTAAACAAACAAGATCTTCCTTGTGATTGTGAAACACACAACTAGGCCAGTACAAGAATATTTAGGCCAGTTAATAGCTGGAAATGAGGATTTACGCAAAAATTATAAATGGGCCTGTCTGTATACATGAAAATATAGCTGCCTTTATTTCATGAAAGAGGATAATCCTATTTGCAAGTATTAAGAGGCATTAAAAAGTTGAAAAGCCCTGAACTGTGGCATGAAATAAAGTCATGCATCTGCATATAGTTTCACAGCTAAAGAGGCCATTTGGGTAAATGCAGACTTGAAACATTCGGGTCCAGCAGTATTTGCCCACCGTCTGAGGAAGAGACCAGCTCAGGGGTCTATGTGCTCTCCACTGAGTGGAAAAGTACAGAACCCTCTCTAGCAAAGAGAGAGAGAGAGAGAGAGAGAGAGAGAGAGAGCATGTGAGAGAAGGAGAAAGAGGTGTTTTACTGCGTCAGAGCTGGAACGGCTAGTAATTCTTAGTTGACTGACAGGCGGGCATTGTGAAATGGAAAGTTTTCAAGGTATCCAATGCCTCTATGACGGTCTTGTGACAAGTGAAAAATAAACATGTTTCTTATCTCTCTCATCTCTGTGTCCTGGCCCACTCGTGTCTAGGAAGTTGTTTATAATGGCAATAATACTGTCAAATTACACAAAGACAAAAAACAACTGAAAGTAGTGGGAAAGTGAACAGATTTTCTTTGCTTCTGTTATTCTACAAATGCCTCTCCTATGAGTGTCAGTGACCTTCCCACTCAACTCGTTATTTGATTGGCTGTGCTATTTCTCTTACCAGTCTCTTGATTTCACTTATGCCACACGAAGCATGAGAACACATGACTATAGGCTACATGCTGACAGAATCTAGTGTCAAAGGCCAAGCCATTATTTCATTGAAATATCCCTCTCGCAGGCCCGGAGTGGCAATCGGGGGTATTCCTGGTGGGCTGCTCATAAATTGGGCAATATTAGTCCTACTTTCTCAACATAAAGGCAGTTTCACACAGGACGCGGAAAGCGCAAGTCATAGTTAATGTTCAATGAGAGGCACACAGTGTCAAATCACAGGTGATATCAAGATTTTTTAAACAGCGGTGTAACTAACTTAACATATTTATAGATGATATTTATTTTAATTTCACTTTTTAAATTGTAGGCCTATGTGCAGTAATTTTAATTTTAATTAATCACTTTTTTTTATACAATGTTTGCTTAAAAAGTTTAGAATATTATTGGTAATTTATCTGTATATTCATATTTGCTGGTCTTGGCCTTCAAAATCCCAGGCTGAGCATTATACATTATACATCTACATTATATATATATATATATATATACACACACAGACACACATATATACATAATATTCACACACATATATGTACTCTAAACATGCTGGGTTGTTTTAACCCATCTTTGGGTGAAATATGGACAAACTCAGCCATTTGGGTTAAATGTTTAAATTACATTTTTAACCCGACATCTGAGTTTGTCCATATTTTACCCAAAGATGGGTTAAAACAACCCTGCATTTTTTAGAGTGTACACACACACACACACACACGCACACACGCACACACACACACACACACACACACACACACACACACACACACACATATATATATATATATATATATATATATACACACACACACACACACACACACACACACACACACAACTATGACTAAGTTTAATACATTTTGGCACTTGATTGTTTTTGACAATGTAACAAGCTTTTGTTACAATTGTAAACTACTACGCCGGGTAGCCTATATTTTTGGCAATAATGTATGCAACATCACCCACTTAGAGTAAATTTGACAGCTGACAGTATTTTAGGAACATGCCATACCAATCAACCATGAATATAGCTAGTTCACAGCCCACATGTATTTACATTAATTGATCCAGCTGTAAATAAACAGTACAACCTTATTAAACTAAAGGCAATCGATCAGATAAACACACATATAGCCAATTGAAAGTATTAAAGACCAAATACATTGACCAAGTTAAAACTTTTATGCCAATGCTAGTAGGTAATAACGTTAAACTGCAACAGGACACAATTTGCTAGTTTGTTGTTGTTGTTGTTTTCGGATAGAAACAAACAAGAACCTCTAAAGCACATGCATTATGTAAAAGTAACTCCTGAAACTTTTCGGTTGCAGCTCAAGAGAGAAGAAAACTTTCAGCCAGCAACAAATTCTTCGAGTCTTACCTTGGCAGCCCGTTTCAGGGGGAGTTGCCCAGTTGTAGTTTTTTGTTTAAACCGCTTATCTTAAACTGACAGGCTCTGAGTTATCGGTTCTGATAGTAATACAGTCATTCAGACCCACTGCAATATTTATCCCACTCTTCTGGTGGTTAGGAGATCGCCACGTTGGAGGGATCCGAGTTCACAACTTTGGTAAAAAGGCAAATGTAACGCCAGACCCTGCAGTTATGCGCGCTGTCATTGGAGACCATTGGAGAGCTGTATTACCTACGCGTAAACGAGACCCCTCCCCCTTCTTGACAGCTCTTTGTCACATTACAGAACACGCGGAGCTCTCCTTTTTGGGTCTCTGCACTCGTCCCTATATTATCTGGTTTAGAAAATAATCACTGATGTGTACAAAGTCTCCTAAACTATTATTATTATTACCATGCATAACTGCTGCTAGGCTCCACCACGCGCCCCGCCTCCTGTTTATATTTTGCGAAAGCGCACTGCCCTTCACGTGCGTTGAGAGCTCAGTCACTGGCCTACAGAAAAGGCTGTGGGTAAGTAAATATAGAGCATGTGCTACAATAGTAGAAGAGCAGTGACAAATGGTCCTAGACATGACAGTTACATAACATAACTAATTTCTGCCAAGACTATTGCACTCTCGTAACTCACGAGGGCGCCGTTGTCTGAGGACCTCTAACGTTCTTACAGTTTGATCATGATAAAATATCGAAAATGTCTTATAGGACAAGACATCCTGTAGGACCACTTCTTCCATTAAACAATAAAATGTACTTTACTTAAACGCTTTGATTGTTTCTTGGAGTTCTAAAACATTGATCAGAAAAAAACAATTGTGTTGCGTAGGTCAACCTGCAGTAACATTTAAGGAGTAGTTCACTTTAAAAAAAACTTTTGGTGATAATTTACGCACCCCCATGTCATCCAAGATGTCCACGTCTTTCTTTCTTCAGTAATGGACTTCACTGGGAACCAAACGGTTCAAGGTCCAAATGAGAGTTTCAGTGCAGCTTCAAAGGGCTTTAAATGACACCAGACGATGAATAAGGGTCTTATCTAGCTAGGATCCTTCGAGTCATGACTCGAAAAAAGATTTGTTCATTTTGATGAATCAGTTTGAACAGGAGAGTCACGAACGCTCATCACAAAACAGAGCAAGGCGAACATTTGTGCTTATAAAACTTAAACTTTTTTATTTATTTTTGAAATGACAAGACCCTTATTCATAGTCTGGTGCCGTTTAAAGCCATTTGAAGCTGCATTGAAACTCTCATTTGGACCTTGAACCGTTTGGTTCCCATTGATGTCCATGGAGAAAATCAAGAAAGACAAGGACATATTGGATGACATGGATGGGTGAGTAAATTATCAGCCAAAGTTTTTGTTTAAAGTGAACTACTCCTTTAAACAACTGGCTGCTGAAAATTAGTCCTATTTTGAACACAGAATTAGTGCGCCAATTGCTATGAATACACTGACAATGGGCTGGTGAAACAAAAGACAAATCAACAAATGCATCTTGTTCTGTTTTTTTGACACTTTTTTCATTAGCATTTAATTTAGTCATTCTACCCGTGTTGGGGAAAGTTACTTGTAATGATGCCATAAAAAAAAATCTCATGTGTAGGTAAGATTAGTGAAATTAAACAAGATTGCAAGCGTAACTTAACTTTGCATGCGCAAGAGAAGATTGTAAAGGTGTAAATCAATCAAGTGTAAGAAAACAATATTTAAGCATTTAACTGTTTTTCGTAAGTGTAATTCATGTAGGCTATTTTGAAGCTGCAGCTTCACGCAAAATAAATAGGATCTGTGTGTATTCTTCTGACCTTCATTTTTCCCGTTTACACTTTTGGCACTGCCAACATACATTTCAGTACAATCAACTTGTAAAAGTGCATGTACCATTATATGACCCCTTTAAAGGTTGTGTGTCTAAATCTATCTTTGTGTCTAATCAAGGCAAAATACAGAATCCTTTTCAAAATAACACAGTCACTGCAAGTGAGAATTCTTCCCAATAATGATAGCTGTTTCCTGATTATGTTTAACTGAAATAATAAATTGATAGTTTTGCACAATTTACAACAATTGAATGAGCTACATTTACAGAATTTCAGAACAAATATTTCAAAGAAAGTTTCTTTTTTTGAAAAGCAAAAAACAGCAACACCATTAGCCATTACATTATAAACTGTGCAACAAGTACGTTGTTGTAAGACATTATCACTAATTGTATTGGGCGATGACAGCACACACTGCATAAACTGATAAAGACAGACAAAAGTATATGGCAAACACTGAGCACTGAGGTAACAGCATTTCTACCAGAAAGATTCGGAAGGCGAGATGATATAACGTTGACCTTTATTAATTAATGGACTAGAAAATGAAAATATTGGATGGTAAAGTTCTTTGGCCCAAGCCCCGTCTGTAGTTCACATTCGGAAGGTAGTGGACTCTGCACTTCCTGCCAGAAGATGAAGGCAGGGGCGCAACCGACCCCCGAGGAGGAATTGGACAGGGACCATCCTGGTGGGGGTGGGAAGGATGGAGGTGAATGTTTGCGACATCATCTACAAACTCAAACATGCGTAAGTAACAATCTTTTATAGCCTACTCCAAGTATTAGAAAGTGATTGGATAGGCTAGAAAGTCTTCCTGGCCGAACTTTACACTAAAGCTTTCATTTCACCTGGAAGTGATAGAGGAACAGTGGACTAACAAAATAAAGACATAGGGAGGGTGAGAGGAGACAGATCTAGACAAACAAGCCTAGCCTGAACACTCTGAACTGAAGCAGCAACAACGCAGTTCTTCACCTTTGTGGCAACGTGAGTATTAACTAATATTTTTCACTTGTCTTTATGTGTGAATACATGTGTTACTTTAATATTTTCTTGTTTTAATCTATTTCAGGCCCATCAAAGTTTCTTATTTTACTCTCATAAAAAATCTATCTGAAGATCTATTGCGTTTACTGCCTCTCAGAGGAATGCAGTCACTGGAATGTACTGTAGCCTATTAACACACTTCCACTAGGTTTCTGTGCTCTTCATATCCTGAAACTCAGACGAGAGAGAGAGAGAGAGGAAGTCCAGGTTTTCTTCAAGTTAAACAGATCAACTCGTTTTTCTTGTTCTTGCATTTCTCTATTAGGTGTATACAGAATATGTGACAGAAGAAGGTGTACACATCAAACACACGGTAAGACTATTTTAAACCAAACATTTAAAGAAATTGAGACTTTACATTAATATTAGAAATTAGGCAACTGATCTATTGCTTTTATTGTCACATGGAGAGGCTAATTGTGATCCACAGTGGTAAATCAATGCTTTCCCTCAAGGATTTAACCTAATTCGCTGAACTACAGCAACGTTCAGTGCGCTGTAATCTGCTATCTTGTCGTATTTTGTGTCTGGTTGTGGTTCCTATTATTTGGCGAAACAATGACATGGCAGTGTGAATGCAAACAAATTGTTGAATAGATCGCGGCTAATAATACCAGCTGTGTTAGAAATCCTGAACATAGATGCTGCCACACCTCCTAAACAGATGAGTGCTCAGTCAATGCAGTGATTTTGTTTAAAAGTTGAAAAAAAAAGTTTTAGTTGGAGTTTTCAGGAATACAGTGGAGGTTAAAATTTGAAATATAATCTAAACCTTGAAATAAAAGGAAGGTGTATGATTTTGAGATGTTTTAAACAAAGAATTATAACATTAAAATGGAGAATAAATGTTTTAGATTATTGCACTATAGGTCACTAATCAAATATGTACATTTGTAACATTGGTCATGTGAACCCTTTTTGACAAACGGTAAGATGTCCTTGCTTCCCCTGAAGCACAAGATGCTCAGTAGATCATTTCAAATTAATCATGCTGGAGAACAGGGTCATTTAACTGTTGAACTAAGACTCAAATTGTTATGTGGTCCAGTGGCTATATCATTTAATTAGATTTTTTCCCAATTATCCATACATTTTTCAAACTGCTTGTCCTGCGGGGATCCTGAAGGAAATGGAAAAATACACAAAACAACAACATTTTTACGAGTGGCCTCGGACATTCGAATCCAGCTGTAAAATGTATAATGAAAACCGTTTTGGAAATCGTTCTTTGTAACTGTGATAATGTATTTTTTACTTTATTACATTACTTGCAGGACTGAACATGATATTTTATCCTAACAAGAAATGTCCAGTGACTGTTACAGCCCACGATCAAGAAGCTCATTGATCACAAAGATCTGACAATCTTTTATGGCTTTCTGTTAGTCAGATACCAGATGTGACTGAATGAGAAGCTAATGTGGACTAATGTGTTGATTATGTGTGGAATGTCAACCCTCTTTATCCCAGAGTCTTAAACAATGAATAAGTGAAATCAAGCAATCTTGCCAAGACCAGATTTACAAAAAGGCATTCATTCTGATGAAAAAAAGAACAAACAAAAAAAAAAAGAAATCTGAACAGACATGTTAATAGGGAGTTGTGGTAGTCCAAGTCTTGAGGATTATTTTATTAAAACCTATAATGAGATTCTCTCAAGTTTCATGGCACTTCTTCTCACTTTCTGTCTCAATTCAGTTCTGTCTATCTTTTGTTTTCTTCCCAATAGCCATTGCCTAAAATCCTCCTTGGTATGGGCTGTGCTAGCCTTATGTTGCTTAACTAAAAGGTTGAAAGTTTTGTCTTACATAAATTGGTGACCAAAGAACTGGAGATATCATTTAATTAGATACAAAAATATTTTGTTCTTATTCGTGTGAGCAGGTGACTTAAGTTTTGAATTGGATGACAGATACAGTACTTTAAGTACTTTCTATATAAACTTCTTTTATCTTTTTCTCTTTTTTTTACATTTCCCATTCTTTCAATCTCTTAGATGGCTGCTCCTCAAGTTATTCCCAGGAGATTGTCAAAGTCGATCAAAGCACCTCCAAATGACGCAGCTTCTAACCCCAATCCCACAGGTATATTTGCATGTGTGTATATGTTCATGCATTTCTGTATTTCTGTTTGATTAAAAATACACAGCAATATGTACTTTTGACAATTAATGTACATTTTATATATATTTCATTGCTCATCTTAGTAAATGGAGGAGTGAAAACGGATATACATCTGATTCACGCACAGAGAGAAGTTGTAAGTTTGACTGTTACATAAAACATTGCCTGTTTGATAGAACACAGACCCCAAAAAGTCATCAGTATTTTAGTTTTGTTTTGCAGAGACCGTAGTTGTCACACTTTTACCTGAATATTTCGAAGGATTAATTATTTATTTATTTATTTATTAATTCAGTCATTTATTTAAAAAGAGTTTCTGTATAAACTGTATAAACTCTCTGTATAAATTGCAAAAATAATTGCAAATTCTGTAATTTACAATTATTTTCACCATTATTGCCCAGAAAAATGTACAGTTCATTGAATGCACGTTGTAACAAACCGCGTTGTTTTTGGTAGATGGGGTAAACTGTCACTATGGACGCTGCCTTTAAAGCTACACTTTTAGTTTATTCTTAGCTAAAAACACTTAGTTCTTTCAAAAATATATGTGCTCATTAATGTATATTTACTATATATTTAATATGCCATTGAAAATACATATGTCGGTCATCATGTTGCCCCTCCATCTTGAAAGTACATTAGCCAAAGAGGGACATACCCGTTAATTCAAGCTTCGCCTTTCGCGTTTACGTTTGAGTCAACACTCATGGACGCAAGGTCAAACTGGAAGCCATGTTAATCTTGGACTTCATTGGCCACCGTAGGAGTTAAAACGAAATCGGAATTGAGAGGAACAGAAACTAATATTCACTAGATGGTCATATACCTTTTCACCGCTAGATGGTGGTAAAAATCACACAGTGTAGCTTTAAACATCCTATTATAGGTCTTTTTTTTAGCAAAATGACAAATAAAAAGATAAGACAATTCAGGAAAATATGTAAAAGTTATGATAGAAAAATGTGATACTATTTTGAACAGCAAAATTATGGTTAATGAAATCACAATCTGTGGTTAATGAAATCACAATCTGTAAAACCAGGCCGTTCTCATCCCAAGGCGAAGGCATCATATATTGAAGCTTTTGACAATGCATATACTGTACATCCATCCTTTACCGTCAATATGAGACCGCAGACATATATATGGCTGCATATGTATAGGCTCCTAGCGGTCTAACCCTAACCCTACCCCAGACCTAAACCTACCCATAACCAAAGCGTATTATATTGATGCTAAAGGGTGCCATGTGCGTTGGATGTATAGCCTACGCATTGTCAAAAGCGTCACTATATGACGCCCTAGGATGAGAATGCGTTGGTAAAACACATGACAACTTTCCTCAATAAAAATTGTGACAAGTTGCCCCCTAAAAAATATGATGTTACTTGGATTTTAGTTTTAGAAGGAAGAGTAAATGAAAGTGCTTAAAAGCAACATGGAAAGCCACTGCATTTGTGTATGTGTATTTATCGCTTAAAACCTTACAGCTTACTCCTTTTTTATATCTCCCTCTGTTAGGAGTTGGTGAATCACTGTTTTGCTGATGTGGAGCGTTTCATGGGCCGTCTGCAGATGACAGCAGTGGCTAAGAATGATCTGGAGCAACGGAGCATGAAAAAGAGTCGCAAAAAGAACAGCAAGAAGAATAAAAAGCAGGATGGTGAGAGAGATGACATCCATAATTCACAAACCTTATCAAGACCTTCAGAAACATCATAAATCATAAATATTAAACATCTATGTTTTTAGATGTCCTTCTCGCGCAAACAGCGACACCGCCATCAGAACAGGAGTTTGTGGATATTTTTCAGAAGATTAAATATTCTTTCTGTCTATTGGTAAGATAGCATATTGATGCATTTTTTTGTGTGTGTGTGTGTGTGTTGCAATGTGGGGTGGTTTGGCTAGTTGTGCAGAAATCACAGCTTTAAGAACTTCATAAAACTGCTTGCCTAATGCAGATGTCTGTGTGTTTGTTGTAGGACCGCCTAAAGACGAAAATCTCAGAGCCAAACTCAGAAGAACTCTTGCACCACGTCTTCATCCCTTTGCACTTGGTAATAGAATTGCACACACACACATATAGAGACACACCTAAACACTAAAATTCAAATGCTTAATTCAAAAACTACAGCTAGCTTTTCCACAAAATAAGGAAAGGATTTGTAATCGCCATATTATATGGTATTAGTATACGGTTTGTTGTTATATGTTCACCAGATGGTGAAGACCACAGGTGCTCCTATGGCAGCAACGGTCTCCAGCCCTGCTCTGACCAGTGGAGCGATCTCTCTACTACAGCAGAATCTAAATGAGCAAGAGAAACAACTGTGGATGTCACTCGGGCCAAACTGGACCCTGCCATTGTCAGTAACAACATTTTTGAATTTAAACTTGAATGGAAATAATACTATTAGAATATCTGCTTTGAGTCTGAACCCTGCTTAAAAACTGTAGTTCACCCAAAAATGTTAATTCTTTCATTATTTACTCACCCTCAAGTTGTTCCACTTTCTTTGTTCTGTGGAACATAAAAGATCAAAAAATAAGTGCTAGTTGCTACATTGAATTTGATATTACATTCAATGAATGGGGATGGTATGTTTGAGCTTCAAAAAAGGCACAAAAGCACATCATAAAAGGTTAAATTCTCCCTTAGTTAAAGAAGGATTGCGCAAGTCTCTGAGCTTTTGCAGAACTATGCCCCCTCTGGCGACAAGCGAAACTGTTCTTAACCAAAGGAGCATAAGCCGCATAAATCTTTTGTTACAGTCATAATGTCTTCAGATGTAATAAAGTTATAATTCTGCAAGTCATTTTAAATATATGAAAGGAAAGGCATTCGAGTAAATTGCACACTTATGTGTGAGGGGAAAACGGGGGTAGTATCTACAGTATCTCCATGTTGAACTGTTTTATGTGCTTACTGTCCACTTCTGATTGTATTATTATGGAAACACGTTCATGAACAATATTATACAAGTTATTACTTTGTGTAGGATCCTGTTTCAGCCCGGTCACCGTGATTTTGCCAAGTAAGACATGGTCCTGGATCAACATATTTTGTTCCAAATTCCTGTCCCAAAACGTAGTCCTTACCCAATCTCTACCCCTAAACTTAACCCTAACCATAACTTTTCCCTAAAATCAGAGGGTAATGATAGGTGAATAACACTGATGTTTAAGTACTTCACCCTGGTTCAAAGCCTAAACTTGACATAAACTGTAAACTTGTCCCTCAAATCTGATTAGTTGATTGGAAAGTTGATCCAGGATCAACAAAGATATTGATCTAGGAACATGTGGTACTTGGTGAAATCACATTCACCGTTTGAGCCCTAGAGCAGACCAGAGATCTCTCCATTTGTTGAAAGCCTTCCCGATGTTGACTCGCGTCTCATTCCGACACCTGTCTGACTCCAATTTGGCCCTTTTGGTGGCACTAGACAAAAGTTTGTTTTCTTTGTCTTACGTGGAGTTTGTGTTGGGGTTTGGAATGAACAACAAGCCGGTCTCTTTGAATCCATCTTCTACTTTTGTTGAAATGTGACATTTTTGTCGCTCGAGTTGTTTTTGCCGATACGGAGAATGGCGGCGAATACACAAACCTGCCAGACATAGCCAGGTGAGCGTGAACGTACATGACGTCACGCCCAGTCTCAAATTCCGTCCCATATCCCTCTCATTTATTTCACTGTACAGGATTATAGAGGCAATCGCAGTGATCAGAGAAGGGCTCATTCAGCCCATAATGACATGAACATGAAATGTTGTGCAATGCACCTTTAAGATTAGTTGACCATCTCCAATGTGTGTTTGCCAGCTCTCAACTCAGTGAGACTGTGTCTCCATACAAACCTGGCTTTCTGGATGGTTGGCAGCCTATGGCCATAGACGCGCATGGACAACCAATTGAGGACCCCATAGAGTCCCAGCACAAACATGAAGCTCTTATACAGTCTCAGCAGGTATGAGACCTTACACTCCCTGATAAGCACAACCACAATAAAACCAGAACTGTATATCACATCAGAACTGCCCAAACTTGATCTACTCTTAAGTCTACTCTCAAGACTCATTTATTTTCTTTGACTTGCAGTTTTATGATTTTACTTTTTTGCATTTCACCTATTTTACAGCTTGGGTTTTGTTGTTTGGGGGAAAAAAAGTCAAAGTCATACATTTTACTTCTCTCTATCTTGTACAGCACTTTAGTCAACTTCGGTTGTTTTTAAATTGTGCTTTATAAATATTGTATTGTATTGTATTGTAAATATTGTATTTTCTCTTTCCTCAGGTACTTAATCAGGCACGTCTAACTGTACACCAGGAACATGATGGGTTAGTAATGACCAGTCAGCTGTGTGTGTGTGTGGTGTCTTTGTGATGGCACTTTTTTCTTATTGTGTGTGTGTGTGTGTGTGTGATTATGGGCTAGGATGGAAGACTCTCTGCCTCCTAATGAAGAAAGGATGTATCGCTGCAGTTATGACTTTGTGGCACGAAACAGTAGTGAACTCTCAGTCTTGCAGGGAGATACTCTGGAGGTACCTTGCATCCACATGCAGCATGCTCCCAGTTTACTCCATTTCCCCTCATTTTCAATCACTTTGTCTCTCTTATCTTTTCTGTCTCAGGTGCTAGAGTCATCAAAGCGATGGTGGAAATGTAAGAATGATTACGGTCAGATAGGCTTTGTTCCACACAATATCCTTGAGCCGATCAATCACGCAGAAGTTGACACTTCCAACATAGTAATGCGCAACCAGTCCATGGTAAAGGAATCATGCACGCATGCATGCAATCAGCAACACATAACACCCTCACATGCTCAGTCACAAACTAATTCCTATCATTCTTTTATAGAAAGCTCCCATCTCTCCACCGAGAGCAATGTCTTTTTATGCTGCACCCCATTCCTCAGGCGAAAAAGCAGTCCGCTCTGATCCACGCCCTCAAAGTATGCCACCAATTGGTGGCGAAGGAGAGACAGGTAATGTCTCTCACCGCAGTACTTGTAAATCTGTCACTTCTAACCTGTCACTTCAGTCTCACGAATGTCTTTTTCTCAAAGTATGGTTAAAAAGTGAAATACTTTGAGGTTATAGAGGATGTCATTATTTCTCAGTATAGCATTCAAGAAAATGAGCAAACCTGCTTTGTGTCATTCAGAATTCATTTTATTGATAAAATAGTACACAACTCTCAGGAATAATTGATTCTGACAAGTCAGTCGTTATCTAAACTGTTTGGTCATTTTCTTTGGCAGCAGTGTTCTTGTTTTATGTAGCATTCTGGGGTTTCTTTTTTCGTCACATAATAATAATAATTCAATTCAAATCAGTGTTATGATTTGGTAATTGGTAGTTGTTTAACAAGCTAAGGAGACTAAATAAACCCCCTTTAGAATAATACTAGTGTTATTTTAGTATTATTTATATACTATTAGTTGTTAGTTACATCTTAAATTATCTTTCATTTGAATATTATTAGTATTAATAAGTAATAATAATAATAATAATAATATTAATTGTCACATCCGGTCAGGAACGAAACAGAGAGTGAATCCAATCGCAAGCATTTATTAATTACACTAACAGATAATCCAGGGACCTCAGAACAGGACAGATGAACAGGCAGGAACCGAGTGACATTAAACAACAACCGACACCCAACAACTGAAACACAGGGGTATAAATACACAGACAAACAAGCTAATCAAGCTAACAAGGGGGTGTGGTAAATAAGAAACACCTGTGGACACTGAGCAACATCATAACAAAAGACAAGACACATGGCAGGATCACATGACAAACAAGGAAACACGTGATACACAAAGCAAAACAAAACCCACAACGTGACATAGCCTCCCCCCTATGGGCGGCTCCCGACGCCCCTAGTGTAACACCCAAAACAAAACCCAAAACACAAGTTCAGGAGGGTGGTGACGCGGAGGTGGTCCTGGGGAGGGAAGGAGGGCCAAGTCTGTGCAGGGGAACAGGACCAGACTTGGAGCAGACGACCAGGCGAAGGCCAGGGCGGAGCAGGACCAGGCGAAGGCCAGGGCGGAGCAGGACCAGGCGAAGGCCAGGGCGGAGCAGGACCAGGCGAAGGCCAGGGCGGAGCAGGACCAGGCGAAGGCCAGGGCGGAGCAGGACCAGGCGAAGGCCAGGGCGGAGCAGGACCAGGCGAAGGCCAGGGCGGTGAAGACCCCTCGGGCGGCCACGGCGGTGAAGACCCCTCGGGCGGCCACGGCGGTGAAGACCCCTCGGGCGGCCACGGCGGTGAAGACCCCTCGGGCGGCCACGGCGGTGAAGACCCCTCGGGCGGCCACGGCGGTGAAGACCCCTCGGGCGGCCACGGCGGTGAAGACCCCTCGGGCGGCCACGGCGGTGAAGACCCCTCGGGCGGGTACGGCGGTGAAGACCCTCGGGCGGCCACGGCGGTGAATTCCCCTCGGGCGGCCACGGCGGTGAATTCTCCTCGGGCGGCCACGGCGGTGAGAGCCCTTCAGGCGGCCGTGGCTGGGACACTGGGCCCCCCCAAAAAAATATTTGGGTTGAGTCCCCGGGTGAAGGGCAGATGGGGAGTGGATGGTCTCGGGCTGGACGGTCTGGACGGTCTCGGGCTGGAGGGTCTGGACGGTCTCGGGCCGGACGGTCTGGACGGTCTCTGGCTGGACGGTCTGGCCGGTCTCTGGCTGGACGGTCTGGACGGTTTCTGGCTGGACGGGCTGGACGGTCTCTGGCTGGACGGGCTGGACTGTCTCTGGCTGGACGGGCTGGACGGTCTCTGGAGGGCTGGACGGAACCAGCAGTAAAGAGCATACAGTCTCTGGAGAGCTGGACGGAACCAGCGGTGAAGAGCATACAGTCTCTGGAGAGCTGGACGGAACCAGCGGTGAAGAGCATTCAATCTCTGGAGAGCTGGACGGGACCAGCGGCGAAGAGCATTCAGACTCTGGAGAGCTGGACGGAACCAGCAGTGAAGAGCATTCAATCTCTGGAGAGCTGGACGGGACCAGCGGCGAAGAGCATTCAATCTCTGGAGAGCTGGACGGGACCAGCGGCGAAGAGCATACAGTCTCTGGAGAGCTGGACGGGACCAGCGGCGAAGAGCATACAGTCTCTGGAGAGCTGGACGGGACCAGCGGCGAAGAGCATTCAATCTCTGGAGAGCTGGACGGGACCAGCGGCGAAGAGCATACAGTCTCTGGAGAGCTGGACGGGACCAGCGGCGAAGAGCATACAGTCTCTGGAGAGCTGGACGGAACCAGCGGTGAAGAGCATACAGTCTCTGGAGAGCTGGACGGAACCAGCGGTGAAGAGCATTCAATCTCTGGAGAGCTGGACGGGACCAGCGGCGAAGAGCATTCAGACTCTGGAGAGCTGGACGAAACCAGCGTTGAAAGCTCGGGCTCGGCAGGGCTGACGGTGAGCGCAGGCTCGGCAGGGCTGACGGTGAGCGCAGGCTCGGCAGGGCTGACGGTGAGCGCAGGCTCGGCAGGGCTGAGCTCCGGCAGGTCGGTCTTGGCGGACAGAGAATCGTTCAGCAAAACAGCCTGGATGATATAGTCCTTCAGACTACAGCTAGGGTGATGGAGTGGCATAAAGGAGTAGAGTGGCTCGGATAGCCCTCCTCTGAAGAATACCATCAGGCATACCTCATCAAAAGATGAGACAGGTGCCAGCTTAATAAAGTCCATAATATACTCCCCTAAGGACTGATCTCCTTGACGGAGACACATAATCTGTGCTGCTGGATTCATTTGGGGGTCGGTTGTTCTGTCACATCCGGTCAGGAACGAAACAGAGAGTGAATCCAATCGCAAGCATTTATTAATTACACTAACAGATAATCCAGGGACCTCAGAACAGGACAGATGAACAGGCAGGAACCGAGTGACATTAAACAACAACCGACACCCAACAACTGAAACACAGGGGTATAAATACACAGACAAACAAGCTAATCAAGCTAACAAGGGGGTGTGGTAAATAAGAAACACCTGTGGACACTGAGCAACATCATAACAAAAGACAAGACACATGGCAGGATCACATGACAAACAAGGAAACACGTGATACACAAAGCAAAACAAAACCCACAACGTGACAATTAATAATATCATTACATTTTAGTTTCATCTAATTTTAAATTTAATTTTATGTGCTTCTGTTATTTTTATTAGTTTTTTTTTATATTATTTCTATATCTTTAATTTTTTTTTTGTTTCAGTTAGTCATTTTAGTACTTTAGCATAAACTTATTTATTTCAGTTAGGTAACTTTATAAGATCAAGTTTAAGTTTCATCTAATATATGGTTTATTATTTTTTTTCAGTTTTATCTCAATTAATTTGTTTAGTTTTAGTTAATAATAACTACACACTGAATGAAACAAGATTTCTCCTGATGGCACTCTCTTCGATTTCTTTATATTGACCGACTGGCTTTACATTGTCCCTTACGTTATGTTCATCAGAGAATTATCACAAATCACCAAATATCACAAATGTATATTTTATTTTATTTCTTACTGTAATATTTATGTGTTAACAGCTATGTTGATGAATGATGAGCTCTTGCAGCGACTGGCCAATGGTAGAGCAGCATCAGTACGGCCAGTGGTAATTAATAAAGCGAATGACACAACGGCACCGCTGGACTATCACTCTCCCCCAGCTGAGGTTCAGGAGTGGCTGAAGGCCAAAGGCTTCAAAGATTAGTGAGTAAAACACACACATCTGGAGCTAACACTGATCTAAGATCTCTGAAATTTGCTCATGTTGTGATCTCTATCTCTGTCTCAGCGCTGTACGGAGTCTGGGTGTCTTAACGGGAGCTCAGCTCTTCTCACTGAATAAGGAGGAGCTGCGCCACGTTTGTCCAGATGAGGGCATCAGAGTCTACAGCCAGATCATGGTGCAGAAAGCACTGCTGGAGGTACATCGCTCACTCCCAGAAGCATTCTCACAGAATACCTCTCATCCCTTATAATGTTTCGGCAGTTTAAAAAAAAAAAAACACTTCCCCTCCCTCTTGCTACAACTTCTCTTTTCTGAAGATGTGTTGTTCACCGGTGCAAGAGCAAGACAACTTGTCTCCTACATGAGATCACAGAAATAGCAAATTACAACCATCCAATTATTTCCAGATGGACAAAACCAAGTCCCACCCTACACTCCTGGGCAAAATAAAATGGGCCAAGCCCAAAAGGGTCGAACACTAAGCTTTTAATTGACTTAACCACAAATAAATGGTCAGGAAATTAGCCAAATTTAAGCAAATGCACACTATGTAAAAAGCCATTGCTGTCTCAGAAAAACATCAGAGACAGAATGAAGTTTTTTGGCAGCATATGGGAAGTTCACAATGAAACACCAGTTGCACGGTGATGCTCCAGAGCGGTGTCTTCAAAAATCTGCTGAGAAATATAATGAAAACTGCATCTCAACCTCAGTGAAGTGTGAAGGAAGAGACTGTGTCATTGTGTGGGGAGCCTTTTTAGCTGCTGGTATTGGTGAGCTACTTCACTGTGAAAAGTAATTTAATGCTTTAGGGCACAGGAGAATAAGACTTGCTTCCCACAAATGAAAAGTTGTTATCTAAAGAGGAATGATCAGATGGTATTTTTCAAAAAGACAATGCTCGAACGAACTGGGAGACATTTTTCCACCATGAACTGTTTGAAGCCATTAACATTAAGTGGAACAACACTGACTCTTCTTCCCATAAAAAGCTGTCAGCAAGTTTAAAGAAAACAAAGGGGAAGGCTATTTTGTGCTGAGTTACTTTATCTACGGTAATTTCCTGACCAAAGATTCGTGATTAAAATGGTTTGGATCATTGAAAGCCACTAAATATTGTGCCATTTTTGGCTTGGCCCATTTCTTTGCTCAGGAGTGTACATTTCTTCTTGTTTGAGAAGCTGTTTCACTCGGATATATGTCACAATAGGGGAGATAGACTATCACAACTTTCATTTCATGCTGACTTTAAACAAAGAAACATTAAACAAAGTAAATAAATATTTAATTTTAAGTTCTGAGTTAAGTTCCGAGTTTTTTGAGTTAATATCACATTTTTTATTGAGTGAAATGAACTTTTTTTAAAAAATAAGTTACGACAACTCATATCGTTTAGTGACTTTCAGTGTTAGGTTTTACAGTGTTTAACTAGGTAATTCAACCAAAAGCAAAATGTAGTGAATAGCATTTTCATTTACAGAAATTGAATAGTCTTTAGTATAAAGTGATTTGTCAGAACTTCTCAAACTTGATTTCTCTCAGTGAATGATTAAAGTGTCATAAAGTGTAATAAACAGAACAAACCAAAAAGGAGAGAGAAATGATAAGAATTGAAAGATGATTATCTTCATATCTGTGTCTCTCGTTTGCAGGATGTGCGGAAGGCCACTGAGTTGGAGGCCATAATGAAGAAACAGAAGATGAAAGTTGATCTGAAAGCAGAGGATGGGGAATTTTAATGGATATCACTTTCACTCATACATACAGACAAACATTCATACCAATGCTTTAACAGACAAATGTGGCATGAATCAAGATCTAGGCAATTTAACCATAATGATCTCTGTTGCTTTTATGTTATATATTATTTCACCATTACCACTTATATAAATTCAACCCCATATATTCCTTTAAATATTGTATTTTAATGATAAATAAAATGAATGAAAAAAGAAAGTATTCTTCTTCTTTTCTTTTTTCTTCTTTTTTTTAAAATCATTTTTGACAACAATTAGCAGTATACAACCAGAACACACTGCACTGGGGATGTATGCCAGAATGCAATGTACAGAACTTGACCTTTCCATCTCACTGGTTTAATTAATTGAAACATGTACAATTAATATCATTTGAAAAAGATAGCTTTTCACACAGATGTCACTTGCTGGATTAAATATAAAATGTAGTGACATCATTTGCACACATAGATAGCAGTATTCTACACTGTAAAAATTTAAAGTTTAAACCATTAAAAACTGACATCAAAGTATGTGTTTCTTATACGCAGAGAATTGTAGAATTACAGTTTTTACAATCTGCAGAATCATTGTTAATGAATCTTTCTAGTGAACGAAGTCAAAAGATTCGAATCATTTGGGATGAATCGAAATCCCCGCTTCTATTAGATGGTTCACACATACTACAAGTGACTTTGTTGCTGCAGGTCGGTGTCTGGTAGGGATGGAGAAATGAAGCTTCATGAAGCAATGAGGCTTTCCACTGACTGTTCCGGGAAAAGATTCAAAGCTTCGAGAGCGTCGAGAACAGCGCCATCTGGTGCTTATTTAAAATAAAGCAGCCAGAAGCTCTGGCATATGAAGCAACAACACACTACAGCGTTTCAATGTTACGTCTACAAATAAAAACCTTACATGTTTGTGTTTGATTTGTTCATTTAATAAATTCATTTTCCCATTAAAGTGTGGCAATAAAATATAATATAAGCATATATTACTCAATAAGATTTAATATAGGCCTACTCTCTCTCTCTCTCTCTCTCTCTGTACACACCCACACAATGAATATATAACATTGTCTGATAGGATAATCTGTTTTTAAATATATGACACTTGGCGATAGTGCTTAGTAACTGTAGGAACCAATTACCAACACCAAATTACCAAATCCACCAAAGTGCAAAGATTTTACAAAAACAAAAAGACAAAACAAAAAAGAATAGACTAAGTGAAAAATACATTTTGGTTATTTAATGAATTATATTTAGCTATTAACTTTCAAAGTACAGCACTCAAACACCCATCAACCAGACTGAGGCAACGTTGACTCGTTAAATGAGATCTGGAGTTCGAGCCTTCTGACACCCAAAGCGAAACTCGCACGTGATCGGACAGAAAATGAGGCTTCATTTGTCATAGATCACGTGACTCTGGGAAAACCAATACACACCCCGATACGGGGCTTCACTACAAATTGTGTCGCATATGTGATACGCGCATCGAAGCTTCAGTGTCATACGTAACATCACTAGTGTCTGGTTTGTTTGAGCTTCTAATGTAAGTTCTGTGGATCAAAACGTTTCTAGAAGAGTTGAACTCTGCATCCTATGTTTTAATCATCAGTTAAGTGACTGAAAGACCTTTTGCTCGCGGGGTAGGAAGATAAAACATGAACGACACCGACACCATTAATAAATGAAGACAACGTGAAACCCTTACTTGTTTTAAAGCCACCGTCAGTTTAGTTTGATAACCTCATTAGTTTCCCTGTGATTTTAGTTTTATAAAAAGCACATTTTGTAGTCTCTTGCAAAACGCGATGTTTTCCTCACGCGAGAATCGGTGTCATCGCTTTCAGGCGAACATCTTTAATAAAAGTAAATGTCAAAACTGCTTTAAAACCGTGGATTCACACAAACTCAGGGAAGCAGATCTGTATCAGGTGAGTATACTTTCTTTACTTAAAAAAAAAAATGCTGGAGAATGCTATGATCTTTTTATGTTCTATTATTTAAAGAATAAATAATAGAGTCTCTTTCTCTCTCTGTCCCAGACTAAGCCTGTTCATGAGGGGTGGCTCCTCTTGGCCCCAGAGGACACTGACTTCAGCAGTTCTGGCCACACGAACCAGGTGATGGCACTGGCAGTAGGCTACTATAGAGATTATTTCCATCAGATACAGGGCCTTTATATTTATACATCGATGTTGTATGTGTAGCATTGATCTTTCTTGCCCGTTTCTGTTATAGAAATGGCAGAGGAGATATTTTGTGCTTTACGAGCATGGGCTTCTATGCTATTCTCTGGATAAGATGGTGAGGTTTTTAATCCAGTGTTTTCAAACTGTTTATCTTTTTTCCCACTATATCAAGCTTATGAAACCCCATTACTGCTACTAGACCAGAAAAATTAAGTTTGATATTATACATACTACTGAATGCAATTTAAAAATATCTTTAATAGAGAACTGTGGTGATGTATTTTTGTAGGCCAACCTGGAAGTTAGCATCACCCTGGTTCCCTCGAAGAAAAAACAAACAAACAAAAAAACAATAGGCTTTTTCCCACTGGCTTTTGCCTTATTGCAGAAAATAGGTTCTGTGCTCTCAACAAATGGTGAGGTGTCACAATATATCGTGTCACAATATATCGCAATACAAAAAGGCAACTATGTATCGTGGATAGTGACAATACATATTGTGTATAGTTCACCCAAAATGAAAATAACTGTGATAGAAAAAGTTTACAGAGTTGTAGTGTCAGTACTACATTAAACTACTATATATAATGTTGAATATAATGGATAATAATGCATTGGGGGGAATATTTGTGGGTCCTCATATAATGCCAAATGTCTTATGTTACCAGTAAAAAGTGGCAAACATTATTTTAAATCTATCTAGTCAGTGACAGAGTGCAAGCATATTAATTTAAAATAATTCTGGATTTTAAGCTCGAGAATCATGAGTATTTTTATTATGGTTTGACCATTGTCTGATGCATTGGTTTACAAGCACCAATTCATATTTTGCATTTTAATCAACAGTACATTTTTTGTTAACCTTACCATATGTCTTGGATGGAGTATCGCAATAATTTCGTATTGTGAGTTTAGTATCGTGATATACAGTATATATCGAATCATGACTTGATAGTATCGTTACACCCCTAACCTTTATAAATTTTGAAGCCTAAATGCAATCACCAGAAGTAAAAAGCTATTTATCACATTAGTATAAATAAAAGCTCAAGATTTATGAAAATCACCTTCTAGCAAATAACGCAGTCATTGTCTTTAACAAGAAGGTAAGGCTTATAATTATCAAAAAAAAAAAAAAAAAAGTTAGCATGAAACTGATGAAGCAAAAGTCTTTTCTCAAACAAGAAAAAATGCAGAGTGGGACTGGATTTTGCCCATTGGGAATTGATTGGATAGTTGTGGTTTGCTATTGTGATCTCATGTGAGTGACAGGTTGTCCCGCCCTCATGTCACTAAACACTTCATCAGAGAAGAGAAGGGATGTCTCTGCAAGAGGGAGGGACAGTTATTTCGAGTAAATATTATAAGGAGGCATGAAAAAAAGAATGATGTACACAGATAATATTCCCTAAAAACCAATAATTGTCAACTTTTATTTTTCAATTTTCCAAATTGACCGTCTTCATGGTGACTTTAAAATGTTTCCTGCTCTATGCAATGTTTTATCTAGCCAGGTACATTGCCTCAAGGAAGTTTGAATATGATCCAGTGTCGTGAGATTTGTGATGCTTCATCTCAAACTGGCTTCCAGAACTGTCTGAGGTTGTGTTTCACTAACAGAGACTACTACATCCGAACAGAGAACACAGACAGCTTGAGCATTAGTAGGTAATACATTCACTGACCTGTAATGTGAACTTAGCCACACGTAACAGTTACTACTTAATTAGTTAATTTTGATCCCACTTGATATATATATATATACATCCATTAACATTTATGGTATGCTATCAAATATGTTGTGATGTAATAGAACAAAAGAGGCCAAGTCAGGCTGTTAAATGTCCTGTTTTTGTGTCATGATCTCCACTCTGTTCTCTTAGTTCAATTGAAAGCATCTCTCTCTCTCTGTCTGATCCCGCTGTTTCTGCTTAAGTGTTATAAATCAGTAAATCTCAGCCAGGCTGACCTAATCCCTTAAGAGTGTAATAGAAGGTGTCAAGGAATCTCGGATTAGTGTGTGCATGTGTTTCTGTGTTGAGTACACCAGTTTAGAACGGTTTCTTTTGGGGTTGTTCAGGCTTGTTCTTTTATTGCTCGTAATTTTTTACTTCTTTGCAAGCAGAGGTTTTTAGTCTAGAAGAGGGATGTCCAAAAAGCAGAAGTAAGAGAATGCTTGTTTGAGTTTGCATGTTAGTGTGATTTCCAGCCTGGGTGGTTTTTTGGGGGTCTGTCCTATTTATGAATTTGACAGTATTTTTTTTGATTTAGGTGGCAGGAAAATCTGCTTGTTTACCCCAAAGCTGCTAAATCAAATCAGAGGAAGAAGGGGAAGGATAAAGTCCACCCACCACAAGTGAGTCTTGTTTATATTTAATTAAAACATGTCATGTGACATGCAATGCATGTATCCTATCTAATATATTTTCAATATACCATCTAGTTATTTGCTTTGGTAAAATATGAATATGAACAGAAATATTTAATGCAGTATTCATGGCGGCTATTTAAAAAAAATCACACTGAAATTTATTTGACTGTTTTTAGATGTTTTGGTTTTGTCAACAAATTTCCAGTTATTTTGTTGTTGTTTGTCAGCATTTCATTTGAGATCTACAAGCCAAGGTGTAGCTGCACTAAACATGTAGCAGGATTTAGTATTATTTCTCAGTGTTTTTATAAATATTCAGAAAGTAATTACAAACCAAACTCTTATTAAACAAGAGGTGGATTGGATATACAAATGATTATAATATCTGAAATCACAAGTCATTTTAATTCATTGTAATTGACATTGTTCTATAAAAAGGTACTTCCATGTATACGTACTAGATTGGAAAAGGCAGATCTGCCAAGCTTTGTGTGGGAAAATGGTATCTTGAGTAAATGTTTTTCTGTTGATCCTGGTACAATATATACAGCAATATATCAGCAAACTAGTTATATACTGAGGTAACTTACCCAGTAAAGCTTTTATAATAAAAAATAACATGTGTTTTTCCTCCTTAAGCACAGTAAAATCCACTCTATTTCATAGATCATACGTGTGTATGGACACGTGCACCATTATTTGTTACACCAGATTAGTACACTTCAGTAAGTGTAAAAGCCAAGGGATATTCAAGTGAACAGGTTTGTTTTTAGATGATAACAGAAATGTTGATAGAATAATGCTGTTTTGGAGTACTGCTCCTTTAAATGCCCTCCTCCTCTGTTCTTTACTTTAATTACATTTCTAAGTGCTGTGCCCGTCTTTCTGTCCAGTTGATTTACTAATCCCTCTCTACCTTCTGCATATTCTTTCTGCTGACAGAAGACCAAATTGATCTATTGTGTGAAAATGCCATTCTACTGCAGCAATTAACAGCATGTAGATGAAATGCTGTGTTCCTGTATTTTGTGTGTGCACGCTTTTTGTTTTTGTTTAATTTGAAGCGCTAGTCAGATGGAAGTTTAATAGAATTAACTTAAGTGATCTGGACAGGATTATTGAGCATCCCCTGGGGAGGGTAAAGATTTTGCAAAGTGGCAGCAGAGAGCAAAAGACTTGTGTGCTTGTTTGTCAAGAGAGAGGCTTTTCCTTCACCATCCATGCCAATCGGATTTTGCTGGCCGAGCGCTTGTGTGCAACCTGTCAGTCTCTGATTTACTCACCTATATTCTTTGTCTCTGTCTTTCTCTCTCAGCAGACAACAGAAAACCAAACCTCTAGCAGCAGTTGCAGTAGTGGTGCTAAAAAAACGTGCACTTCTGGAAGTAATTTCACCGGCAGCATTAACAGACGAGGCAGCATCACTTCTAGTAATAGTAGTGACAATAAAGTGTCCATCAGCGTCAATGCTGGCACGAGTACGAGCAGTGCCACTAGTGGCAGCAGCAGAAATGGTAGTACTAAAGAGGCCACCAAAAAAGACAGAACAACTAGCATGTTGAGCACAGTGGAGGAGGTCTCATTGCTTTCATCAGAGAAAGAGCTGGAGGAGGAGTCACTCAATGTTGGAGTTGGGGTTCCTTCCAGCAGTGGTAATGCTTCTTCACTCAATGCCAGTCTTGGCTCCTGTCTCACTTCGTCACTCGATCAGCTCTCGAGCTGCTCCGGCACGGAAGGTACGACCTCAGAGTGTCCTTTGTCTGTGGGCTTATGACATTAACTGGATGTACTTGTTTATGGTTTTAGTGCTTACTGATTTGTCGGCTTAAGAAATAAAGGTGGGTAGTAGCTAAAACCATTGTTAATTATTTTAGTTTGCACAAAAATTTTACTTTTATGATAATTTTTGGTACTTTTATGTCATTTTTTAAACTTGAAGGCTCCAGAATATATTATTCATTGTAATTGCATGCATCTTTATCTGAATCGGATATTCTTTAAAAACTGTCCTTTTGTGTTCTGTAAGACCTTCTAAATTGATCCAAAGGCGGCGTTCAATTAGAGGTGAAGGTATCACGCGTTTTCCGTCTTTCCCATGGTAAAGGGAATTTTTATTAAATGCAATGCATTTTGTCTTATGTATTAACTTGTGTAATCTGACTCAATGATATCTGTGCATCATTGAATATACGTTAATGTTTGACTATTCCTTTTAACTCTAATGAAAATAAAGCCAAAGTCTGTTAGAATAATCAAATATAACAATTTATTATGTCAGGTAAATGTATTATTACAATTCCGTAATCAATTGAAAAATAATCAATGCAAACCATAAAAGTTCTAGAACAAAGAGGAAAATCTTTTACCCGACCTTGTGTGGCTACATGAGCTGAGAGTCTGGATGCTCTCATCCTCACGGGCTAATCTGAATACAGACAACAGCCCTGAGCTCTCCGTTGCATTTCTTTATATATCCAGACCTGATGTCATATGTAAAACATGAGTCTACGGTGTAAAGTTACTGTTCACCCCACCAGACTTACTAGGGGTAGACCATTTGCAAGGGACAGTGGAAATTAGCAAGTAGAGATCACATTCCTTTGTGTGCCAGTTCTTCCTAAATTGACTTCTTTGGGAATGAGACATCTGTACCAGTCACCCTGAGACACACCCAGAAAATGATTCTAAACACAATCCTTAAAAAAAGGTAAACAAAAAAAATGGGGGTGAGAGTTCAAATGTTAATTTGCAAGCAAGGTCTTTGTCTTCAGAGACCACTGGTCAGATATTTTCTCTTCAACCTGTTTTTTCAGCCTTACAGTTCCATGGAAGAAAGAAAGCCATTCAGGTTTGGAAAAACATGAGGGTGAATGATTTATATCAGATTTTTATCTTTGGGTGAACTATGAAACTGTTTCTTTTTCAAATGCCACTTTTATCTGTCATGATGACACAAGTATGTTTTTATCAAGTTTTAATTCCTTGTAAACTCATGTCAGTGCACTGGCTAAGTAAGAATTGGAAATACAGATGAGTTCTGGACTGAGTTTGCTTTGCTTTCATTTGCTCTCTCAGGCACTAAGAGTCGATTGGGCACTGAAAGCGGCTATTCCTCACTGGAGAAGACAAGTCCTCGTGTTGCAGATGAACAAGCACACACTGACTCCAGGTGTGACTGTGATCCTTTTTGTTCACCTACCTCACATCCTTGTATGTTTCCTACCTTAAAGTCCCTTAGCCCCTGCCCCTTTCCTCCACCAACCAATCACAGTTCACAGGGGGCATGTGAGGGTGATCCTGAAGAGTCCAATGGGAAGAGACAATCACACACATCCATGACACAGACACACACACTCAGACATGAAGCACATCAAGCACTCAGCCCAAGAAGAAAAGTACACCGGCTGTCTGGAAGTCGGAAGAGGTAAGACCGTTCACTCTTGATTCCCTCATTACACCAACTGTTCATGTATAATGTGTGTGGCTCCCTCTAGTGTTCATCATTTTATTGCATTTCCTTCAAAAGCATTTTTCTGTTTATCTTTCAGGTGACTTCCTCCCATATCCATCAGTCAAATCAAACCAGACCTGCTTGCTTTCCCATTTTCCATTTTACTACAAACATTTTCTACAAGCCACAATTCTCAATAGGTTTAAATGTTAAATCGCATCGCTGTTCCTCAAACGTTTTGCTTATTCTTGATTCCCTCAACAAATGTCTGCAATTTGTTCAAATTGTTTTCATTTCAGTTTTTAGGTGTTCATTGTATTTTCTATGTATACCTTAACTTTAATGTTATAATTATGTTCATACTGAATTCCAGTTGATCTTATACTACAAATTAGTATCCGTTTTATCTTCTCAATGTTTATCTTTTTCTTGTGTATAATGCTCACTCAGTACTTTAGATGTTTTTGAGAATTTGTATAGCTTAAAGTTGAACATTAAATTGATGTCCACTGTTTTAGAATATCTTTAATATGTTTGTTTCTAGGAGATCTCAGGATGCTGATCAACAGGAGGGTTCATTTCTTGATAACGAGCTTCCCCCATCAACCTTCACTTCCTCGTCTTCTGCACAAAATGACCATAAGACAACTGTCAGTACATCTCAGGTGAAAACTCAGTCAGGCTGAACCAAGTACACTAACAAAACTTTGAGGTTTGTAGGATTTTTTAAAAGTCACTTGCTGCATCCAGTGCACTTTAATATTTGGTGCTCAAGAAACGTTTCTTATTGTTATCAATGTTGAAAATAGTTGTGCAGCTAAATATTTTTGTGGAAAACCTTATATTCATCAAAGAATCTTCAAAATGTAGAAATACCTAAATAGAAATATGTTGTTACATCATGCCTTTACTGTGACCCTTTAAGGTGCTTTAAGCAATGTTGGGTGATGTCACTTCTTGTTGACGTTTGAAGTATTGTCAAACAAAACGGAGGCTAGCTAGACCCTCCCTCCTCCTCATTCCGCGCTGTATTTTTACTGATACTTAATTTAAGGTGTAATGTCGCTAAGTTAGATAAATACTTTCATATAATGCAGAAAAAGAAAAACATTACCAGAAAAACAGGCTAAAAATGAACATTCAAATTTGTAACAAACAGTGGGTAAAAACAATCATTCACACAAACTGTTGCCCTACTTGTGAGTTTGCTTGATCATCTACAATAGCGATCGATAGATAGCTGCTAGAAGCCACTATATTGTATTCAAGTTAGCGCTGACTGCATTGTTCTAGCTAATTATATACTTGTGTTTTGTTAGGCGAACAAGTCCATTTAGAAAAACCAAACTGGATTTACCCACCTGTCCAGTAAAAACAGAGCTACATTAAAGTCGGATTGGAAGCCCTTCTGCCTGGCGGAGTTCTCACCACCTTTCCCCTGTAAATTCGTGACTTTGCGCGTTCCTTTTCCTTTTACCTCTTCTTTACATTTTTGCAATCTTCTCATCGAAACGTCGTCTCTTTAGTCATGTGTCGGCCATATCAAACTTAAAGAGTTATATTTCTAACTTCCTTCTTCATGCTTCTCTCTCCTCCACACCCTCCTTAATATGTAGCCCACTAACCCCACCCCCTAATCATTCTTGTCGGTTATTGGCCGGAACACTGTTTGTTATGTTTCGTGGAGCGGGTTGCCACAGTTTGTTTTTGTTGCTGTTTATGGAGCTTGGGCTGTCTACAGAGGCCGTGTTTTTTTTTACTGTGTGTTCAGGGGACAGGCAGATAGCGGTGAGGAGGAGATGTTTGCTGTATGTGACAAAATGTTTTGGTCTAAACGTGTGACATTGCTTAGAGCAATTTAATGTATCTGTGTTGAATAAAAGTAAAATTAAAAGTTTGGGGTAAAATGTCCCCAAACTTTTGAATGGTAGTGTAAATGGAACGTTTTTGAAATAAGGTAAAATTACATTTAATAGTTTTATGTAACACTCTTTAATATGAGCAGTGCCACTAGTGGCAGCAGCAGAAATGGTTGAACTAAAGAGGCCACCAAAAAAGACAGAATATCTGTTTTTGCTCTAAGTAGGATTCGTCCCCTAATGATGACATCCCTGATCACTCGCGACCCTTCACGTCATGCAGTATCCGTTCCAAATCGCTGGAAAGCAGACATCTTGATCCCACACCCACAGTAAGTACAACCAATACAGATCAGACTGACCCTAATGTGTGTTTTTATTATGCCAGTAAATAAATGTAATCAAATGACTTACGGGATGTAGCGACTAATTTATCTAGTTAATTATGATTAACTATGCATATCACATATGACATTGCTAATGCTCTTTTCCTCTAAGCCTGACCTCCTTAATTTCAAAAAGGGATGGATGTCTAGATTGGGAGAAGACGGAAAGGTGATTTTGAAGTTTTGAGTGTCTCAGGGCACATTTATTTGAATGATGTAAATGTTTTTTTTTACTATGTAAAAGGGTCTTATGTTCTCTTTTCTCTAGTGGAGGAAAAATTGGTTTGTTCTTACTGACCAGACTCTGAGATTCTACCGTGACTCTATAGCAGAAGAGGTAAATTGATTTATAAAGAATCATCATAACTGATTTGCCATTTGCAGTCAAGAGAAATTAACTGGTCTTTCTCTGTTTTGTCACCTAGGCAGCTGATGTGGATGGTGAGATCAATTTGTCTACTTGTTACGATGTTACAGATTACCCTGTACAAAGAAACTATGGCTTTCAGATTCACGTGAGTATATTAGCTATATTTAAGCTTATGTGTTGTGTCTATTTCATTGAATTTTTTTTCATCCCTCTTTTCGTACAGACAAAGGATGGGGTCTTCACCCTCTGTGCAATGACTTATGGAATACGACGGAACTGGGTCCAGGCAGTAATGAAAAATGTTCATCTCAGCACTGCTCCTGATGTCACATGGTAACAGCTGCAATTATCAGGAGTGCATAAATTCAGTTGTTACAAATATTTAGTCAAACCCTGAAACATTTATTGCTCTATTTTGCTCACAAAACAATCCCGTGTTAGGACATTGACTTTTCAATCTGCTGTTTTTCTTTTTCTCCAATGCTATATAAGGAAAAATCCTACTATCAAATCCAGGTATGAATGTGTTTTTGCTGTAACCATAAAAGTTTTTTTTTTTATTTAAATAAAGTTATGGTAAACGCACAAAAAATATATTTTAATTGAAATAACTAAATCATAGTTTGCTACATCTTTTCTTTCCTCAGTTCTATTCCTCAAAAGGTGTCATTGACTAGTACACATGCTCGTACAGGCTCCTCCCAATACAATACAGTTCCACAGGAGGAGGAGAAAAGGAGTCGCATCCGTGAGCACCGTAGAGAGGGCCGTTACAGAACCTTTGATTGGGCAGAATTAAGTCGTAAACCGCACAAGGAGGAGTTGTCAAATGATCTGTCAGGAAGCCAATGGAACTATAACAGTGAGCGCTCAGTGCCTCCTGCCCCTGCATCATCCCCCGAAGAGCCGATCATACGTTCTGTCTCTGAGGCATCAGAGAGCAAATATCTTCAGAAGACTAGACTCTCTCCGAGGCGAAGCCTGAACATCATTTCCGCTGATATACCATCACACTTATCACTTATGACAGTGTCAGGTCGCACCTCCCCAGAATCAATCAGCCCAGACAGCTTAGAGGTTGATGCAGGGACAGTACGTGTCCACTGTGACAGTCCTGGTGAACTACTCAAAGCTAAACCCAAAGAAGAAAAGCAGGTAACGTAACAAGCAAATATGATTGTATCCAGGGTTTGAAATTAACACCCACCAACCCGGAAAATTCAAGTGAAAATCCACTGTGGCTGGTAACACTCATCAACACTAGCCTATTTGGCGGGTTATGATTCACAATGATGTTCTATCACTTTGGATGGCATCGCCAACAGAATCCCTCCCTAAACGAAGCCTCAAACATTAGCAAAACAACACATGAAGAGAGAAATTATTTTAAAATTCGAACATATTGTTTTCTATGACCGTAGGCACACCTGCAACGCCCAACTACGACTTCGGCTGTTCAAAATCATGCCACAGCGTCACTCACATTAAAAATACATTGATTTAGGACAAATATATGTACGTACAATTAGGAGGCCACTTTTTCCAACCCCTTCTCGTAAATGCTGCATGTCTAAGACTTTTGGGCAAAAAGTGCCCAAGTGTCTATATTGCTATTTTCAGGGGCTGTGCAAAAGTTAATTGCGATTAATCGCATCCAAAATAAAAGTCTGTGTTTACATAATATATTTGTGTGTGGTGTGTATAATTAATTTCTATATATAAATACACACACATGCATGTATATATTTAAGAAAATGTGTTATTCATATATAAAATATTTATATTTATATAATATAGATTATGTATTTATAAATATATACAGAATTTAAGCGCAAATAATTCTTAAATATATACATGCATGCATAGGTATTTATATATACAAAATAATTATATACAGCGCACACAAATATATTATGTAAACACAGACTTTTATTTTGGATGCGATTAATCGCAATTAACTTTTGCACAGCCCTAATATATATATATATATATATTTTTTTTTTTTTACATTTTATTTTATTTTAATGGTTGGCTTTTCTGAAAACAGTGGATAAATGTTGTAAACCTGAAAGCAATACAGTAATTCATAATCAGATTTAATAATAATTATATTTAAAGCTAAGATGTGACTTTCTTTTCATAATCTGGTTTATTTCTGATATTTTAGTTTCGGTTAGTTGAAGTTCTGAATGGCTGGTAACTTAAATTAGTAGCCAAATAGATGATGAGTGAAAAGGTTAATTTCAAACCCTGGTTGTATCATTACATATCATTTGTCATAGTTGAAATAAAGTCTTGCAATTCATTACAGGTTGATCGCTCCACTTCTCCATTGCCAGTCACCTTTTCTTCATCCTCAACCCAGACAGAATGGCAGTGGGATGTGGAGCTTCAGAGCCTGCGCAGAGAGTTGAAGGCTGAGCATGAGAGGTATCAGTCTCAGGAAAGGGAGTTACGACATAGTGAGGCCCAACTACAAGCGGAGCTCAACGATAGCCAGGGATTTCTTAAGAGGGCAGAATTAAGGATTCAAGAGGCAGAAACTGTTCTGAAGGAGCGTGAGGAGGTGCTGGAGAGTCTGCATGGACGGTTAGAGGAGGTAACGGGCCGTCTAAAAGCAACCGAAGAAGCACAAGCCTTAAAGGAGGTCCGGCTACAGAGGCACCTGCGCCTCCTGCAAGAGAGCCAGGAACGAGAAAGGAGGAGCTTTAGTGACAGCCTCGACCAATCGGAGCAGCGATCGAAGGAACTAGAGGAGCGTTTAAGGCAGAAAGATGCTGAGCTGCAGAAGAAGCAAACAGGTGAAGTTAATGATGAGCTTGTACGAAGGTGCCAGGAGCTACAAAACCAGCTGGAGGAATCCGACAGTGAGGTCTGTCGTCTGCAGGCACGCCTCCAAACTGAAGAGACTCTTTATTACGACATGGAGCATGATTATGAAAGAGCTTGTGAGGAAATACAGAGTTTGCGAGGTGCTCTGCTGGACTGTGAGAGAGTAAGTGAGGAGCGCTTCCAAACCCAGCTGGTGCAGCAACAGCAAGAGTTACACAGGAAGGAACGTGAACTCCAGGAAATGCTTGTTAAGATGGCAGTCTTGGGCAGTAGTCTAGAGGAGACTGAATTGAGGCTCAAGGAAGCCCAAACCCATCCTTATGAAACTAGTGTTACATGTGAGACACTGATTGAGCCACAACAACACAGGCAAAAAGGGAAAAAAGATTTGGAAAAACAACCTACGACTCAGGGAGATGAGTCACACACAGTGATCTCTGTGATCCAGGCACTAGAACGCAAGTTGTGTGACACCGAAGAGCGACTCCGGGAGCTTACCATGCATCTTCAACAACAACAACAACTTAACACTGGGTGCTCCCACAGATCCCTCCATAATCCAGAAGGTCGACTCTCCATGGATGCTCTGCCGAGATTTACTGGAGCTTTGCACAGCCTGCAGGGAACCACTTTAGACAGAACTTCGGACCAAGCTAACATCTCACTTTATGATGATGGAAGTCCAGGGAGAAGTCAAGCTCTGGACATGGCCAGCAGAGTGTTGTCGCTGGAGGCACTGGTTGTCCAAAGGATTGCCTCTGCACTTGAGAATCCCAGTAGAAAGTTGCTTAATAGATTGTCAGAGGTGCATATCCAAGTACTTAGGATGGCTAAAGGAGGCAGTCATAATGGGGCTGTGAAACCTAGTTACCCTCAGATCTTCTTGGATCATCTCGAGCAAGATCTGTTCGAAAATACGCTGAGTGAAAATGTGATCCATAGACTGTGTGTAAAAGCAGAGATGGCATACCTCCTACATAGTCTGTGTACTCATCCCTCAAAAGAACAACAGGGATTTAAGCCCTTTTATGTGTTGCCTTGGCCAATACCCGATAGTTCCTCGTCTGGAACCAAAATGGAAAATGGTTCCAAGCAGGGGTCCAATCTTGCTGACATTAGCCCACCAGAACTTGCACCTTACAGTGAACAGATGGAGGACGAGCTGGTGAACGATCTACTCCTTGAGGACTCTGAGGTACAGCTTGCTTGCAGAAAGAGTCTGGTGATAGAGCTCCGAGCTCAGGCCAAGTCATTGCACAACCTCTCAACACAGCTACAGTCTGAGGATAGAGAGGCTGACCTTCCTGGTGAAACTCCTACAGCCATCCTAAGGGCTGCAATGTGTCAGGCCACTTTGGCATACATGGCTTGTCGTCTGCGTTCGGCCCTGCAGCAAGAGATGAATACCCTACGCAAGCAGAGAGAGCAGACTCAGTCTGAGTGTCGTGCCACGTGTCATAGTATGGAGACTCTTTTCCAGGAACAGATGGAGCGTTATGAAGAGAGGCTGCGTGAGGAGCGTATTGCTGCCAAAAAGGCAGAACAGGAACGTGTTTCAGCTGAGGCCAATGCTCAATTGGGGACGGAAGAAGCAGAAAGATTGCAGGTGGAGTTTGATGAGAAGCTGCAGGTGCTCCAGAAAATCCATGAGGAGGAGATGAGCCGTCTTCATGAATACTACATTCAGAACTTGTCAAAGCCAAAAGCTGCAACCCCTTCAGAACTAGACGACAGTGACAATACTGATCAGGTTTCTGTGTCTTCTCTGCAAGACCGAATCAGAGAGCTTGAGTCTGAGGTCTCTTGTTTAAGGGCAGACCTCAGCAACCAGGATGCCAAAGCCTTCCAGCTTGACCTGGAAACCATCAAGGTGCCCACAGCCTTCTTGTTACAGCATGAGATTAACATGTAATTATACCTAAAATGAAGGTACTTCATATTTTTGTTTAGGCCACATATGAGCATGGTTTCAGCATTATGGAAGACAGCCATCAGCGGGTGATTGAGGAGATGCAGAGGCAGCATCAAAGAGAGGTGGAAAGGCTGACAGAGGAAAGAGAAAGAGTTCTGCAGGAAGAGACGAACGCCACCATTTCAGGTGCTCCTCTCGGCATTAGCTCCTATTCATTCAGCTCACATAGCTTAACACAGGGGTGTCCAGTCCTGCTCCTGTTCTGCAGAGTTTAGCCCCCCACCCCAATTTAACACACCTGAATCTGCTAATAAAGCTCTTACAAGACATACTAGAAACTTCAAGGCAGATATGTTAAAGCAAGTTGGAGCCAAACTCTGCAGAACACTGGCCCTCCATTAGCAGTTTTGGACTCACCTGTCTCAACACAACAGACCAAGTAAGTACTTTTGGCTTACAGCAAAGACTACAATACAGTACATAGCACTATGCACTAAGCTGAACAGAATTAATGGCATAGTTTACCTAAAAATTGAATGTCTGTCATTTACTACTCATTTCATTGACAGCTGTGGTTACCAATGACTTTTATTGTGAGAAAAAGAGCAACTTGGACATTAAATAACTCTTTTTGTGTTTCTTGTAAGAACATCAAAACAAATTTGAAACATCACACTTTTGAGTTAATGACCATTTTCGTTTTTGGGTGAACTGTCCCTTTTAACACTCATGTGCAACACAAAAAAGAGGAGAAACATGTATAAGGAAACTACAGAGCTATTATTTGTATTTAATACTCTTGTATTTAAATCTGCAGTCCGTAACACTTGCACTAGTGCACTAGTGGTTACTCAACAGATCTGCATGTCGTGCGGAAGAACAGGAGTTACTTCTCTCTCTTTTTATGGCCATGATAAGTGACACTGGTACTGGGCTACTCTGCAGTGGTACGACCCATACCGGTCTAAAATAGTCTGAACTTATTACACTTATTATAAGTGTACCGAAGTGATTCAGGATAGGACAAAAACATGTTTTGGAAAATGGATTTTTGATGTACTCGCTTATGTAAATTTTGAACACACAAAAAAGTTACGGACTGCAGCTTTAACTATGGATAAAAGCATCTGTTAAATAAAAAAATCTAAATTTGTGCTCTGCATGTGTAGAAATACAGAGTGTGATCTAGCATCTGTCTTCTGTTTTTTTTTTTTTTTGTTTGTTTGTTTGTTTTAATAATATTTGTTGTTATTCAGCCATTGAGGCCATGAGGAAAGCTCATAAAGAGGAAATGGACAAGACTCAGAAAGCCCTACAAAATGGAGCCAATGTGGACATCCACCAGCTTCGTGCACAATATAAGTACGTGTGTGATGTCTATTGTTAATATGAGAACTACGTCAGCCATACCATCAAACGTTAATTTAGGGCTGCAGAACTATATAATAACCTTTATGCCTCATCCACTCATTATTGGCATAATTGCATATTTTTCTGTCCACTGAGAAATGCATGTGTCTTGGTGCATTTTCTGCAGTGAGGAGCTAGAAATGTTGCACAGGGAGCTGGAGGTGTTGTCAGAGCAGTATTCTCAGAAATGTTTGGAAAATACTCATTTGACCCGGACTATAGAAACAGATAGAGAGGCATTGAGTTCAACACACAGAGAGAACCAGGAGCTTCGCACTCACAACCAGGTAAATGCTCATGCACACAAAAAAATCTGCATATTTATACAGTCATTACTTTTCTGCTTGCCTCACATATGTTTTTTTTTTTTTTTTAAGGAATTAAATGATTGTTTGGCTGCTGAATTATCCCTGATGCATTCACGCATGAATGGGGAGGTGAAGCACTCCCAGTCTTCTCAGGAGAAAGACACGTATCAGTTGGAGGTACAACTTGACACCCTTCACGTGGCGAAGTGCCAAAATTTCACAGATATGCAATGACTTGTACTACTAAAATTAGCAGGGGAAGGTTGACTGAACACAGATTAAAATTTGCACTCTGAGTTCACTACATTTAATCGGCTTCCATAAAATAATCCTTCATGGGTTATATTACCACTCAGATGAGATTATGTTAGAGAATATTCCATCAAAGGTGCTATAAAGTCTATCTGTGTAAAAACAGATGTGCTCCGTCTCGTTCTTTGATGCTGTAGGTAAATCTCAGAGTGAAGGAATCAGAGATTAAGTGTCTGAAACAGGAGATCAACTCACTTAAATTGGAACTGCTGGCAGGAAATATGGTAACACCTCTTTAATTTAAAACAAATAAATAGTTTTGGGTTATTATACTATATAATACTATTCTATGACATTATATTGGGGATGAGTTTACCCATACATTTCCTAATAGGATAACTTTTATTTAGGAAAAGTTTTCTCTGTTTTTCTTTACACTGTGTTTCTGTTTTATGTTTTTTTTAAGCATTTTAAAGAGCTAGACTCTGAGTTGAGTCATTTAGAAGTTAAAACTCAAAGTGACTTCACTGAACTGAGGATGGTCCCAGCTCGACAGCAGTGTTTAAACTATGGTAAGCAAATCTACAAAAACAGACATGTTACTGTGAAGGCAAACAGATAAGTGCCTAGACATGCACTTATCCACAATTTGTAAATGCTTGTTGCAGATCTGATGAAATCCAGAAGCAACCCAGACTTTGTGAAGGAATGTTCAACACTCACACAGAAGGCCAGATCCAAGGTGGGATTATCTGTGCAGTTACATGGTACAAAATACTGATATTCCCTAAAAATTAAACATTCTCTCTTATTTTCTTCTCAGAGTATTAAGGATGGACTCACTGTTCTGGAGAGGATGAAGCTCTTTGAATTAACTAGCACGCAAAAGATTTGAGTGAGTGTGTGTGTGTGTGTGTGTGTGTGTGTGTGAGAGAGAGAGAGAGAGAGAGAGAGAGAGAGAGAGAGAGAGAGGCATTTTAGTGTATTATGTGGGTTAAATTATTAAATCAATTGTATGTCTTTATTACACAATGAATTATAACTATACCTTTAGTCACAGGTGTGTGTGTGTGTGTGTGTGTGTGTGTGTGTGTGTGTGTGTGTGTGTGTGTGTGTGTGTGTGTGTGTGTGTGTGTGTGTGTCAGTCATTTTAATTTTTGTTTCGTACTACTTTAGACATAACAAATTTTTGATATGAGGATGTCTCTCTAAATCTTAAACTGTTTGTTTATATTTACATGTTTATGCCCGATTAACCTGTTTGAATTTCTTTATCTCTAATTATGAATAAAGTCAAGTTTTCGTGTCTTGAACTTCTTGTTTGTTTAGTATAACAACTTTCTAGTGTCTTTTTTAACCACTAGATGTCGTGCTTTGCCTGGATTCTGGAAAACTGTAGCACATGTCAGTGCAGATCCTTTACTTGCTAACCAAATTAATGTTAATGGTCAAATCCCATTGTTTGTATTTTAGTATGTGTTATCGGAGATGTCAAAAGTAACATGTGACCAAGGTATTTGATGTGTTTCATGGGCTACTGAGTGTGAGCGTGAAAGCATTTAGCCAAAAAAAACAATTAACCGATAGTATCTGAACACGCGGTCGGGGCGTCGCAGGCAGCTCTATTTCCCTCATTTAAAACAGGCTCGATATCGTTTCACATCTCTTATGGGTCTTAATTTTATGCTTGCGTTTATAATAAGTCTCAGTAAAGCTGTGTTTTCATGTCTGGCCCGGGTCCGTGTTGTACAGAGAGGAGCGCGGCAGGTGTGTGCGCTTTCTAATTAAATTTCTGACTGCTTCTTTGTCAGTAATTACTTATGAATAATGCATGTTGCTTTGAAACGATGATCTCTTCATTATGTTACATTTTCACAACACTGATTAATTGATAAATACAAAATGTCCAGAGTGTTCGTGTTACCTAGGTAACATGCATGTCCCTCACGAACTTCAAGTTTCTCTGTCTCAGCACCTCCACCTGAAACATGTTTTTATGGTTTTACAGGAATGATAAGCAAAGTTAAGTTTTTATAACTGGTAAATTGACATTTTAATTTATAAACAAACAAAATCGTCTATTAAGCTCATGTTATGGATGCGTAGCACTAGCCTAGCCTACCTTTGTTTTTGAAACCATTTCATTTTTGTCTAGACTTTATCTTGGGTTGGGTTAAAAAAAGAAAGAAAACAGGTTTAAAACTGACTGACAGCTTCTCAGCATAGAGAGGCCAGCACTTTAAAAGTAGTTAGTGGGGAAATCTCTTATTGTTGTATGGGTATTTGAAAATGTAGCCTACGAATGGCCATTATAAATATATTGTGTGTTAAACTTTGTAGACAATGATTATGCAGTATAATAGTGTGTATCTGGTTTGGAATATATAGTATCCGAATATATCCACCAGCCTAGAGGAAACCCAAACATACTAAAGTGTTTCTCAATCAGGGGCACCACGGCCCTAGATGTTCTCAGCAATCTCTTGAATTATTGAATCAAATTATTATTATAAATATTATTTAAAACTGTTTGATTTTAGTCTATATTAGTTTATATTTATATAGTTTAGCAAGTATTAATATTAGCAAATATTATCAGCTTTATCAGAGGAAATATATTCTTACTTATATGAGGGCCCTTTGAATATTGTGTTGGACATAAGGGGGCCTTTCAGTCAAAAAGGTTGAGAACCACTAAACCATGTTTTTAATGTACATGTTAAAAATAGGAGGGAGAATCATACAGTTAAGAATTAGTTTTTTCTAACAGCAACGCAGCAGTAAATGTCACATGGCACACGTACAGAGAGAGAGAGAGTACTGGAATCATATAATTTAATTTTTCATAATTTAAGACTTCATGCAGTTGAAAGTAAGATTTGATACAGATTTAATGGACCCGTTTTCCTAGTATCCTCATCTTTTGCACTCCTTTACATCCAGCTACACAGTGACATCACTACTTGGGTTGAATATTTTTTTCCTCTTTAATTGTAGAATATTAACTCCCTGATTGTTCAGTTCCGATTCATTAAGGTACACTTCTGGATCCTATTGCTGAGATGAAATCTTGTCAATGTCATGGCGTGCTGTTTTGCTAGCATTGATTGATTGTTTTGTCTATCCAAAAGTCTTGAGCTCAATATCAAAACCTAATGTTCACATTAAATTGTTTTAAAATGTTAATGTTGAGCTTTCAGTACTCTGATCTATATTTTAAATCCTAGCATCGTTGCAATTTTTATGAATTATGTAAGGATTGCTTGCGTAGACATGTGGTTCCTCTCCTGGTTTTGTGTTATATTTGGCCTTAATTACCCGCCTTCTCAGAAGGCAAATGTACATGATCTCTTTGACCTTTGTATGTGACAAGTATTCTCAAAGCTTTTAGGCTTGAACCTATAGGGCACGCATGCTTCTAGTTCCCATAGTTATTATGTACTGAATGAGAGATGGCAATTAGAGGCATTCCCCATTGAGTGGAACACAACGCACAGAGGTTGAACAGATTTAACTCTCCTTCCCGATGGCCATAGGAACAGAATATGTAGCCAATATGTTGGCTCAATTAATTATCAGATTTTAAAGTTACAATCCATTCTTATTTTATGCTTAGAATTAGAATAATTACAGATTTTAAAAAACTTTGATTAAGTGGCAATGGAAGTTTTTAAATCTGTAATTAAATCTGTAGTTTATTTTTAAAAAACGGTGGATTTGTAAGGTGCGTGGTGGTGCAACAGTGGAACAAGAAAGAAACAAATCTATAGATAGGCCTATACATCCAATAATTATAGATAGACTGTTACCATGGCTACATTTCTCACCATGGCAGGCTATGCGTGTTATGATTCTCTTCTGATGACAGACAGCGGGATATGCGTATAGCTCTTAGATTAGTTAGGCTATGCATTTGAATAATTTACAATAGTTGCAAAGTGATAGATGAACTTCTCCTATTAAAGTTGGCGAAAAATCCTACATATTGTACCTTTAAATAAGTTACATTAGTCTGCCGAGTGTGGATAGATAATAATCAGCGAACCCACAATTCACTCCCTTGTATTTGCAATGACATTTGTTTCATGCTCTGCTTTTGACATAAAATGATTCACATATATGTTATGTACTTAATCAGTTTAACTTAGGGTCAATGCCCTTCGAGGCCTAGCCGTTGTGCAATGGACACCTCGAAGGGCATTAATCTGCTTATACCATGGTCACTTGCCAAATAACTCATTTTTAAAACATTTGTTTAGATATCGATTGTAAAACTAATTAAAATATAAAGTTTTTACAAACAATAACTTGGTTTCCCTGGTTACTATATTTATATTTATAGTCCGCTCAGCTCATAGAACCCTTCAGTTTAGCTAACTTGCGAGCCAGAAAGTTAACGTATTTTATGTCAAATTCTCCAAAAAGGTTAAACGAAATAACAAAGTCGCTCATTGTTGTATTAGTATAACGGGTAACTAGATGTTTGTTTTGATGCAATATATTCTTAACGGATACTTTGACTGCCTGTTGCTATGGTTACTCACTGCTGCTTTATTTATTAATTGCTAACGGTAAGCCCTGTTCTGTTTCACCAGACCTCCTTACTAGGTGGCTCTATCACCTTTTAATGGACACCCTGCAGCCAATCAGAATCGAGTATTCACCCAGTCCATGGTATGATCAGTTATATCCTCATGTCATCGTGGCAGTGTTGAATCTGTTTTAATGATGTCATTTAATAACTTCATGCAGCTGAAGGTGAAATTTGATACAGATTTAATGGGAATAAAATGCATCTTTTAAGGAACTCATTGGCGTAATATCCTCTGCTTTCTTTCAATCTCATGTCACCTCCAGCTGCCCAAAGTTACACATCATCACTCAGACTATACTTACGGTATTTCTGTTTAATATTTTATGCAGGTATAGTTCTGATTTATTAAGGTACACTTCTGAATCTTATTGTGTTTCAGAAAAAAGGTTGATACTGTTTTGTATTTTTGTGTTGTCTTTAATTGTATCCCTGCTTATTTTCTCTCTCTCTCTCTCTGCTGGAAAATCCATATATTGTCAGAGATGGTTGGTTGATCAGCTGGAAAACCTGCTGGCCAAACTGGTTTAGCAGGAGGTTAGAGCTGGTATACTTTTTTGGATCAGTCAAAAAAATAAGCATGTGCTGCTATGACCTGGTTGTTCCTTGCTACATCATTATTTTATATCTATCTTGCCTTCATTTCTGAAGAGCTGATATCAGCATGAGCTGACTCGCTTTCACTCTCAGAAAGCCAACTGAAGAGGTTATGAGGACGTGACCTGAAATCAGCCAAGCTGCTGGATAAAATAGTCGGAATAATTTTCCTTTCATGACCAGACAGCATTTTAAAAACAATCAACTTGTAGGGTTTGGGTTATATGACCGTTTCATGATGTACTTTAGTATAGTATAATACTGTATTTTTGGAGAGTGGATTTTGTTGAGGGGATCATCTCTTTTTCTTCTCTTCCTCTGGGAGAGTGGATGACTTTGGCTATAATCTAACTTGATGAAACGTTTAATTTATTTAAATCATCTTATTTTATGCCTTCTTTATTTAATCAGGCACTCTTATTTGCCCCCACAGAGCAAAGTGATGGATGAGGAGAGTGGGTGAACTTTTTGCGTGAGTGGCTCTCTTTTGTTCCTTTTTTGTCTCCGGCTCTCGTTCTCACCTCTCTAATTCTCTTTGCTCTGATTTTGAAAAGGAGAAAGAATGTCGTGATCTCTAATTAGCATGTAAGATATACCTAAGGTGGGTGGTTAGTGTTCGTCTGTTGTTGCTTGTTGTAATTAATTTCAAGCTCTTATAGTTTGTGAGTTGAAATCTACTTGAGAAAATTAAACAGACTTGTTGTATAATGCTGAATGTTGACAATTTAGTTTCACCCTTAAATATTGCATGGCATTGCAAAAAAAAAGTATTTTTGTTTCATTATTTATTTTTAAGGAAAATTGTACAAGATATAAGGTCTTTTAGATATAAAAAATGATTTGGGTTAAAAAACAACAACAATTGGGTTAGCTAAATAAACTTTGGTATTGTTTTAGGGCAAGTTTTTTTCTGGAAAGCAGTTTTGTTTGTTTTTTTTTTTCTCAGTGTGCCCATAATCTGATACTGGCATTTTATTCTTTAGCATCAACCATAGAAGTATCAGTATTGATCATTTCCTTTCACATTGGCAAGTGGGCAGCTGTATTGATAGGACAAAAACTCAAAGAAATGTCATTTGAAGGTCATACCTCCTAAAACACCTTCTTGCTAAATGTAGCTGTTGCTATAGCAAAATATGTAACATTGTAAATATACTGTTTTATAGCTTCAAAATTTGTGAAAGGCTACAATACAAAAGCAGGACTTGTGGGTTTGATATATCACATTAAACCTGTTGTTCCTCTGGCTGTTATTGTGAGTTAGTGGTTTTATACAAGCGTGTTTGTCCTGAGCATGAATGTAAATGTTGGTATGTTGTGAAAAAAAAAAACCTTTAACTTTATCTTTCACTCTTCCACTCACATACTTGTATGTTTATCTACTCACTTTCTAATATTGAATAAATAATCTTGTGTCTTAGTTGTTTGCTAGCCTGGGAGCCATCATGCTCATTGTCAGTTAGCAGTGTCTGTTTAGGTGTTAATTATCTTCCACACACCTCTAATAGTACCTCATTGCTTGGTAAAAATAATGCAGTCTTTGCTCTGACGTAGTGTGAAAAAAAAAAAGATCAGTAGAATATGGAGAGCATGGATAAAGTCTTCAAGTCACTTTATTGCTGTAAATCACACCAAACAAGAATCATGTTCTACTCAATATCCAAGCAAACACACTAGTGGTTAACATCCTATTTTGTGCAAATTGTGTGTACAAGAGAAAGATTTAGTCAAAATGGCACCCAGGCTAGCTTAGTATTGCATAATGATACTAGCCTACTTAAAGCTATCACTTCAAACTACAGTATGAAACAGAAAATCAGATTTCAAGTTTTCCTATAGGAAGGCCTCACATTTCCGACAACTACAAAAAGCACTTTCTGTTCCTGACCTGCCCTCGACTACAGCATGGCTCTAGGACAGTGGGTCAAAGTTTCATATGGCACTTGCATTGCTCTGTATCTGTTCTTTACAACCGACACTAAAAGAATAGGCTGATTCTACAATAAAGCGAAGTCTTTAAAGTTGACAATCAGTGGTCATATTTCAGATTCTTTGTGATACGACCTCTGATCAAAGTTTAGATTGGCTGAAAGGGTCTCTAGCTCAGTCCCCCTCTCACCTCTGTCCTCCTCCTGCTCCTCTTCATCCCTACTAATGAAGGCTAACTCATTTTCATAGCAGAAGTTGGCACCAGATTCCAGGGATTTGTTCTCCTCCATGTCTTTGGCGCTGCAACGAGGCGTCGAGGGAACCTCATAGGTCTTATGAAAGTGCGAGTAGTCCACCTTATACTGGTTGCGTTCCTCAAACACCACAGGCTCAAAGCGATGGCCCCATAAGATCTCGCTGGCCAGGTATGAGCTGCGCACTTGAGCCGTCATCGCAGTCGCCTCGACCATCCCTTCCAGTATGACCACTATCTCGAAATCTGATGTTTCCAGCTCCTGCTTGCTGATTCCAAACAACGGACTCTCCTCGCTTATCTCATGTAGGATGGTGAGGGGAGCAACCAGGAAGATGCGGTCAAGACCTTGGTCATAACCCACATTGATGTCGATCTGATCGAGAGGTATGTACTCCCCCTCCTCTGTGATTCGGGGCTTAATTAGCTGCGCCCGTACGTGAGCCTCAACAATGTGACTTTTCCTCAAGTTCCCGACCCGCCACATGAGGCACAGCTTCCCGTCACGCATAGCGATGACAGCGTTTTGCGAGAACAATATCGTTTCTGCCCGTTTCTTTGGCCTTGCCATTTTGGCCATGATGGCTCCGATCATGAAAGAGTCAATGATGCAGCCCACAATGGACTGGAAGACGACCATGAATACTGCTAAAGGACACTCTTCAGTCACGCAGCGGAATCCATAGCCAATCGTCGTTTGCGTCTCAACCGAGAACAAGAATGCTGCGACAAAGCTGTTCACCTGCATGACGCACGGCGTGAAGTTGTCTTGAGAGGGCTGGTCTAAGTCACCATGGACAAGAGCAATAAGCCAGAAGGAGAACCCGAATGCGAGCCAGGACAGGACAAATGCAAGGGAGAAAAGGACGAACATCCACCGCCAGCGAATGTCCACACAGGTGGTAAAGATGTCGGCGAGGTAGCGCTGGGATTGCTCGTCCATATGAGAGAAACTGACGTTGCACTGGCCTGTCTTGTTAACGAAGCGACTTCGCACCTTCCGGCGCGTCTGGATCTTGCCATTACCAAAGCCATTGCCGAGGGCAGGCATGTTGCTGTGGCGGAACAAGTCCTCCTCCTCCGATGACACAATGTTGTAGCGGTGGGGCTTGCCCACACTCATGCCACTCTGTCTTGCCAGAACCAATCCGTAAATGGGAGAGGGTACCAAAGCAGTTCTGGATCAGTTTGTGTTGCCTGAAGATGAAGCAAAAAAATTGTATCAGTTATGTAGTCTTTGTTCATTGTACATTGTTTGTCATACAGTTGTGCTCATACATTAACAATCTCCTTGTACTGAAAAGGCTGCATAACACACAATTGAGTATATCCCGTAAGATAAATGTACACAAATACATTGTTTTTTCACAAATTATCCAGTTTCCACACCATTTGTTCTCAATATTGTGTGTGTGATTGTAACCTTTTGTGTTTGTGACAGTGACAAACCTGTATCTCAACAACATAAAGCCACTGTGAAGAAGTATTCAGATGTGCAGTGCATCCTGGGATTGTAAAGAGCTTACACTACATGGAGGAAATTTGTCAAGAACAGTCACAAAGGCGAACCGTCAATGATTCTCAGGGAGGCAACACGCAATATTGAATCAAAGGTATGTTAACTATTTAACAGTAGAACTTGTGTAAATTTAGTTTTGTATTGTAGATATGCACTACCATTCAAACATTTGGGATCAGTACTTTTATAATAGTACAGTACAGTTATAATAGATTATAGTTTTTATCTATTCACTGTGACACTTTTATAGTCTATAATTCATTAAAATACATGACACAACCAATTTCAGACGTAACTGGGAATATGCAAATATTATAATGCATTTTAACTTGGGTTACAATAATTTATTAAAACATATAAGGAATTATACATTATACAGTAAATGGATTTGTAATGCATTATTCATAAAGGCTTTAAGTAAAGTATTACCCAACAAACTTTTTTCAACATTGATAAGAAATGTTTCTTGATTTCTGAAGATCATGTGACACCTAAGACTGCTAAAATATACTAAAATAGAAAACCATTAAAACCAAACAACCAGGGCCAAGCACCTAAGGTGTGGAGGCACCTATTGTAGTCATTGACATTCTTATTCTTATTCTTATTCTTATTCTTCATCCGCTCTGGGAGTCTATTTAAGCTCATAGAACCACTTGCGGGAAAATTATGAAATTTGGCACACTGATAGAGGACAGTCAGAACTCTCACCATGGCAAATTTGGAGTCTCTTACTCAATCCCTCTAGTGTCACCACCAACTGTCCAAAATTTCACTCATGTTTATGCTATAATAATGTTTTTTAACCGTAAGGGCCTTTGATTATCCTTTATCCTATATCCTTTGATTCCTTAGCTCAAGTCGATTCGATTGCAAACCATCAAACCATTCTCGAATACCACACAATCTAGTTTTACATAGCACTTGTGAAAACAGACGTCAGGCTGTGTCTCCGCATCTCTTTATCGTATTCAGACCAAACATGGTACATGTCATCACATGCATGACCTGAGGCCAGATGCTGCGTTTCGGAGCAACGCCACCTACTGGTCCGGAGATACGAAAAATTACTATTTTTGCTTATAAGTTTTGAACGGTTTGTCCAAAAATCATAAGAAGTGGCCTTTTTATTTTTAAAGGCCAGTTGTATTATTTAATGGATCCAGGATACTATGCATTCTGATCAAGTTTCCTTAGTATTTGGAATTAAAATAGCCCCACGTCATCACACACCCTTCACCATACCTAGAGATTGACATGGTTTTATTTCAGTTAGCCTAATAGCTGCTTTGATTTGAATTTAAAAGATGATCTTATGGAAAGTACCCCTTGTTAATTGTCCTTAGGTTGGATTTTTCAATTTTTTTTAATTGAAGCATTAAGATCAATTTCTAAAAGATTTTTTTACCACCCAAATTTACCATGGGTGTGTTCCCTCATGCTATGCACTGTATATACCAATTTTGCCATAGTCAGCCAAACTTTCTGTCCGCCATCTTTTTATTTAATTGTAAAACTTACTTTTTCAAACTTCTCCTAGATCTTCCAATTTTCACTAAAACTGAATCGCATCATCTCGAGAAATTTTATGGATTTCATGTCGATAGACGAAACCGTTTTCGTATACCGCAGCAGCAAAGTTGAGAGGCATTGACTAGTTGACAATTCAGGCTTTATCTCTGCAATGCCTTGACATATTGGCACCAAACTTTGTATGTGTCATTGTCACCTCATTCAGACCATACCACATCAATTTCGTAACTGCGCCAGCTCAAAAGTGACAAACCATTCAATCATTTTATTAATGACTGTATATATGATTTTTTTTAATCCTTTTTGCATAAAATCATCTTAAAATGTCTGTAATTGCTCTTTGTTGCAGTTGGTCTGACTGATACTCCCAGACATGTTGGCTGGCATAGTTTGTGGTCTTCTTTCCGCTTGGCCCGATAATGGCTTCTTGTAGCTTTAGAAATCATGATATTATTTTACAATATTACTGTTTTACTGTATTTTTTTGATAAATGCACCCTTTATGAGCATAATAAACCTATTTCAAAAACATTTAAAAAATCTACATACTGCAATATGTATGAGCTTAACCATACAATTATTTAAAGCTACAGTCTGCAATTTGTCCTCTTTGTCGCCATCTCTGTTTGAAATGTGCAATTGCAGTCATTTGCGGGATTATCAACTTTAACGTGAGTTGTAGTTCGACACCCTTGACACCCCACAGCACGGATGAACACAATGTTTGAGGAAAGTGTGCAGCTGTCAGTCACCGCTCCGGTGTGGATACTGGCATTCAGAATCACAGATTTGCGCCTAGAGGTTGTGCATGTTGTGGCTTCACAAATGCTTTACTGCATACCTCGGTTGTAACAAGTTGTTATTTCAGTCAAAGTTGCTCTTCTATCGGCTTGAATCAGTCGGCCCATTCTCCTCTGACCTCTAGCATCAACAAGGCATTTTCGCCCATTTTCTGCCACATACTGGATGTTTTTCCCTTTTCACGCCATTCTTTGGTAATGGTTGTGCATTAAAATCCCAGTAACTGAGCAGATTGTGAAATACTCAGGAGATTGTCTTGACCAGGACCACACCCCTAAATGCATTGAAGCAACTGTCATGTGATTGGTTCATTAGATAATTGCATTAATGAGAAATTGAACAGGTATTCCTAATAATCCTTTAGGTGTGTGTGTATATATATTAGTATTAGAATACTGAAAATGTCAATGAATGGTAAACCTGTGTGATGCAAGCCAAAGTAGTCCCAAAATGAATCTTATGAATCTTCATTGCAGCTAAAAAAAAGTGTGTTACTCCTGTGAGAGTGTGTGTGTAAAAGTGCTGTTCTGTGAGTGAGTAAGAGAGCAGATGAGCAGAACTGCCGTCTGGTTGTTTCACAGCAGATGCAGCTAATTAAAGTAATTTCGCACTTTTCCTGTGAAACTCTGCACATTCGTAAAGCGAAGTGCTGAAGTGCACACACCTCAGAGAGAGAGGAGCTGGAGTGCGGTTATCGTTATCATCGTTATCATTATTCAGATTTTCTCACTACTGTTTTTTTAACAGACCTCTGAGCCGGGAGCTGCTGGTGGGGTCCAGATTTAGGTGTCTAGCCAGTGCCTGAGTCAAGTGATTTGTCTTTCTAATAATAGATGTATGTCTCAGTGAGGCTACTGCACGCACGCACACACTTGCAAGAATCTGCGCTCCAAGACATACTGTACTGACAGAGAGACATCAAAACACACAGACTCCACATGTGTGCACACACACTCACACACTGGGGGCTGGGTGGTGTCAGGTGCTATATTGGTGAGTGCGAATAGCTAAGAAGCCTCAGATTCGGCAAGAGTGATAATGAGAAAAACATATCATTTCTTTCATGTGTGCCCATAAAAGCAAAGAAATGCAGCATAGTTCTTACAATTCTCAAAAATAAAATAAAAAATCACAAGAAAAACTAGAGGGATATAGAGGTTTCCATGGAAACCTGTCTGGTAGAAATGTTGTGTGTGTGTGTAGGTGTGTGTTTGTTTGTGGGGCGACTGTCGGCTTCTTCATGCGGTGTTATTTTAGTCATCATCCAGGTGGCCAATCACTCAAAACTGACTTGAAACGAGAGAGACAGTTTAGCACTTAATACGTTTTTCAATGATAGCCGTGAGAATACAAAGTAGATTTGCAGTTGAGGGGAGACAGTGGGGTCAGTATTTTCACTGCGTCCTGATGTGATGTCAGATTATTCCATTCTAAATGTCAGCAGATCCTCTGATCATGTAGTGGTTCGATAGTAGCGCTATGATGAGTAAAGATAAGCGAATCAATGTTCTGTGATAGCTGAATTTATAGATGCGTTTCTTTGCATTTTAAAAACATTAATATATAAATTATATAAATAAATATAACCATAAAATATTGTGGTATATTTTAATATTTAATATGATTAAATAAAATTCATTTTGATTATTCCATTATATATTTTTGATATATAAAACTATATAGTTTTATATGTAGTTTTATATATCAAAAATATATAATGGAATAATCAAAATTAATTTTCATTTAATCATATTAAATATTAAAATATACCATAATATTTTATAAATTAAATACAATTTTTATTAATTTTACAGGATTTTCTTTATTTATACAGTATAAGTGTTTTGCAGTAAAATACGTACAAAATGATCTCTGCTTTGATCTCTCAAATATGCACTGCATATTTTGCACTAAAATAAGATCAAACTATAAATTAGGTTTCTTTAAACTAAGAAATGTATATGATTGGGAAAAGGTTTGTGCTGTGGCAGTTCTTAGTAGCATTAAGAAAGAATTGTGTGAAAAGATAATCTTGGTTATGAGAGTCTGACGTAGATGTACCCTATGGTGGTGGTCGATGGAAACTTAATCTGAAGAGAACGTTCTCTGTCCTTTTTGCTTTTCATGCACACTTCGAATCAAACAAGACTGCTGTCATTTTATTTATCAGACATACCCATACAACAGCTCCTCCAGTTCCAAAATGGCAAATATGATGAAAAATTAAAGTGATGGCAGTTTGTGAGAACTTTGACAGACAGTCAACAGACTTCAGATATTACTCCACACTGCTCCTCCCAACAAACATTTCCAAAACAGCCGCATGCCTGCATGCCTGCATCGGTCTCCTTTAACAAACTTTATGAACTTAGACTAGTATCACCCTCGCCATTTGCGCATTGCTGAATAGGATCCGCAGAGTTGCATCTGGTGACTTCTGTTACAAAAACCATAACATTTTTATGAGTTTATATTTTTGTCAGGCGATATTCATCCAAACAGAGTGTTGGAATACAGCGTTTACACAATTCCAATTTGGGTTACATCTGACTGAATCTAAATTTAGACTTCATTTGAAATTACATTTGAGATGATTTTTTTTTTTTTTTGATGATGATGATGGTGCTCATAGATTTTAAAAAACAAAGATATTTTCAACATATTCCAGCATTCAGGGGACATCCGTCATTGTGGGATGCTGTATTGGGTGTGACAGCCCCCTCATTGATTTGATAACACACAGTGAAGGTACAGGACATGCAGTGTTGATGACCATCACCTACTCTATGTGACTCTATTCATGTTTGGCATATTAAAGGCACCAAAACACTCGCAGACATCAAAAACGCCTACAGGTTGCAGAAAATACCTGTAGACTGTCCATGTGAGTGAGAGAGAGCCGATATAAGCTGGAAGGAGTATATACAGTCAACAGGCACTTAAAATAATAACAAAACATATTCTGCTTACCTTTTTTCTTTCCTTTGTGTGCATGGAAATATGTAAGAGAGAGATATGAAGTTGAGCTAAAGCATGAATCCATTGAATTTCTTATAGTTCCCCTACAGGAAAAAAACACCCTTTAAAAGAAAAAAAGGGATCCTGACTGTTCAACGAGGTCCTCATCTTTAGCGTCACATACTCAGAAGGAAACTCGCATACATGTACGCATGTATTCGATGGAGGTTCTTATCTAAAGCCTGCAGATTATATGCTAACAACCTCAGAATGTTCCATCAGCGAGTGTTGTTCTGACGTTTCAGTAATCTTCAGCACTGCCGTGGTCATCCTCGTGTGTCCAGAGATTCCCTAATGTTCCGGTGCGCCGCCTCGTCTCTTTGAACATTTAAAAAACTGCTCTCTCTTTCTCTCTCCTTTTTTTTCTCTCTCTCTCACCCTTGTCTGCTATCTGATCTTAGCTGCAGTTTTTCACACCCCCCTCTCTTTCTCTCTCATTTGCTCCCTCCCTCTCTGAAGTTGGCATTTGCAGGGACCACAGTCTCACCGATGCTCTTGAAAAGCAGCCTGGTGGTCATGGACAAAACCAAAATAAGAACATTTTACTCCCCTCTACGTTGGCTGGATTGACTAAATGTGTTCTCGTGAGTCTGTGAAACCAAATCCTAAAGATCTTTTGGTTTGAATGGTTTTGTCCTGTTTTCTCTTAGTTTTGAACTGGGATTTGTGGACACAGTTTTTCATAGTGTTTGCATAAGGGTTGGTGTGTTTGTGTGTGTGGGATTGTAAGAAGAACATGTTCTTGGATGAATAATCGTTCTAAAGAGGCTGGCTCTTTGGTCTGGGTTGCACACACAAGGATGCTGACAGAACCAGGACATTTGCCTCCACAAATAAGCACAAACGAACAGATGTATATATGCTCATCTGTCATGCTGGCTAATTAATCTGACTCCTACCTGTGTGTGTGTCTGTGTGTGTGCGTTGTGTGTGTGTGTGGTGTTACAAGTGTCTGACAGTTGTGATAGATAGATAGATAGATAGATAGATAGATAGATAGATAGATAGATAGATAGATAGATAGATAGATAGATAGATAGATAGATAGATAGATAGATAGATAGATAGATAGATAGATAGATAGATAGATAGATAGATAGATAGATAGATAGATAGATAGTAAACATACTAAGGCTCACGCTGTGATGTCAGCTTGGGTTGCAGTGGCTAGTCCTGATACTGTTTCATGTTGTGCATTGCTTGCTATGTTTGGAACTGATCTACAAGGACTGCTATTGATCTGCTATCGAACGAGGGGCTGAGAAGTTTACTGTAAACAACAAACGGTTCAAGTGAGTTATCAATGAAATGTAAAGAAACTACTTTAAGCCATGCATTATACACTACTGTTCAAAAGTTTGTGTTGGTTAGATTTTTAAAAAAAAAAAAGTTGCTCAGTGCTCACCAAGGCTTTGTTTTAGAAACACAGTAAAAACAGGGAATATTGTGTGTAGTAGTATTATTACAATTTAAAATAACAAATTATTTGAATATTATTGGAACATTATTTGATAAAAGAGTTTTGCAAACACAAAAAAAAAGGTTCAGACAAAAATCAAAAATGTATCTGACTGTGATTTAACCAGCCAATCAGGTCTAAGAAAAAGAAAAAAAAACACCTTTTACTTGCAGAATGGTGTAGTTAAAGCATATAAGCTCTAGATCATTAATTATAAATTATAATTTATTACAGCACACCTAATTAGGACAACGGTAATTCAGCCATTACACAATTTCTCATTTATTCTGCACAAAGCTATGAAGACTTTTGTCATTCCAGGGTGTCAAGTGTTTGTGTGCATGTGATTTTTTGTAATATTTATTAGGAAATATGTCTGTGTGTTGGCCCTGAGGCAGAGGAACAGATGTCTGTTGTTGAAATTCAAGGGTCCAATGGACTAGAATTAAATTATTACTGTAGAGAATTATACGCACACTCAAATATGT